AATTGATTGTTCTCACCATGACTTGGTAACCCCTGGGCAAAGAGGCTGGACAGGCAGTAGTCGCCATAGCTGTCCCAACCTTCAGTCGACTCTAACACAAACACTAAACTGTCTGCAATCTTCGCTACATCCAGGAGTGAATGCATATCAGCTGAAGTGAGACAAAAGAAGATTTTTTTAGCCCCTTGTACAGCCCTTTAAGACAAAAAAGGGCTTAAACCACACTTGAAAGAGTTCAAATTGCCTTTGATAACAAAATATCATCAAACCAAATGAGGGCTTTTCCAAAAGATATTTAATAATAAGAAGAAAAGTCTTTGTTCAGTATGACTGGTCAACAAATATAGGTATTTATTTTGAAATTTGCTAAAAGATCACATTTAACAATGTTATTAAATTTTTTGTTATTAAATTACCATTAGATGACAACAACGTTAATCTAAAAATATTAGCATGCTCAATTAGGTATCCAATATCGACTGATACTGTTAAGTGTTAAATGTAAATTAAAAAATAAGTTAAAAAAAACTCCAATATCAGCTTATAACTGATTTAGAGCCAAAATATAGTATAATCTTTATATTGTGCATCCCATAAACACAAACATACTTTTCAGGTCAAACATTTTACAAAAACAGGTTAGTGACTTCATACATACACTAAAAATTCAACGAGCGGATTAAAAGCAACTGAAAAATGAAAATGAAATTTTAATTAGCATAATTTTTGTATTTGGTTCAAATGTCTTGTTATCGGATGCAATTAAAGTCAAACAGTTGAGAGCATGGCTTAAATCGACACTAATGTTCAAAAGTTTGGGGTCAGTAAGATTTTATTCAACTGGGATGCATTACATTATAAATGTTTTTACTATAACATTTGATCAATGTTACAATATATTTCTATTTCAAATTAATACTGTTCTTTTATAGTCGTGAAAGAAATCACAAAAAAAAAAAATGTATCAAAAATATCAAGCAGTACAACTGTTTTCAACATTAATCATGTAAAAAAATCTTTCCTGAGCAGCAAATCAGCATATTAGAATGATTTCTGACAGATCATGTGACTGAGTAATGATGCTGAAAATTCAGCTTTACCATAACAGGAATAAAATTATATTTTAAAATACATTCAAATAGAAAACTGATATTTTAAATATTAAATATTAGTGTTCTTACTGTATGTTTTATCAATTAAATGTGCAAAAACATTTTTTTTATCTTACCAACCCCAAACATTTGAAAGGTAGTGTAAATATTTTTTGTGACCACTGTATACTGTCAGAAGTTAGAAATTAAATTCAATTGTGCTTAATCATTTATTCCTTTGCTAAAAGTGTTACCTGTGTCTGGTGTGTAGAAAGTGAATCTCTGTTTAAAGCGGGGTAGAACGAGACCAAAACTGTTCTTAGCCCCAGTGACTCCTTGATCCTCGTGCACCACGCCATCAAGTCCTTCACCTCTCAATATTTTGGTGACAGCTCCAGGATCCACTCGTGCGTGAAGGGCTATGACTGCCACCAGATGAGGGGGTCCATCCCTGCTGCCCAGCTTCCTTTTCTCTGTCAGCACCTGTCATCATCAACAACCCAAAGGAGTTTAGTCCTTCAACTAATGGCCAATCTGTAAACCAAGTAGAAGTCTAATAATGTCACTTTACCGAGTCTTTTTTGTTGCGACGCAGCTGGTTGGCTTTGTTTCTGCGGTCCATTTTCCTTATCACTCTTCTCTGTTTCTTGGTGAGAGCCATGACAGCAACTCTACCTAATTTGATTGATGTACGGGGTCAAGTTTACTGTCTTACACTAAGCATAAATGTACAAATACACTGCATAATGATTATAAAAAAAGAACAGATCCACACATTATAAGTAAGAATAGTATCAATGAGAACCAGACTATGGTTTGCTGGTCTCTCAGACTGGTTTTAGAGGGCTTTGGTGCTTTTGATGCGTTCAGGCTGAGACCAGCTTAAACCAGCTAAAACTAACAGACATCTTAGGCTGGCTTAAGTTATTATAAACGTAAAAGTTATACGTATACTTTCTTTCTTTCTCTTTCTTTCTTTCTCTCTCTCTCTCTCTCTCTCTCTCTCAATATATATATATATATATATATATATATATATATATATATATATATATATATATATATATATATATATATATATATGTCTGCTAGCTGTATTCACAGTTCACACACAGACATACATTTTTTCATTAGTCTCACTGATTACTGCTCGGACCTTTAAACACGTGTTCAGTCAGACAGGCATTGTCCACGTGACGGTTCGCGCATATATATTTGTGAATAAACCCATCAGACATACCCTTATTCTCCCGCCCGATCTCGCCTTTAGTTCGGTGTTTTCCATGCTTGTGCTGTTTGTTTTTCTGTTTATAAGCTCCAGGTCTGTGAACTGGCTGCTGTTCATCTGCTGCAGCCATTTTCTGTCATGCAGCACATGTAAACTTTATTGACGTCATATCCACGCGCCTGGCTTTCCTTCTGCAGAATCGCATTCGCCACTGAGTAATAAAGTGCCCGAGTGCCACCTACTGTTGTTCAGCGGAACTATTATGCCATGGAGACAAGGACCCATTTCATGAGATTCACTATGGTGACATGTCAATGGACATTTTTACTCCCAAAAATGTATCTTAAAGGATTTTTAGCATTTTTTTTAACTGTTATAGACAATGTGATAATATATATATTTTTTTAAATCACAATTGTTTTGTCTGTTAATGTAGGCTATACTTTACAAATTAAGTACATTTGTGAAACACAATTGTTAGTATGCATCATGGTAGTATTTGTCATACTGAATTTAATTTATGCTTTAATTTGAATTATTGTTGTTGATATTAATTTTTTTTAAATACTTTTCAACAGGATATCTCAAGCTTTTTTGTTTCTTAATAAACAAACATAAATGCACACAGTTATTTACACCATTAAATATATCTGCAAGCTGACTGAGCTTTCACATGCTGGTTCTAATCCAGCATCATATCTTGATCCCATATATATATAAAAAAAAATATATATATATATATATATATATATTTTTTTTTTTAAGACTGTGAGCTGGGTTTAGGTGGGTTCATTCTCTGTTTTTCTCAGGAAATCCTGGAGAGACCAAGCACATATACATTTCTCATTACCATCTATGCTGGACAGAGCTTATATTTTCTTGAGCCATTTAATTTCAACAAGCTTTCTGATACATGTCATTTTTTATGTTATATTGTCATAAAAATGCCATAAAATAAGAAAACAAACAAATGTCTCCTCCATTCATAGTCATAGTCCATTTTAAAAATAGATTATAAAGAGGAAATAATAAATCATTCCCAGCACACAAAAAAAAAAGCTATTTTAGATCTTCCCCAAACATTTGATAAACACCAGAGTTCATTTAGCCATATTAAGTGGGATGTCAACTGGGTCATTTAGTCCCTAGAGAATTTCTTTGTTATTTTGTGTTAAATTATTATAACACACCAGTGTCTCTCTAACTCATCAACATGATGAAGCATGGCTCTTTAAATCCCATTCATAAAACAGGCTCCATACATCTCAAACCCCTCTGTTCGCCTGGATACAGTGACAGCATCCTGCGCTCTCATTGGCTGAGAGAGACGGCTGCTTCAGAACCAACCCAGAGCGCTAGTTCTCTGCTCTGTTTACCAATTGGTTGCTTGCAGGCTTGTTGACATCACTGTAATAATTTTGCCCAGGGATCAACTTTAACCTCTTACTGATCCATAAAAGCAATGATTGCCAATATTGAAGAATACCAAGAAAACCTACAGCTCTGTGCATTTTAGGCTTAAACTGTGGTAACATTTATTGTCATCATAGAGTGTAGTTGGGATTACAACAGAGGCAAGCTGTAATCCTTTACATTTGATTTTTATGAGTTGTTCTCTGCTTGTCCTAGTTATCTTCAAATCCATTTGTGTGAGTGGTGGTGGGGTTTCAAACTTCAGACACACAAGAAAAAATCATTATAATCATTTACATTTCTTTGAGAAGGCATCATAGTCATCATCATCATACGCACTAGCATATAGTAGGCCTAGGCTATATCATAATTATAATCTCTAAATTTCCAAAATGTTTCCATGATACTCCCATATGTTAAACTGATAACTTTATGCGATACACGTTTAAAAATGTGTTACTCAAAAAGTTCCAACAAATATAATCATAATGCTGCTTATTTTACAGGAATCACGTTTCATTACATTTTCCTCTGATTTCATCTGTGTTTACCTCTCCAGAACTGCCATGCTGCAATTAACATCATAATGGATCAGGGTGGGATATCTTAATGCTCCTCTATTGGAAAATAAGAATGTAAGACCATGACAGAACTTATTCCTCAAAGATTTTGGCAGCCCCAGCAAACAATGTCTTAAATATTGATAAAGAACATATTTATGTGTAGGCTATAGGCTAGTTGTTTACTATTGAGGTTTTAATGCTCTGTCTCTTGGGGCCGGTGGGAGTTTTCCACATTGGGAGGGCGGAACTGGAGTTCCAGGAACCAAGGCGAAAGTGAATCAACTCTCTTCTTGAACAGGTTAAAAAAAAACGAATCATAGAATCGTTTAAGTCGCCACTCCAACGCGCTCTAAAAACGATTCTAAAAGTATACCACTGTGTACCTGTTTATCCCTGTGTTTTGTTTTGTTTTGTATTAACTTTTGTTTAATTAGCCAAAATATAGAGCTACGTAGTAGGCCTACCATTGATTACCTCCACAAACGACTTATGTACAGAAAAGTGTGTGGAATGGATACCACAACGTTGCTTGAAAACGCTATAAACGCGTACTACTGTATATAGATAATATGTAACCTATTTTAAATATGTTTTTAGGGGATGAAAAAAGAAACTTTAGAGAACAATAATTCGCACCATGATAAGATGCTCAAGCGCATTGCGAATCGGCTCGAGCGAGTCAAATAATGATTCAGTTCAAAAAGAATGAATCGTTGGCGAATCGGACATCACTAGAGGAGGGCAGAGAGAGAAAAATCACAGCCACCATCACAACATGATCATCACCCCACAGCCCAAACACACTGGTTCAAAAAACAACAGTCTCGAGAATTTCGGACCGAATCTGTGAAGTGGTCCCGCCGTCGGTCTGAAAAGGGACCGTGTTTATCTCTGTTTTTAAGCCGTCAGGGAGTGGATCTGTCTCGGACGCCATCTTTAGCAGCAGTAGCCCGGGAGAGTGAAGAGCTGCTGGGCCACCGTTAACCAGCACCCGGGCTGGAGGAGTTTCTTCAGCGAACTCTCATGCTTGACAGCGATCGATACGTTTTGGGGGACTGATTTGGGGTCGGTAGGCGTGTTTCTGTCTCTTGGGTTTGTTGTTGTTGCGGTCGGAGGAGTTTTCTCGGGCTGGCTGCTCATCCTGGCCTGTTGGGAGGGTAAGTGAGCTGTTAGCTCTTCTGCTAACTTAAGTTCATGTCAAAATAAACACTTCCTGTTTTTCAACACAACAGAAGGGGTTAGTTAAACCTTTGTCGGTTTACTGTAACCGATTCCAGTAAATTAACATTATAACGCAACTGTTTTGATCTAAGTTTATTAGTTTCCACCCAAGTCATGGGTTTGACTGTAGAAGTTTGGCTGCAGGTGATGAAGCAGTTAACAAATCATCTTCATATTCAGCCATGTAGAAATGCATGTGTATGTTAGGATTGTAGCTCTGGGGTGTGTAATCTGTGAGTAATAGGGATGTCACCAGGAGAGCTTGTCTAAGTTATTTCTGTCCATTATGATCATATGTGTCATATCTATTAAGATGTGTATATTTATTGTGATCTGAAATACAAACATGCTGTTCATGTTAAGTGAACGTGCAGTTTATCATCTCCAGGCTGATGTATCCGTGTGTAAACAGCCGTTTAATTAGATGTATTTGTACAGTTGAGACTGAATGATAATGATGGATGGACCTACTGTTTACATTTTGAAGTTTCCATAATGACTGTCTGTCAGCGGGATGCTGCCTTTATTGTTATAGATCTGATGATTCATAAATGGCTCTTAGACATTATCATTGCTTCTGCTACTTGTATATTGGTGCCCGTATGCTGAGTTTGCCCTGCCACAGTGGAAATGGCAGCTCTGATTGTAATGCAGTGAAACTCTGCTGCATTTGTTTATGGCTTTGCATTGCTCATAAACATGCAAACTGGTGGTATGTGATTGAGAGTCTGAATAGTGCCTCTGTTGTTGAGAGACACTGGCTGCTTTCTCCACCGTGATTGTCTTTCTCTGACCTCATTGCTGCCTCTGTCCTCTCTCCGCACAGCATCCGTTACACTGAGCCCTCGGGGTCTCCACTCCCACATCCATCTGATATCAGACCTCTGATTATCATTGATGTCATCAAGTGACTAGCACAAGTTTGGGCTATCAGTTTTGATTCTTTCCATGCAGGATTGTAATTGTCTGAAATATCCTAAATGTATAGCTGTTCTCGCAGTGTGAGAGCTTTGGTGTTGCACTGACCAGATTTGAGTTTTGTCCTCCTGAGTATTGCAATTAATTATGGTTATTATATTTAAGTGCTCAACAACAGTTTATTTATTACTAGTAGTAGTAGAATTATTGCTGGCCCATTAGTTCAGAATTTTACTTGCGTAGATAGTATAATACATGTATTAATTATACATTTATTATATTATTTATTATTATTACGAATGTAAAAATATATAAATAAATTGTTAGTCTTAATATTTGCATAGAATACTTTTTATGTATGTGTATTATTGTTATTACTACTATTATTATTGTTATTATTGCTGGCACAGTAGTTCAGAATTGTACATATTATAGTATAATAAATGTATACATTTTACATTTATTATATTATTTATTATAACTTATTAAATTGTTAGTCGTAATATTTACATATTATTATTATATTTATGTTTGTTTGTTATTTTTATTATTATTATTATTAAAAAATATATTATTATTGCTGGCCCAATATTTTCACTGGGACCATCACAAAATTATAAACTTATATTTTTATATTTGTCACAAAGGATCATATTTGTTTGTTTTTATTATAATAATGAAATACTATATCAATTAAATTATTAATATTTACAGCAGTGAACACTTTGTACTATCGTCATGTGTACAGCTTTGCTATTATTTGGCCTGTTTTCTGGAAGTATATTATAAAGACATTTTTGTTTTGTTTATTGTTTTAAAAAAAACCAGGCCAAATGTATCCTAAAGAAGCATCAAGGGCTTTTTCAAAAATGTATTGAAAAGTAAAATTGATTTTGTGCAAGAGACTAATTATACGTTAATTTAGATGTTTTGCTTGGAAAGAACAATAATATAAATACTTAGCAGCTAGAATGGTCTACAAAATAATGGCCATGGTACTATTTCCAGATGAAATGATCTCCACAGGTGCAGCTAGGATGCAGGGCCTAATCACTCGCAAGGTCATACTCAGTGTTTATAAATACTCAGCGGTGCACCGCCGGCACGGGACAGCATCTCTAAAGCTCTCCCTGTGGAGAAGGACTGGGTCAGACTCAGAGTTGTGCTGCTGTTTGTCTGGCAAATGAGGGGAACTCCCTGCTTGGACAGAGGAGTTTCCTAGACATTCCTCCTCATCTGAATTTAAAGGATGTTGTGATACTTGATTAAGGAGAGGGTTTGATATCCTGACGATTCTTTTAAGCTATAGTCCTAACCGGACGGTGTCTATGAACGGGGATATATAGATGTGTAGGACAGTAATAGTAATATCTAAAGTGTAAGTTAGAAATGACATTTTTGATAATATTATGCATGAACAAGCTGGGTTTTTGGACCGATATAGATATGTTCTTGTATTTCACATCTCTGCGGTAGCAGACCCAAGTTGCAGTTCTGTTTTTTAGCTTTTCACACATTCCTGAATAGCAACTCAGCATTTCTCCATTTGCGTGGCTCGGCTTTGCGTTGACTTTGAGTTTTGTTTAAACTTGTCAGTCCATTGTAAAATGAGATAAAGTCCGAAGGAAATGAGTGAAGGAGTGAAGAATGTTGATGTTGACTTAAAGAGCTGATTAGCACTGAAACGGTTGATGGGAGATTTGAAGTGCCAGTAGCACATGAGCTGAGTGAACAGGAAGTAGAGAAACCGTGAGTGAAAGAAAACGACATCATGTAGGCTGTTCCTGCCCTCCTGTTGTGTCGTCCTGTCCTGCCACATTCCTTCTGTGTGTGTCTGTTGATGATGGGGTGTCATCTCTTTCTGTCTTTCGAAGTCCTGCCCTTACAGCCTGTGTCACATGCTAAGCATCTGGCAGCTAGCATGATTGCTTTGCATCACTGATTTAATTTCTTAAATTCCATGTCAATGAATATGAATTGAGGTATCAAATTGGATGCATCACAGAACATCCTAGAGCCTTTTGCTATCTCTTGAATTGTAAAGCTGAATTACACCCTGAACCATGATCTAGAATGTGTTTTACATCTGTATACCTACTTAGCAAGAAAATGTATGCTTCTGTTGTGGTCCACTCCTCATGTCCCTTCTGTTAATGTGGATGAATCAAATTGCCATTTTCCTTCCTTTAGAAAAACTAACTTGTGACTTACGCCGGAGGTCTAAATATTTCTGGCGTATTTGGTCCCCTCTTCGGATTTTTCTTGAGAATGTATGTTGAATGTCTTTATTGTTTTGTTTTTTGTTTTGTTTTGGGGGTTTTTCACCCGATCCTTGAACTACCAGTTGATGGATGATTGCCTCCATAAGACACCTGTACCACGGTTTTGATATTGTAAAACTATAAAAACAATTCTTTAATAAAAAAAAATAAAAAAATAGAAAACACTTATTTTAAACTATAAAAAATGTATTTAAGAATATTTAAATATAAAAAATATTGGGCTTAAATGGCTTTATTTCAAGAAGGTAACATCTCAAATTAAGGATGTCATTTTTTTTAAATGAATCCCGAGGATGTGCCACTGCCACCCAGGATCATGAAATCATAAACGGTAGATATTTACTTCCTTAAGGTGACCTTGATCACATTTACCTTCATGCTATGTGGACCTTATCATTACACTTAACTCATTCATCAGTGTCGTATGGTTATTTGGTGTCATAATATATAAACAAATATAAATTCAAGCTCAAACAGCCTGTCAAAATGCCTGACACCCTAAATAGTGCATGATGTGTGGCCCAGTGACAGTGAGCATTTTCAGATATAGTTAGTGTATCTGTCAGCTCTGCATATAGTGCTCACGCTTGTGTAAAGGTGAACGGGACGGTGTGATTTGAGTGGGTTGATGTGTGTGTGTGTGTGTGTGTGTGGGCAGAGAGAGTGTGAGGCAGCTGGTGCGGTGGGAGGACGGCACTCGGGCCGGTCTTGTGACTGAGACATCAGCCCTGAGCTCTCAGCATTGTGTCTGTGCAGCCGATCATCTGAGCGTCTCTCTGAGGGGGGAGAGGCGTCCAGAACCCAACGAGCTCCAGCAACAAACAAAGCGCTATTTTAGAATGAGGTCATTCCTATGTGGCTATAGTTTGATGGTGTTTACTAATAAAGCACACAGTGGGAATGCAGGCTGTTTGCATAACTATGACCACATGGTCAGTGTTAAAGTTTAGATGAATTATGAATCCCAAGGATGTGCCTTTTTTTCAGTAATAGTGTGTGTTTCCATCTTAGTTTATGCTCATGTCTTCTTATCGGAAAAAAAGTATCCACCTTGATTGAGCACATAAGTTTTGTATGTGTAATTTTTAGAATTTATGCCCATCTTGGTGTTTCTATTCAGTGTTTTTTTTTTATGCAATATCCTAAAATAGTTACAGCTAAAGTTTGATTTGACCCCGCTGACGTTCATTTTATGGGCAAAAACAGTTTAATATTCTTCAAAATATTTTTTATGTTTCAAAGAAGAAGTAAAGTCATTCAGGTTTGGAACAACATGATTAGGGGAGAAAATGATGACAGAATTCAGTTTTCATTTTTGGGTGAACTGTTCCTTAAAATATTGGCAGATTAGGCTACGTTCAGACCGTCTATCCAAATGAGTTTTTTTGTGCATATACGAATGAAATCCGATCAGATTTAGCAAGTCTGTGAATGGCCAAAAATCACATAAAATTTTTACAAATTCGTTTCGAGCTACATACATATGTTTCGAAATCCTAGTCAAATCGCATTTCTGGAAATCCGTTTCTAGTCTGACCGCTCTGAACGAATTTCACATGGTTTATGTGTCTTTCTCATGCCACGTAATACATAAACATCAGATGTTGTTATAGGAAACATGTTGAAAGTCTTTGCAGAAGCAAGGTTGTTTTGTTGCAAAGTGCTGGATGAGCAGAAAATTACAGTATAAAGGAGATATGTTTTGAAACCGGCAGAAACGACAGCACAAATTAAAGCCACACATACCAGCCTTCTACGTTTCTGCTTTTGCCTGATAAGACACAGTAGTCCAGTGCGGCGGCTACACATTGACATGTTGTAAACTAAGACAACATCTGTATTGCAAACCCCTCCATGTTGTGGTTGTTGTTGTTGTTTTTGGTGTATACCTAACACCAACGCTCATTGCCATAAACCAATGCAGATATTCCAGAAAATGAAAGAGCGGCATGGGGCACTCAAATCGGATCTCAACAGTTGCGATTCACACTGTGGACTGTCAAAATGTAGTGCAGATTCCAATCGGATACAAATAATCGGATTTGGAATGACAGTGTGAACCGTAGCCTCAGGGTATGAAGTCAATTTCATTCATCACAACTCAGTCTTATGTATGAGCCAGCAACTTCTAGTCCAAAACCAACTGATGTAATAATAATAATTGTGTTTTATGATGATGGCATATTTCCTTTTATGTGTAGATTTTAGCTGTTCACTCATGGACAAGGTGGTGAAATAGTTATGCAAACTCCCAGGGTTCGCATTTTGAATAGTGACGGATGTTAGGAACCGTGACGCAGCGGAGCTGAAGAAATTCTCAACAGAAAGATTATAAGGTGCGTCTATCTGGAATGATTCAGTTCAGACGCGTACAGCTGTGAACCAGGTGTCATGATGTCTCTTATTATATCGCTCTGTCAGTTAGTCAGTCATGCACGTAAGCAGATAAACATCGTTCGAGAGGGTAGTTTGCAGCTTCTTGGCCATTGGCTAAGAGATGATGTTGCCATGGAAACTGATGTGCTAGTTGTTGCTGGGCTTCAGATGGGAGCCGGTGCTGGAAGCGATCCCTCTCCTGAGTTTTGGCCGGAGTGTGCTTGACTGCTCTGACACTCCGCTTATTAACATCAGCCTCTCGCCAATAAACCACTCCACCTGCATCAGAGGAAGATGGATATTTCCGTCTCTGTCTCTTTTATATACATCATGATCATCTCTATCAGACAATTTTATTTCAACTTTAGTACTCTATAAATATAGTAATCAAGTTTGTTTCCGTGTGAATCCCAAAACCTTCAATGTTTGGGGTCAGTAAGATTTTTAAATGGATGGCGATTTATTTTATTTTATTTTTTTAAAGAAGTCTCTTATGTTTACCAAGGCTGCATTTATTTAGTCACAAATACAGTAAAAACACTAATGTTTTGAAATATAATTACAATTTAAAATAACTGTTTTCTAATTTAATCTATATTTTAATTTATTAATTTGATAGCAAAGCTAAATTTTCAGCATCATTACTCCAGTGTTCAGTGTTACATGATCCCTCAGAAATCAATGCCGAATGCCGATTTGGTACCTAAGAAACATTTCTTATTGTTGATAACAGTTGCGTTATAGCATGTTCATATTATATTATGATGTATAAAAAGTGCCTTGTGGAGACTTGTGAAGTGGGGATTTGAGTGATGACATAAAAAAACTGTTAAATCAGATTTGAATAGTTAAAACACATTTTGAACTGAAAATGAAAATGATTGACTTGGTCAGCTGTGTAAGGGATGGCTTGACATATTCTGTGGTCAGAATGGTTTAAAATGGAGCAGAAGGCTGGATGAGGAAGCTGAGGGCTGTGGTGTCATTCAGGAGTTTGATGTTCTGGGTATGTTTGCCCAACAACAATGTACTTAAAACGGAAACGTTTTTCCTTTGGGTTTTTCCACGTAGAGACAACAGCGCTGTCAAAACGATACCCGTTCACACCGATCCGCCAAACGACTATAAACGCTGTATTATGCATGCCAGGCCAGTAGTTGGCGATGTCACTTTGTAAAGAAACTACGCGCGTGTAGACTGAACATGTAACGCTCATAGCATCTCCGTTTTTACAAAACGTCAACGGTAATGTTTTCAAAAGTTTGCGTTTTCAGGCCCCCAAAACGCTGTTGTCGTGTAAATGAACAGCCAAAATGCATAAAAAGTTTTCTGTTTTTAGTTGAAAACTGTGTCGTGGGAGCGGTGTGTTTGTAAGAATGGGAGGGCCACCGGTGTTATGACTGCAGCTCTTGGTTGTCTCCCGCACACTTCCTCTCTCCCTCTCTCTTAGGCTCACAAGAGGAACTCACTGTCAAGCTCAGTGACCACATCTGCTGTAATGCGCAAACCCGGAGCAGTTAAACAGCAGTTTAAGCACATAGTTTCTCTTAGAGTTTTCTAGTGCACAGAACTTTTATGATCCCCCCTTTCTGTTCATTCATAATTCTTAGCACAGGAGTGTTGACATATACAGTGAAGTCCAAACGTCTGAGTCCCCATTGAAAATTTGGGATTCAGAATTTTAACAAACTGATTTTTCACAAATATTCTCATATAAATCCCTCTGCATATTTTGAATCCCTATTTTTATCAATGAAATGCTAATGATTGTCTGTCTCTCTCTCTTTCTGTCAGGTTTTGGTCCATATGAGGCCACTGTCTTGCAGATGAGCCATCAGTGGGGGCTGTCGTGTCGCAGACCCAGATAGTGACTGGCGGCTGCGGCCCCGCCCCCTCCCAGCATGCCCAACGCTGTTCGCGCGGGGAGTCTGAAAGACCCCGAGATCTCAGATCTCTTTTTTAAAGAAGACCCCGAAAAACTATTCTCAGACCTGAGGGAGATCGGTCATGGCAGCTTCGGTGCTGTATACTTTGTGAGTACTTTTGCATCTCCCTAGAAAATGGCTTTTAAACTCTGTTTGCTTATTTTAGGTTGTGAGGAAACACAGTCAATCATTCTTCTACTGAATTTTGTGTTTATTTATTTTTACAGGCACGGGATGTGCGGACCTCAGAGGTGGTGGCCATCAAGAAAATGTCATATAGTGGAAAACAGTCTAATGAGGTGAAAATAAATACTATTTATAATACTATTATAAGTGCTATGCTGAGTTAAGAGAGATTACACATGATTGTGTCTCCCTCCAGACTGTAGCCTATGCATACTGTATATCCCATGATTCATTATTTAACCAGAGCTCTGATGCACACTGTATTTTTCTATTCACGAGTAGACGTGTTAAAGGTTTAATGAGGTGAATGTGCAGCAATGTTGTTATTGTTAACTAAAATATAACAATTTTGTTATTAACTAAAAAGTGTGTTTTTTAATTATAAATGGAAAAACTTTTTTTTAAAAAAACTTAGAAGTGTTGTCTTGGCAATTAACTAAAATAAAAAAAAGTTCAAGTTGAAGAACTAAAATTACTAAAACTGACATACATAAAAAAATAATGATTAATAGAATTAATAAAATGACAAAAGAACATAACAAAATGACTAAAATGTATACTCTATTTATACTCAAATTAAATCTAATTCAAAACATGAATAAATACTATTATAATATATAAATAATACTAAAATAACACTGGAGGACTGTAACTTATGGCTCAAAGAGGACAGTTCTTGTAGACAGAAAACAAAAAGATAAGGATCCAATCACTGTTTATCTGAATCCTATCTTTTCATAAAAAGACAGGAATAAACTCTTTTTTTATTTGATGACAAATCATGTCATGTCTTTTTAACCTGCACTTCTAATCAGGGTAAAAAATATATATATTGCTCCTGCCGACCAGAGAGGCATTTTCCTTGCATAACTACTGTATATGCAGGTCTAATTACATTATGTGTAGTTTCATATGAATTGATTAATTGGCAAAACTGATTACTTTCTAATCTAGTCTCATCTTTTTTTCTAGAAATGGCAAGATATAATAAAGGAGGTGAAATTCCTTCAGAGGATAAAGCATCCAAACAGCATAGAATATAAAGGATGCTACCTGCGAGAGCACACAGCATGGGTAAGAAACCTGACCCTGTGACCTGACCTGGCTCACGTAGCCTTATGTGAACATATGTATCTATATCGGTGGCAGTTCTGCATATGATGTAATTATATTTGTTGGATTACATGCTGAAATGTGTCTCTGTCTCTCTAGCTGGCTATGGAGTACTGTCTGGGGTCCGCCTCAGATCTTCTCGAGGGTATGCTTGGATGTTTTGATGCTTGCTTAATGTGATGATTAGCTGCAAAGATATGTGCTCTCTATATACATCCTCCTGTTATGAGCAAAAATAAGCATTTATTTATGGAAGTATTTGTTTATCTCCAGAGAGAACTCTATAAACTTTTTTTTTTTTTTACTCGCAGTACACAAAAAACCTTTACAAGAGATGGAGATAGCAGCGATTACTCATGGTGCTTTGCAGGGGTTGGCGTACCTCCACTCTCACAACATGATTCACAGGTGAGTTCTCATGTTAGTGAAGAGTTTATTAGTACCAAATCTGGCTATATATATATATATATATATATGGTTATGGTTTTTAGATATATATATACATATAATATTTAGTTTCTTAGTATCAAACCTGAATAATAATAACATATAGATATTTTTCTATCAATTATTGTCGGTGCTCTTTTTAAAAAATATATTATTTTTTTTTATCTTTCTTACCCCAAACTTCTGAATGGAGATGTATCATGGTTTCCACAAAGATTAATCAGGAAAAACATTTTCAACACTGATAATAATAAGAAATTTTTCTTGAGCACCAAATCAACATATTATAATGATTTCTGAAGGATCACATGACACTGAAGACTGGAGTAATGATGCCATCGCAGGGGTTCAGTTCAGTTTTGTAAGTTCACCCTTTTACTCCGCTGTTTGACAGGGATATCAAGGCTGGGAACATCCTGCTCACAGAGCCTGGACAGGTGAAGCTGGCAGATTTCGGTTCTGCTTCTATCGCTTCTCCTGCTAATTCATTTGTAGGGACTCCTTATTGGTGAGTCGCACATTTTTTCCTATTTATCTCTGAGAATTTCAACAGTTATAAATTTCATAGACCTCATCAAACTATATAAATGAATCAATCATAGGCAAGTCTGCTTGTCGTGCCTAAATGAGCCTAAATGTTGGTTAATCAGATTTTAAGCATTAAAAGTTGTATCGTTAGATTCTGCCTAGGCCTGCCAACTACTAAAATGTATTATTAATAGTTTATGGTTGCATTACATTACACTGAAATCTTCTGTTTTTCTCCAATATCTGCTTTTTCTTCTATTTTAGGATGGCCCCAGAGGTGATTCTGGCCATGGATGAGGGTCAGTATGATGGAAAGGTTGACATCTGGTCTCTAGGAATAACCTGTATTGAATTAGGTGAGATGAAATAATATGATTCATATAGACTTAATTTTTTTTTCTAATAGTTTCTAATAGTCTTTTTCTCCTCTAGCTGAAAGGAAACCTCCGCTCTTCAACATGAATGCAATGAGTGCCTTATACCATATCGCGCAGAATGAGAGTCCATCCCTACAGTCCAGTGAATGGTGAGTTGATAGCTTCGAGTTGAGGAAGGTTAATGAACACTAGAGAAATCCCGTGTTATTTAAAAATATCCTGCTCTTTCTTTTCCCAGGACGGATTACTTCAGAAACTTTGTGGACTCCTGCTTACAGAAGTTGCCCCAGGACAGACCCAACTCTGAAGAACTGCTGAAAGTAAGTTAAAGAAAGTACTCTGTTCAAACTGAAGTATGGAGTTCAGTGAGTTCTTCCTGAATATTTTATGAATAAAATATTTTTATCCAGTCTCTAATGCTCACCACGGGTGTATTTATTTGATCAAAAATACAATAAAAAAAACTAGCAATAATGTGAAATATTATTACAATGTAAAGTACTATTATTTTTTATTTTAATAAAATTTTCAGTCTTCAGTGTCACATGATACTTCAGAAATCATTCTAATATGCTGATTTGCTGCTCAGGAAACATTTCTTATTATTATAAATATTGAAAAAAGTTGTTTGTAAGATTATTCATTTCTTTAAAAAAAAAGATCTTACTGACCATAAACTTTTGAACGGTAGAGTACATAATTAACAAAATTAGGAGAATTTACAGCGTGAGAAATGATTGTGTTTGAAATATGATCAGCTTGAATTGAACAGGTAGATTAACACATTAAAGTAAAAATTCTCACTCAGTTTCTTTTAAAGCATCTGATCCTCCTTATCTTGATCATCATAACCTTGTCTTGTTGTGTGCAGCATGCATTTGTCCAGCGCGAGCGGCCAGAGTCGGTGCTTATGGACCTGATCCAGCGCACCAAAGATGCTGTGAGAGAGCTGGACAACCTGCAGTACCGCAAGATGAAAAAGATCCTCTTCCAGGAGGCCCACAATGGCCCTGCGGCAGAGGTCCCAGACGACGAGGAGGTCAGTTGTTGTAATAGCATATCTCGTCTTCCTTCAACCATTGGTGCTCTGTCAAATGTGTTTTACAGTCTTCCTGCAGAGGGGAGACGTTTTTTTTGTCCTGGTCTATAGACATGCATTGCCTCAACACTTTTTTACTGAAGAGATGTTTCTATTTATTTATTGTGTTGTAGGAAGTGGAGCACAGTGCTGGCCGCACGGGCACAGTGAACAGTGTGGGCAGTAACCAGTCCATCCCTAGCATGTCCATCAGTGCGAGTTCACAGAGCAGCTCGGTTAACAGCCTGCCTGACGCCACAGACGCCACCGATGACAACAAGAGCGAGGTGGACCTGATGGAAAAAGACCAAACCATCATACCCAACAGCTCCATGATCCACGTCAAACCGGTTCGTGCACGTCCACTGTATTTACATTCACATTTATTCTCTTGCTTGTATTATATGCAAAGTGCATGCATCACTCAGTCACCATTACTTCAGCACGTAAGACATAGGTTGATCAGTCACAAAGGATACTCCTACAGACTGTTTACCACTTTCTCGATCTGGCCAGCTCTAATCTGATTGGCTGACACCATTCATGTTTTTATAGTAAAAAAAAGTTGTTTACAAGGTACTGCCTTTTTCACATATGTGAAAATAAAAAAAAACAGTACTTGTTACTTTTGGATGAAAAAAATTCTGATCACCTACATGCATTTTTCAGTGTTTTCTGTACAACCTTTTACATCATTATTTAAATAAAATGTTCCCCATTTCTTTTTAGCACCGTATTGTAGTTACAGACCGCTAAACATTACAAAAAAACAATTACATTTTTCAATCAGTCATTTTTTTTTGACAGAATAAACTGCATTGTGGGCCGGATTTTGCAGTTTGGTCAATGGCTTAACTAAATTATTAGTTAAGTCAAAACCGCTAAAAGTTAAATGAAAGTTTTAGTAGTTAATGTTGAGTACTAAAATGCTTGAAGTATTAATGCAGGACACAAAACTTTAAGTTTAAGAAGTGAGACCTTTGTAACCGCTCTTTGACTGTCTTTGAATTCTAAAGTACATTGAACATATGCATGGCCTATTTGGTAATAATACGCTTAATGTGTCTGAAGGAGGAAGAAAGCTACCAGGAAGAAACCGAGGCTCAGAAACAGCCCACGGAGCCCCAGTCTCCCCCAGCACAGACACCACGACGTCAGTACCGGAATCGAGAGCACTTTGCCACCATCCGCACAGCCTCCCTGGTGAGAGCCAGATTACCACCCAAGAACAGATTCAGGGAGTCTGTTTGCTCTCTGATCACTTCAAGTTGAACAGTTCACTGTTTCTACTACACAAAGCTACTTTCTGTTCTGCTGGTCAAGCGCTTGTCATTGTGTGTCCTAGGTGACGCGTCAGATTCAAGAACACGAGCAGGACTCCGAGGTGCGCGAGCAGATGTCTGGCTACAAACGTATGCGCAGGCAGCACCAGAAACACCTCCTGGCCCTCGAGAACAAGCTGAAGGGTGAGATGGACGAGCACAGACTCAAGTTAGACAAAGAACTGGAGAATCAGAGGAACAGCTTTGCTGCCGAGATGGACAAACTCATCAAGAAGCACCAAGGCACCATGGAGAAAGATGTAATGAAACATTATCATACAAAACCAAACCATAAAAGAGCTGAAGATGTATTGAAACGTCATCAATTATTGATGTTTATAGTTTAAAAACATTGAACTGACAGAATTAATGATCTGTTTATAATGCATTATTCTGCCTATCAGGCCAAGACTTTTACCAACGATGAAAAGAAATTTATGCAGCATATTCAGAGCCAGCAGAAGAAGGAGCTCAACAGCTTCCTGGAGTCTCAGAAACGCGAGTACAAACTGCGCAAGGAACAGCTCAAAGAGGTCAGGAAGCCACTCTGGACAGCCTCACTCTCATCCTCGTTATATTCCGTTACACATTCCCATTTATTGCATTTTTTCATTGCAGGAGCTGAATGAGAACCAGTCCACACCAAAGAAGGAGAAGCAGGAGTGGCTGTCCAAGAAGAAGGAGAACTTCCAGCACTTCCAGGCAGAGGAGGAGGCCAACCTACTCCGCCGACAGCGGCAATATCTAGAGCTCGAGTGCCGCAGGTTCAAACGGCGCATTCTCATTGCACGTCACAACGTGGAGCAAGATCTCATGAGAGAGGTCAGCAGGCAGAGAGCTTTACATAAACTCACAAATCTAAATTAGGACTCCTTATGTCTCCAGTTTTGGGCTTTAAACCGAGCCAGAAATTAGTGACATTAATCAGTCTGACATGTGTCTGTTCTCAGGAGTTGAACAAGCGTCAGACGCAGAAGGATCTGGAGCACGCCATGCTGCTCCGACACCATGAGTCCATGCAGGAGCTGGAGTTCAGGCACCTGAGCACTATCCAGAAGATGCGTGCGGAGCAGATCCGCCTGCAGCACCAAACCGAGCTCACCAACCAGCTGGAGTACAACAAGCGCAGGGAGAGGGAGCTCAGACGCAAACACGTCATGGAGGTCCGACAGCAGCCTAAGAGCCTCAAGGTAAAATCACTCTAGCTTTCTTAGTCAAGGTTGTAAGTTGCAAGTCCTTGAAAAGAAGTCTGGTGGGTGTATAGCATAGTGGTTGAACTGGGATGGCAACCGAACTGATTAAATAAATAAAAATAAGATTAGTTTGGTCATGAAAAATTTGATCCAGCCGATTGCTTCTAGATGAACGGGTCACAATGTTTTTTAAATAACACTTTATTTTATGGTAACATAGTAACATTGTACTTACTTAAATAAGTACTGAGTACTATTAATGAACTACATGTACTTACTATAGAGTTACGGTTTGGGTTAGACTTTGGTTTAGGGCTAGGAACTTGTGATTATGCATTAATTAACTGTTATTATTATAGAAAGTGCATGTAGTAACGTGTAATTATGCATAATTAACTGTTGTTATTATTATAGAAAGTGCATGTAGTAACGTGTAATTATGCATAATTAACTGTTATTATTATAGAAAGTGCATGTAGTAACGTGTAACTACATCACCTTAAATAAAGTGTTACCTGATTAGCGAACCTTCCACCAACCAACTAGTTAATTAGTGAGGACCGCTGCATTCGATTTCATTCTTTTGTGTTCAATCCATTTGTTTTTGAACACGTTAACACATCCTATTTGAATGCCCCTGAGGAAACCCTTTGCACATGTCTAATTACTTGATTTATTTAACTAATTCTGTTTACTGATGTTTTTGCCATCATGTTGTTTCTCTGACAGTCCAAAGAGCTCCAGATCAAGAAACAGTTTCAGGATACATGTAAGATCCAGACCCGGCAGTACAAAGCCCTGCGAAACCACCTGCTGGAGAGCACGCCAAAACCCGAACACAAGACCATGCTGAAGAGACTGAAGGAGGAGCAAACCAGGAAACTAGCCATCCTCGCCGAGCAGTACGACCACACCATCAACAACATGCTCTCCACACAGGCTGTGAGTACAAGACAGAAAACAATAAGCTAAAACTGTTTGACCATCAATGCCTGATCTAATGACACGACGCTCTCGCTCTCTCTCAGTTGCGCCTGGACGAGGCGCAGGAGGCGGAGTGTCAGGTGCTGAGGATGCAGCTGCAGCAAGAGTTGGAGCTATTGAATGCGTATCAGAGTAAGATCAAGATGCAGACGGACGCCCAGCAGGAGCGAGAGAGGAAGGAGCTGGAGCAGAGAGTGTCTCTCCGGAGGGCCCTGCTGGAGACTAAGGTCTCTGGACACTTAAACAGACAACCAAAAAGCTTTGTTTGAATTAATTCCTATATGTTCTTGTAAAATATGTCCAATTTAGTATTGTCATATTGGGGTCATGCAGCTGAGTAGGATATATTCTATAATAAGTCTTATGGGGCTATTCTGGTGCAACTTCACAAAACCAACAAGGTGCGTGGAAAAGACAAAAATACAACACAAACACAAAACCAGCTGTACTTGTGGAGTGGAGAAATGAAAAAATAAAAATCCAGCTTCAAATTTTGATTGTGTTTCAATTTTCCACTCCACAAGTGCTGTATGATCTGTTTAGACAGACATTGTTAAAAAGAGTTAAACTTGTATTTATTTTTTACAGTGGTCCCAAAATGTATTTGGACAATTCATTTAATGTTGAACAGGGAAAAAATTATTTTATCATTTAAAACTAATGATTTGACATTTATATATAATCAAGCCTTAAGTGTCCAGATTGTTTGGGCTACCGTACATGAAACTTTATATAAAACCATATTAATAATTAAACCTGACTGTCTGTCCTCTGCAGATCGAAGAGGAGATGTTTACCTTGCAGAACGAGCGCACGGAGCGTATCCGTAGCCTGCTGGAGCGCCAGGCCCGAGAGATTGAGGCTTTCGACTCAGAAAGCATGCGCTTAGGCTTTAGCAACATGGTGTTGGCTAACATCTCTCCTGAGGGCCTCAGCCACAGCTTTCCTGGGGCCCCGGCCAGTTGGATCCCCCATCAGCATCACTCAGATGGCTCTCAGGGGACACAGTGGGGCAGCAGCACTGGTTCAGGGCCCAGCCACCACTACCACTCCAGTCAGGGAGGACCACAGGCCCAGCAGGGCTGGGGCCAAGCCATCCCAGGAGGTGGGCTTCCTCCGTGGGGCCACTCTCCCTCGGGCCCTCCAGGGGCCATGCCAAAAAGCAGTGTGGGGATGCGTAACAGCCCCCAGGCGCTTAGGAGGACCACCTCAGCGGGGCGCACTGAGCCGGGCATGAGTAGGAGCACCAGCATCACATCTCAGATATCCAACGGTTCACACCTGTCCTTTACATAGACACCAGTGCGTTTGTGCCAACCCTGCACACACAAACACACACAGGGTAGGGGAACGCACTGGCCCACACTAAAGACTGGCACAGAGAGCAGAGCTAACTGCACTCATCTACCCTCCTCCCTCTCTTCTCCTTCTCTTTCTCTCTCATTTCACTTTCCCACATGCAGATGTGCAGGTAAACTATAGTAAATATCACTCAGGTCAATAGCTATTCTAACTTTGCATGAAGCTTGTTTGACAGCCATGCAGAGCTTGAGTCAAAAACACTAGTCTAATTTAAAGCTCACTTGATGGGATTAATTTCATGCTTATATTATAAAGAAATATAAATATATAAAATCGAAAATAAATATTTTATTGGTTTAGCTTTACTCCACTTCATGTGTGGATTCATAAACCAAAAGGATGTTGAAAGGAGATGTTGGCCATAATTCTTAACATTTGCATGTAATGATTATGTAAGAATAGAATCTAAGCTGTCAGCCTGCTGTCATGCTCTTAGGAAAAACAATTTGGGTTTTAAAAAAAGAATGAAATCAAGATGGATTGAGTTTGCGCAGTATACGTAATGCCTGTGTTAGGAAGAGAGTTGGCCAATCTGTTGATTTGAGGGAAAGCGTTTTCGTTCTTAGATTTTTTAAGTTTGACGATTCATTTGCAGAGAAGATTTAGGAGTTTGCCTACATCAAGTACTGTATTTTTGCAGAGAATAATGTGAATTAAAATACACTTTTTTTCGTTAGTTTTATTTTGACAATCCCTTACAGACCTTTTTGTCATGTTTAGTCGGCAGGTAAAGGTCAATGGGGCCGTGTTGCCCAAGCAGTGTGTTTTTGCCGAGTTTAGGATTTTAAATCGTGCAAGCAAGCACAAATCTTTTCATATCTCCAGCATGTTTGTTTGTTTGGCTGTACTTGCATTAAGAAACTTAGTTATGGCTTCTTCAGTCTTCTTAGCCTTCGATATACCCTACATTTTATTAGGTCAGCCAGCTTTCATCTGGATCAGGTGTCCAGACACATTAAGATGTGGTGCTTTCTTGATTATTCATTATCTGTGCTGTTTTATGCGTACAATGCCAGCTTTAAGATATCAGATATATGTTCAGTGCCTTGAATGCGTTAATAATTTAAATATTAAGTAGAGACATGCCAAGATGAATGTTCTCATGTAGCTGAAAAAAACACTCCCAAATTTAGAGTCTAAACATATTCCACCAATGTAATGAAGGTCCATTTAAGGTCTGGATCATGAGTGTGTTTTGTTATGAATATATTTGGTTGTACTTATAAAAATGAGCTTAATGTAACGCTAAATACTTGTGTTAAACTTTTGAGGTGCCTTTTAATAGCTGCCAAGCAGAAGCACTTTATGTAGTGTGTCATGTTTCGAGGAATATTTTTACAAGCGTTCTCAGTTATGGCAATGATTAATGCAGGCGTAAACTGTAGTGTGTGATGGCGGATGTCCAGTATGTTTACTGTTACTCTTTTCAAAAGGTCTATGTGGTAATTTTAGTTTAGATAATTTAAAGTGGTAGATATTAATTATTTGGCGCTTTTACTAGTGTTGTCTGCATTTGTCAATGCATAAGGAAAACAATGTAGAACCTGTTTGAATGTATCCTGACCTTCGACAGGTTTATGTTGTGTTTTTGGCACTCTAGGAATGTAATGAGTATGAATGACTTGATTTTTTTTTTCCCTCGCAAGGTCGTGACAGCAGGCTTAGTTTTGTGACACTTAATAGGAGCAGGCAAACACTCTTGATGGTCTCATGACCTCCACACTAAATAGCACTGTTTCACACTCATTCACTACCAGTCATACATTTGGATACATCTACTGTTTATTTATTATTACTATTTTCCATATTTTAAATACTAGTATATTGAGTATACACTACCGTTCAAAAGTTGGGGTCAGAAAGATTTTTTTTATGTTTTTAAAAGAAGTCTCATCAAAGCTGCATTTACAGTGAAAGCAGTAATATTGTGAAATGTTATTCAATTAAAAAGAACTGCTTTCTATTTTTATGTATTTTAAAAAGTAATTTATTTCTGTGATGGCAAAGCTGAATTTTCAGAATCATCCTCAGTGTCACGTGATCCTTCAGAAATCATTCTAATATGCTGATTTGGTGCTCAAGAAACATTTATTACTTTCAATGTTGAACACAGTTGTGCTGCTTTTTGTGAAAACCATGATAAATTTTTTTTCAGGATTCTTTGATAAAAGTAACGGCATTTATTTGAAATATATATATATAACATTATAAATGTATTTACTGCCACTTTTTATCAATTAAATGTGTCCTCTGGCTCTTTATTTCTTTGGGGGGAAAATTCACTGACCTCAAACTATTGAATGGTAGTGTATATCAGAGGAGAGTAGCATTTTTTCAACCAAACAGCTGTTGCCAAGTAGATTCAGAATGTTTTATGCTGTAAAGTAAAATAGTCACACAAAATCTTTTTGTCCTATCTTTTATCTTTTACCTACATTTATGTTTACAAAGGCATAGGAGAAATGCCATGCAGAGACTTTCATGAAGATTCTTTTGTGATGACTCGCTCGATTTTGAGTTTATAATCAGTTCTCTGAAAATGATTCACAGAAATGAATCAAACTTACATACTCTTCCATTTTTGGTAGAATAAATCATATCTTCTCGATTTACATGGTCTTTAGGAAAGTTAATGTCCAGATTTTCTCAGCCAACTTCATGAGGTGCATCCTGGGATTCTTTTTAAATAGTATTAAAAAAGTTAACATTTGCATTCAGTCAGATGTGTCCAAACAAACGTTTGACTGGTAGTGTCGGTACCAGTAATTACTTGTATTTTATTAAATCAATAGCTGCCCCAAAGATTTCCTAGCCCAAAAAATATATATTTTCATTTCCTCCCTCATTTGTTGGCTGTTATAAGTGACTGAGATGACCAAGTCGGTGAGTAGAATTTCATCCCATATAGGCAGGGATCTTTTAACCCTTTCCCCCTGCTCTCTTTCTGTCCTCTGTGCCGCCCGTACCACAGGTGTCAGTGCCTAGTATTGTGAGGATTTGAGCTGTGCTTCCGATGCCCCTGCCTGCCCTCGCTCTCCCCCTCTGCTTTACATGCCATCACCCCACGCCAAGCTCCACCTGGATCCAGCGTTTGAACGCACGGATGCCTGAATGCACTTTTTCGGGGAATTTTTCAAGCTAACTCCCCCCCCCCCCCCCCCCCCCCCCCCCCCAAGCGAGTTTGTCTAGTTGGTTTGCGTTACATCACTTTGACTGCAGGAATCACGTTGACTGACTCATCCTTGTGAATTTTTTACTCACGTTTTAACACTTCTGATGGAGTACATTGTTACCTCCCCACCCTTCTGAATCCATTGTGCAATCATTGGTGAAGACAAAACTCCCGGCAGGACGTGTCCTTTCCTTAATATCCCACTGTCCAAATCCACTTATTACCAAATGGATCCGGCTCTAATGTGAAAGAGCAAGTATAAAGTGTACCTAACAAACTCCAGAGTCGTTGTCTGGGGAGAGTGTTCATATTGTATATTTGATTTAAAATAAAGATTTAAAATAGAAATTAATTCTATTAATCCCCACCCACCCCATTAAGGTTCTATGCGTATAGACAAAAGGTTTTAAAAGAGAAATATTAAGAATTGTAAACTATGTACCTTGCGCTTTTAAAGGGGTTATTGGCCCGTGTACTAGGAGCCTCGGGGCTCCGGGGCCTCAGAGTTGAACTTCAGGGAGTAGTGTGTGTTTACATGTCACCTCTGCACACTTTGTGTTTCCATTAGTATTTGAAATTCACAGGAACGTTTCGGGTCCTCTGTATTCTCGCCACCTTTATTCTGAACCCTCCATTCATGTGAATGTCAGAAGGTGCCGCATAAGAGCTATAAAAGGCACAGAAAAGAGTTCTAAAAGGATACAGGCAAATGTTTCTAGTTTTATTCTTCCCAACAAATGATCAGTTTTGTTTTGTTTTTTAGTACCTTTTGGATGAGGGCTGTTTGAATTTGGTTGCCATTACTTATAATTGTGGTGTTAATATCATACCTGCCACCGATATAGATTACACATTTTATTTTTTATTCTATCCTAGTTTTAAACTTGTCCTACTGACTGAATTTAGGGGATATGTAAGTAATACTGATATATGAGAAATACTAGAATGGAATGCAAACTTATTTTCTAAATAATGGAGGTTCAAACCTCTGGTCAAACACTGTGCCATCCCACAGCTGCCAAGCCCGGTCACTACTGCATTCTCCTGTTGACAGGCTATGAAAGAGTGATGGTTATTTCAGTTCTGATGGACCTGAACACTCCTATCGCCAACACTACAAAGAAATGAAACGGAGCGATAGAGAGGGGCTGGTCTACGGGGAAGGGCTACATTTCTTGTAAAGAACATCAGTATTCGATTGCTGTGGTCGAAATGGCATACTAATGTACTCCATACTGAAATCCTTTTTAAAAGTAGTATGTTAGTATGCTGTTTTCACACGCACCCATTGTCCTCTGGCTCAGCATCACCACTATAACTCATATGTAACCTGTATCAAAATGTATAGATCGTGTATCATGTTATTGAATGTCTAAAAAGAGTATACAAAAGTTTAAAAATACAGAATAAATGGCTTGAAATTGTATTAAAGTATTCATGAATCAGAGGAGACAAAAGTCTAGGGATAAATGAACTATTTTTTCTGTTCTGTAATTACTGTTGTGTTGATGGAGGAACACTGGTCAGTGTAATAAATATAAATTTAGTACATTATGTCTGACTTTTTATTCATGGAATTATGATTACTAGCAGTTTGATGGTTGCATTGAAGCTTTATACACTCACCGGCCACTTTATTAGGTACCCCATGCTAGTAACGGGTTGGACCCCCTTTTGCCTTCAGAACTGCCTCAATTCTTCATGGCATAGATTCAACAAGGTGCTGGAAGCATTCCTCAGGGAGTTTGGTCCATATTGACATGATGGCATCACACAGTTGCCGCAGATTTGTCGGCTGCACATCCATGATGCGAATCTCCCGTTCCACCACATCCCAAAGATGCTCTATTGGGTTGAGATCTGGTGACTGTGGAGGCCATTTTAGTACAGTGAACTCATTGTCATGTTCAAGAAACCAATTTGAAATGATTAGAGCTTTGTGACATGGTGGAAGTAGCCATCAGAGGATGGGTACATGGTGGCCATAAAGGGATGGACATGGTCAGAAACAATGCTCAGGTAGGCCGTGGCATTTAAACGATGCCCAATTGGCACTAAGGGGCCTAAAGTGTGCCAGGAAAACATCCCCCACACCATTACACCACCACCACCAGCCTGCACAGTGGTAACAAGGCATGATGGTTCCATGTTCTCATTCTGTTTACGCCAAATTCTGACTCTAACATCTGAATGTCTCAACAGAAATCGAGACTCATCAGACCAGGCAACATTTTTCCAGTCTTCAACTGTTCAATTTTGGTGAGCTCTTGCAAATTGTAGCCTCTTTTTCCTATTTGTAGTGGAGATGAGTGGTACCCGGTGGAGTCTTCTGCTGTTGTAGCCCATCCGCCTCAAGGTTGTGCGTGTTGTGGTTTCACAAATGCTTTGCTGCATACCTCGGTTGTAACGAGTGGTTATTTCAGTCACTGTTGCCCTTCTATCAGCTCGAACCAGTCTGGCCATTCTCCTCTGACCTCTGGCATCAACAAGGCATTTCCGCCCACAGAACTGCCGCTCACTGGATGTTTTTTCTTTTTCGGACCATTCTCTGTAAACCCTAGAGATGGTTGTGCGTGAAAATCCCAGTAGATTAGCAGTTTCTGAAATACTCAGACCAGCCCTTCTGGCACCAACAATCATGCCACGTTCAAAGTCACTCAAATCAACTTTCTTCCCCATACTGATGCTCGGTTTGAACTGCAGGAGATTGTCTTGACCATGTCTACATGCCTAAATGCACTGAGTTGCCGCCATGTGATTGGCTGCTTAGAAATTAAGTGTTAACGAGCAGTTGGACAGGTGTACCTAATAAAGTGGCCGGTGAGTGTATGTGTCAGCTGGGGCAGAGATCTCATTTCAAATGGAGATTTTCTTTACAATATTGATTATTATATTGACAGCTTGATGTTTTCCTTAAGTTGCACACACTACATTTCTAATGTCAGTTCACTTTTGTCTTCTTGTTAGATGAAATGGCAACAATCGTTTATTCTTGGCCACCAGAACATTTTATTTAATGTGGTAAAAAAAAAAAAAAAGCCCCGAACCTAAATAATCTTTTTCAGTGTAATAATTTTCCCAGTCTCCTTTATTTAGGTATAATGTTGTTCTCAAAAATAGTATCCTTGCTTTTCACTTTTGTTTCACAGCTAAAGACAGTTTAATCCCACCGGTAAAACAGACAAAATTTACTAATTGAGTTTGAAGTCTAAAAAAAACTTGAAACATTTTAAAATAAAAATACTTAAATTCATGGGAACATTTTACATGGTTGTGTATATGGCTGTTTAATGCCATTTTAGATGCAGTTTAAAGGTTCAATTATTCATGTATTAGACATATCAGAGACAGATTGTGTCCAGAGGGAAATGCAGAGGCCTATTTTGAATTTAAAGCTGATTTAGTCATATTATATTCATTATTTAAAAAAATAAATAAAATTGTATTCACTTTTCCAAAGGAACTACCAATAGGTAAATGAATGAATAAATAAATCAAAATGTAACTTTACTGTTTGCAACTTTCCATTGGGTTTTACCCACTGATCTATATATAATGACATTAGAAAGTCATTATAGATCAGTGGTTTTACCACGCAATTTTAGTTTCACATACTTTCACTTAAATTACATGTGCTCGCTTTGCGGGAAATTTAGCATTCCGTTTTTCTCTTCTTGATTTTTAATTATTATTGATAAACAACATATCTTGCAAGTTGCAACATTATTTACTGATAAGACTTCCTAGTTGGTATGACGCCCAGAAGTTCGAAAGGACGGACACGAATTTTTAACCATGTGAGCCACCGTAGACAAAATATGTGTGTGTATCCCTGAAGACTCATGATCACTTCTCATGTTGTTATGTGTATGAATGTTACGTGATCTTAGGCTGTACTGAAACAATTATAAACAGAAGACATGTGTGCGTGGAAGGTGTAACGTTAGATGTTACAGCTCGCGATAATCCGATCCGTATTGTCAACTTTTAACTTGTCAAAAGAGAAACTTCAGATGTTTATGGAAACCCAAGACTGAACACTTGGTTTCAAAACATCTCTGACTGTTCTGGTCTGCTTTATTACGAATCGCGATGGCTTTCTCAGTAGTCGAACGAATCCATAGCTTGTTGGTTTCGTGTTTCTTTAAGTAATAACTTTCCAACAGAGAACTTGTGTTTTATCCTCAAGCTCAGCATGGATCATCAGACGCTTTTAAACACAGTCATCTCATTTAACAAAGTCCTACAGTGTGTTGTAGTTATGTGGCAGAGATACCGTAAACCTTACCGTATTGAATGTATTTAACTGGACTCAGATGAAGTCATGAGCCGTCGAGTGATTCTCCTGTCTGGATTCATTTGTCTCTGTGTGACACAGTGTTGCCCCTCAAGACTGACACACTGCGACAATGGCAAGGTATTTGCTCAATTCACTCTACACCACGTTAGAAATTATTAAATGTTAACCAACCATAGTAATCAATTTACAATGTCCTGCAGTGACAGCCGCATTCCTGCTAGATGACTTCTAAAACTATGTTTGGCACGATCTGTGGTAGATCTCATTTTCTTATTACAATTATTTCAGACAAATCTAGTCACAGACCTCCCAGGACCTGAAGAGCTTGTGTGTCGAGAGCTCTGGCCACAGCCACAGACGGTAAAATATGTTTTTATTATACCGTGCAAAACTAAACTACTCAGACGGTACCAAATGCACACTGTTGATAAAAACTAGGGAAGCACCAATATGAACATTTTGGCCGATACCGATAATTCTTTATATTTGAAAACCAGTAACCGATATATTGGCCGATAAATCTAAATCCAAATTTTTTATATACTTTTTGAGGGCCTGATTAGTTACAAAAACAAAAGTCTCACTATTAAAAGCACACAATTATAATGTTCTCATTATAATTTTATGTAGCCTATTATGACAGACTTGTGCTGCATATTGCACTTTACTGTATATTTTCTTTTTGAAGTGATTTCAATCATATTTCAAGCCATTCAAAACCATCATGGCGAACAGTGTGCATCTGAAGTGTCTCAGCTGAAGGAAATAACCCATTTTTAATCGGCTTTAATATATCGGCCAAGTTTTCTTATCGAGCAAATAACAACAACATTAAAACATAGGCCTATCGTCTGATACCGATATGGTGGCCTATATATCGTGCTTCCCTAATAAAAACATGACTGACGGATGTTCCTTTTTGTTATTTCAGATTATCCCTGATATTGACACAAAACATATTATAAAGGTAAATGATATCTCAAATGGGACATGTTGACAACATTGTTCACTCTGAAGCATGGTATTGTGCAATGTTATGACCAATTCAACTCTGTATTATACATTTAAAATAGCAGGATGCTATATCTGTGTATCGTATCTAATAAAGTAGGCCTTTTAATAAAAGTACTTATCTTGTAACTTTGACTTTTGTCCCCTGCAGGCTGCTGATTCCATCTGTATGGACACACCCATTACATACAATGACCGTATTCCCACCCAGTAAGCTATGACACACTCTCAGATCATGTACTTGTCATTTCTTATCTGTTTTTACTTCTAATATAAGGGTTGTAAATAATTTAATCCGGTTTTAGTTCAGATTCCTTTTTAAAGGGGTAGTCCACCCAAACATTTTAATTCTTTCATCATTTACTCACCCTCAAGTGGCTCTAAACCTGTTTGAATTTCTTTTTTCTGCTGAACACAAAAGAAGATATTTTGAAGAATATGGGTGACCAAACAGTTGTTGGGCCCCATTGACTTTTATAGTATTTTTCCCCATACTATGGAAGTCAATGGGGTCCATCAACTTTTTTTTGCTCAAAATTAACAAAATTTAAATGAGTCAATACATCATCAACCCTTCTTTCAAAACGTGTTTTTGTCTTACCCTTATTCACTATGGTAAGCCGTTAACAGATTCGAATGTCATTTGATTAGAATTCCCAAACCTATTCAGATGTGTAAAGAATTTCCAACCTTATTCAAATGTGTATTTGTGCGTTATCAGTTTAAATTGTGGTGTTTGTAATACTGACACCTTAAAATAATGTGTAACCGTGTAATTATAGTATTGGTTGCATGTAATTATGCAATTATTTTAATTACTCTCTGTGGTCATTAAAAATCCCAGGATGTCCTTCGAAAATTGTTAGGGTGTAACCCTGGAATCCTGGCCAAATTTGCCCACTGGCCTCGGTCCATCACCATGGCCTCCTAATCATCCGTATACTCATTGGCTTCATCACTCTTGTCTCCTCTCCACCAATAAGCTGGTGTGTGGTGGGCGTTCTGGCGCAAAATGGCTGCCGTCGCATCATCCAGGTGGACAAAGTGCACATTAGTGGTGGTTGAGGAGATTCCCCCTTCTATGGAAAGCGCTTTGAGTGCCCAGAAAAGCGCTATATAAATGTAATGAATTATTAATTATAATTTATAGTTATTACTACAGTAACTACACATGTAACAAGGACACTGTAAAATAAAGTGTTACTGTTGTGTTTTTTAAATAAGTTGTTTTGTTTTTGTTTTGTTTTTTCAGTGGCCCTTACCGGCCTGTTGAGGCCGGGAGTGGAGAGTACCTCTACTGCCCCCCTCAGCGCTGGCTAAACAACCTCAAAGTAATCACAGTATTCACACTATTGCTAAACAATCACAGTATTCATACTGTAAATCTAAACCTAAAGCTATTTTTATAAATGAGCTCTGAACGTGTTGTTTCTGACAGAATGGAGCGCTGGTGTTCCTGTATCACCCGTGTGTCTCAGCGGAAGCTCACAGGAGTCTGGCGCTGTTGGCTCATTCGTGTCTGCCTCATTACATCCTCACACCTCACCCGTGGCTCAGCCAACACAGAGTGAGTCAACATTCACAACAGTAGCTCACAGTAGACACAGGTGTGAGCACTGGATGGTTGTCTGTGACTGACGTCAAACAAATGTAGATTACATTTAGTATCAGAATTATTTGGTAACATTTTTACAATCAATTTCAATCAACGTTAATGCATTATGTGTAATTTACTAATAATGAGCTTTCATTAATCTAGGCTAATTTATAAATATATTATTGTATCATTGTTAATACATTATAATTCATAATATATTGAATAATGTTAATTTATACAACTTTATGGCTGGTTTCACAGACAGGCCTTAGATTAAGCCAGGATTAAGCCTTAGTTTAAGTAATGACATTTAAGTAGCTTTTATAAACGTGCCATATAAAAAACATTGTTTGTGTGGATCTTGAGACAAAAAAATGGCACTGACATATCTTAAAATAAGAAATAAGTTAAAACAGCTCAATTATGCATTTTAGGTTCATTTTAAAATGTATTACTATTCACTACTGTTCAAAAGTTTGGGGTCAGTAAGATTTTTATGAAAGAAGTCTCCTATGCTCACCAAGGCTGCATTTATTTAATCGAAACTACAGTAAAAACAGTAACATTGTGAAATATTATTCAAATTTAAAATAACTATTTTCTATTTTAATATATTTTAAAATGTAATTTATTCCTGTGAAAGTAAAGCTGAATTTTCAGCATCATTACTCCAGTCTTCAGTGTCACATGATCCTTCAGAAATCATTTTGATATTTTAATATGCTGATTTGCTGCTCAAGAAACATTTTTATTATTATTAATAAGAACTTCTGCTTAATATTTGCTGCTTAATATTTTTGTGGAAACATCTTTGATGAATAGAAAGTTCAAAAGAACTGATTATTTTAAATAGAATTTTACTAGAACTGTCACTTGATCAATTTAATGAATCCTTGCTGAACAAAAGTATGTATTTCTTTTAAAAAATCTTACTGACCCCAAACTTTTGAATTGTAGTGTGTCAAGATACAGTAGTTCACAATAGCTAATGCATTAACTGGTGGTAACAAATTGAACCTTACTATAAAATGTTACCAATTATTGTTATGCATTTAAAAAGCACCATTTCTGACAAATATCTCATGTCTGTTATCTTTCTCTAAGCCTTTAGCTATGGTATCGTGGGGTCGCTCACTAGAGATGTCCCGCATCACAATTGGGGTTTGTGATTGGCTGCTTTCCATTTCCTCCAATATTAGTCAAGCTAGTACAAGCCAAAGAGCAAAGTACAATCTGTATTTGACTAAACCAGCACCTGTGCACAAACCAGTGAACACCAGTCAAGAGATGTCCAAAGTGGAGAGATTAAAGGTGAAGAAATTGCCTTACATTGACCAATATATCGGTCAAGATTTGTATGATGCAGTCGTTTTATGTAAATAGAAATGCTAATGTTAACCTTCAATGCTCGTCTTCTCCTTTAATTGATAGTCTCTTAAACACTGCTGCATGGAGGCTCTCAGTCTCACTGAGGTACAGAGGACTAGAAGGAAAACCAGAAAAATCAGAAATGTCCTCAAACAATCACCAGAGAATGTGGAACTGAAATATGACGTCAAACCAGACAAACTTAACAGCACAGAGAGTGCAAAACTGAATCGTACAGACACACTGCCACAAAACAACACAAAGGAAATGGCCTCCTTCTCAATGCTAACTGTTACACAATCTCTCAGTTCAGCAAAGGACTCTGAGAAGACAAAGACAATTGATGCAGAGAAGCAAATTTTACTGAATAAAGTGACTGAAAGACACAAATATCAAATAGACAGAAAAACGCACAAGAAAACTATAGCGGAAGGTAAGAGGCATCGCATCAAGACTGACACAAAGGCGCAGAGATCTGGATCTGAGTGCGGGGAGCTTGGACAGTGTGGAGTCCCAGACTCAGTGTCTCCTCATATAGAAGGGCCGCTGAGGGGGGAGAAGATACCCATCCCACGAACTGATGAGGCCGTGTGGGCAGCAGGCGCTCTGGGCTTCCTCTTAGTGCTTCTCACCCTGTCTGTGCTCCATACACGTCTCTATCGCCACTGCCAATCTTCCACCAGTCTCTACTGGCACGACAACCAGCAAGACTATGAGAACGTGGGTGGTGAGTACACACTCTCTCTCGAGTTCTTCATGTTGCGTAAACCATTTATTCTGTCACTTTCCCATGGATGTTGGCTCAACAGAGGTGTTGTTTGTGTTCCAGACATCATCCGCCGAAGGCTTAGGATGGTTGGCCGGAGGAAGAGGAGAAGCAGCCAGAGCAGGAGACAGGAATGTGCACTGTTGCACTCCAGCAATGAGGAGAACTCTGACTAGCTGAGAGGATTGGTGAACACTTGTAATCTCACACACGCTATTTGACTTTTGTCCCGTGCAGGCTGCTGATTCCATCTGTATGGACACACCCATTACTTACAATGACCGTATTCCCACCCAGTAAGCTATGACACACTCTCAGATCCTGTACTTGTCATATCTGGAATATCTGCCCAATCATGTGGCACTCATAGTGTAAATATACATTTTGTTCTGTTCATAACTCAATTTTGAAGCTGAAGAGAACTTGTCCGTTTACACATTCAAAACTACACAAGACAATTTCTCTCTGGTATTTCAAATAGTGACACAATTAAGTGATAAAAGTTTACAGTAATTTTACTACCATTCAATATAGAAATACCTTTTACGCAAGCTGAACGTCTGATGCATTTGGCCCACAACTGGAAACACTTCAGGATTTTTCAGAGTCGTCATCTGATTGGTTGAATTCTACAGGATGTCCTGGAGATGCATGTCGAGTTCTTTAACAGTCCACTTGGAAAAAAAGATGACATGACGCTTGAGCCTCCTCAAGGAAAATACTTTTTTTGTGAAAACAACTGTCACAATAAGCACTTATCAGGATCAACTAAATGCTGGATTTTCAAAAGCATTTTAAGTATGTAAAGTTTGTGGCATAAACTCTTTAAAATGCATCCAATGGACTGTTAGTGTAGGGACATTGAAGTTACATTTTCACGCCCCTAAACATGACGCGGAATAAAACAAACTGTGATTGGTTGCTTTACATGTCAGTCAGACGGCCTCTGGGCGGTCTTTAGCCAATGAAAGCTGCTATGAAGTCCAGACTTTCTGCCATCAGTCTGAAGATCTGGCTACGCAAGACTTGGTTCAAGCAGACTAAAGGATCGGAGAAGTCCTGCATACGTCTCCAGAGAGAAGTATGACGTTTTGCCACGAAGGTCTAGTTATGACATTCTGATTAAACATTATGAAGTCTAAAAAAGAAAAAATAAGAAACGCATGCAGGGATGAACTGTTCACAATGCAATCTTTAACATGCATCCAGAAATGTTTCATTTCATGCCAACTTTAAAATAATATGGAATGTTTTTGTTACATTAAAGCATTTTTTTCCTGCTTGAATATTGCACTTTTTCCTAATGGGAGGTAAAATGCTGTCATCATTTACTCACCCTCATGTTGTGCCAAAACTGTAAGACTTTCTTTCTTCTGTGGAACACAAAGAAAGACATTTTAAAGAACGTTGATAACCTAGTTTTTATGTTCCACAGAATAAATTTTTTTATACAGCTTTACAACAAGAGGGGGAATAAACAATGACAAAAAGTGACATTTTTTGGGTGATCTATCCCTTTAACTGGGTTAAAAGCTTCTTGTGATAAGTTTGGATGAAAACATGATGCGTTTTTTACTCTATAGCCCCGTTTGTCGGTGAGAATGCCTGTGGTTTTTGTGTCATATGACTTGACACAAGGAGGTGGCAGTAGAGACCTCTCCGGTTCCTCTGGCACTCAGTGAATACTGCGCTGCACTAAAGTTGAGCAGATGCTTTTTCATTCAGGAGTTTTTAGCATACTAATTGTATAGGTCAGAAAGCAAACTAGTGAAGGAGTACATCATAGCAGTTTTGGCAGTGACCTAATTTAGGGTTTTTGCAGAGTTTGCTGCTTCATTTGTTGTGGTGTTCATTAACATTGTTTCTAGATTATTGTGTAGAGTAATCAGATGCATTTTAAATAATTGCACAAAAAAAAGCCTCACTGGCCAAAACAAAAACAAATTTCACAGTTTTTTTGGCCCTGGCACAAAATGACCAGCTAACATGATAATTGCTAAGAACCAGCTGACCATCATCGCTTTGCATTATAATGGCCTCACATGCAGGGAAATTGCTGAAAAGAATATTGCACATGAAAGAACCATTACCAGATCATCAACTTCAAGGAGAGAGGTTGTCACCACCAGTGCAGGACTAATTAATATTGGCTACAGATGGCTGTGAGTGAATCTGCATGCACAGAGAGGTGAAGACCTTTGGACAATGGCCTGGTGTCAAGAAGGTCAGCAATGAAGTCACTTCTATCCAAGAAAAGCATCAAGGACAGACTGAAGTTCTGCAGGAAGCACAATGATTGGTCAGCAGGTATCTATTCATTTTTGTGCATTTAAAGATCACAGTGAATCACATTATTCCATTTTCCAATGATTTCTCACCGAAGGATAAAGGCATTCTCCAGGCCATCGTGTGGATATAGTCTTGCAAAACCTTGCTTATCCAGTCACTATGAGGAAGAGACTGATCTATTAAAAACAGCAAAACAAGCTCCAAAATAACATTGCCAATACATTATCCTATGATGACAAATGTTGTTGCCTAATATTGGTCCTATGTGAAAGAGATATCCTGAGTGATATTCATCACATTCATTTGAAAATAATCCTAGTAATAATCTTCTAGCAGTTCTTATGAGGCCTAAAACAATGTCATTTCTGACTGTTCAAAAGAATTAACCGAATGATTGCCTCAATGATAACCAGGATCATCTATTGCAAGTTTGAGTGGTTGTGAGTTGTGCAATGGAAGTCCTTTGAAAGCAAAATAAGGAATGCAACGCAATCTGTGGATTACTGGCTCACGGCTATGTATTGTGAAACCATTGCAGAAAACAAGATGCCACAGAGACACATAAGACGAGCTGTTGATGGTATATATACTGTATGTTTGGCTATTTCTTTCTTGCTTTAAGGCACCCTGGCAGGGCTCTTGCCAGGCATGTGAGGCTCAGTGTGTCCAAGAAGGGAAATGCTGTTGCATGTTTCAGGATGTATTTTTCTTTGTCCCTTTTTTTGCCTGTATGTTTGATAAACATGCGAAAGAACAATGTTTTCTACCCTTTTAGACAGTCCCTGGGTTGTCTGGAGTCCGCTTACATTGTACTCTGTATGCTACAAATTGAGCCCAGTTGTTCAAGGAAGGAATTTTATTTTATTTATTCTTCTCACCACACACAATTTTACAATTAGCCACTTTAGCATTTTATGGCAGAAAGGCAGTAAGCCCACAATTACAATCTGCTGGAAACATTCTTTTGCTGACATTTCTTGGATTGTAACTTAAAATTACACGTTTCTTTAAATACTGTCCTCCTACTCATTCAGGTTACCCATTTTAGCTCAAAAGGATTTATAAAGGGATTTATGCAATGTCTGCTTTACTGGAATCCAACACTGAAGAATGTCTCGAGACACATCTCTTCATTCTCCTAAAACAAAGTAAATAGAGATTGAACGGAAAATGGAAAAGCTAAAGGCCATATGGAAGCATTACTAATACTTGCATAAATTGCTTGTAAGAAATAATGTATGGTAAGCTCTTTCTTATGGCAAAAATGTATTTTGCCATAATATCTGGCTGTACATTATTCTGCTTGTTATGCATACTTGCCAAAAAAAGGTATATACGAACATTTATATTACAATAATAGTAATATTAACATCATAACAATGCAGTCATTTTCACTAGTTGATAACACAGACCCAAAAATTTGTGACAGTTGTGTTTTTATGAAATGAGTGAGTGAATTCATGGTGAAATACAATGAAAGTAGTGTCACCTGTTTTAGGGATGAGCAGTTTGATAGAGTCCAATAGTCAGGATTCCATTCATTTTCTCCATATGGAAATTGATTTTTAACTATAACTTATAAACCTTCAAAGACAGGACTACTATGAATTGAATACTGAATACTATGACTATTTATGCGTAAGCTGCTGTTTCAGATTTTTTTTTTTTTTTTAAGTAAAGAAAAGAAAACATGAATGTTTAAATAAAAATATTTACACAATTAGACTTCTGCCAGATTCTCAAGGAAAGGAAATAACTGCCTTCATGTATAAATGGTCCAGATCACCAGATATACTACAAGTAACACTCCACTGTACAAAACATTGTTGATATTAGGGTTATTTATGGGGAGGAAAAAAACATTTTCCAGATGTTTTTATATTTATTTATTCTATTCTCGCCAACAAACAGCAGATGGTGGAGATACATTTCATTGGCCATGAAATACTGCAGGAACTATGGATATCACTCAGACAATCCCATGTGAAATCTAGGAATTGTTTTTTTGTTTTAGGTAAATGCCTCCTTTGATGCCTATAATTTGACACATCTTACACAGGATCCCTTTTTTCTTGACCAGAGCAAACCACTCCCTAAGCTTGAGGTTTTCCTGGTTTTGGCACTGTTTGAGTCATAATAATACGTTAAAAATGGTTCACATCAGCTTAGACTTCCAATGTCTCCTTGGACTGGCCATTTTCAGAAGCTTCTGTGGTCTGCAGAGGGGAGATGCATGTTTTGCTCTGTCTAGTTTGTGCCTTTGGCATTTTTGGTCAGTATCATCCAGCACCTTTACCACTTGAAGATGATGGATCGGTACCTGCTCAGAATGGCCTGTCCCTGGCAACAGTAAGTCCTGCATTTGTACCTTTTTAATGCAACTGGGTTAGTACTGTAACCCAGCTCATATATATATATATATATATATATTAGGGCTGTCAAATGATTAATCACGATTAATCACATCCAAAATAAAAGTTTTTTTTTACATAATATATGTGGGTGCACTGTGTATAATTATTTTGTATATATATATATACACACACATGCAGGTATATTTAAGAAAAAATATTATTTATATATAGAATATTTATATTTATATATAATATAAATTATATATAAATCTATATACAGTATATACATGAAAATATTTCTTAAATATATACAAGCATGTGTGTGTATTTATATATATAAAATAATTATACACAGTGCACCCACATATTATGTAAAAAACACTTTTATTTTGGATGTGATTAATCACGATTAATCATTTGACAGCCCTAATATATATATATATGTATATGTTTATTTGTTTGTTCTCAATTAACTCAGGAGGAACAATCCACAATTCTATAAGAGATTTTGTGTCATCTTCCATTCTCACTATCAAGTATTTAATTAGTAACGGGTGTGTTTTATTCAATCATTCTATTCATGCATACATGAGCTAAAATACAAATCATTTTTTATGTTTATTTGTTTTTGTCTAATGTGAATGTTTGCAATTGAACATGTCAAAGAACACATTGGTGTAAAACAATGAAAATATACAAATGAAATGCAACAGATTTTTCCCTAATCCTAAAAGCATATATAAGTTAAAACGAAGCTTATGAAGTGGGTTAAACACAGTAACGGAGGGGGAAAAGACAATAGTTGATCCTTCCTATGGTGGTTCTTGCACCTTTTCTTGCAGAAATACCTGCAGCACTTCTACAGTTTCCAAGCGGATCCTGCCGGCCGCAGGAGGAGGAGTCGTCCCTCTTTCTCGTCCAAACTGAAGGATATGCAGAGCTTTTTTGAGCTGAATAGGACAGGAATCCTGAACCCAGAAACCCTCGCTGTCATGAGGACTCCTCGATGTGGTGTCTCAGATGTGGAGGATTACAGTCACAGACGTGGAAGCAGGTGGAAGAAAAACCTCATCACTTATGGGTATTTTTTTTTTTGATGTGTATGTGTGATGCTCTGTCTCTGTTTTTTAGGGTGACTATTTAACATTCTGTCAAGGGTCTACGGATGAAAAATAGCCTTTTGGGCTAATTCTGGCACGTTTACACTTGTTTATTAATGTGCATTGACCCTGTAAATAAATAAATAAATAAATAAAATAAATGGGTAAATACCATATTTAACTTGTATATGTTACATAAAACGCTCTTCATTTTGATCACCCACCATGTATGGTGATGATGTAAGCGGCACAATCTTACAGTGTTGGGAGGTACACCAGTGACTTACCAGTGAATACAGTGGACGCTCTGATCGCGTCGGCTCTGGATGCATGGGCAAAGGCCAGCCCTCTCACTTTCCTGCGGTCATATTCTCACCAGGCGGACATCATGGTGGAGTTTGTTGGAAACGGTAAGTTAGCATATATGCACATTTAGGCTACTCTTGAAGACAACGTTTTTCATCTGCCATGTCATTTATTTTGCGATCAATATCTAGAACATGGCGACTCCTTCCCATTTGATGGTCCAGACGGCACACTGGCCCATGCTTTTGGCCCAGGGGAAGGCGTCGGTGGGGACGTTCATTTTGATGAAGCTGAAACATGGACAGCTGGGTTCAAAAGTAATGTACATTTTACTTATTTTTATTTTTATTATTTTTATAGACATATTTAAATAATATAGGGCTTGGTATTAAAAAGAAAACAGTTAACTTGTTTTCTCTCTTTTTTTCGTTCAGGATTTAACCTGTATGTGGTAGCTGCACACGAGTTTGGTCATGCACTTGGTTTGAAACATTCGCAAAACCCAGAATCGGTGATGTATCCGACATATAAACATAGTAAAACACACAATCTGCTCTCCAGTGAAGATATCATAAACATCAACACACTCTATGGTAAAAATAAATCATGTTTCAAAGTCTATGACTGTGAAATTGTAATATTGTGGGAACAGAGGCAGTGTTTAGTTTCCACATTTATATGAGAGATCGCGTGTCTGTGATTTTTTCTCTCTCCAACAGGCCCAAGGGACAAAAGGCCCATTCCATCTTCAAGATTTAGCTGGGGCTATCCCAGCAACCCATGGTTCAGCGGTTCATATTTCCCTGTGTCATTCAAGGACACATGTAATCCCGATCTGACTTTTGATGCTGTGACTACTGTAGGAGAGGCTATTTTCTTCTTCAGGGACAAGTATGTTGATCACATAGTGTTGGCTGCCACTTAAAATCCATTTGTTAAAAAAAGAGAGAGAGAGAGAGAGAGAGAGAGAGAGAGAGAGAGAGAGAGAGAGAGAGAGAGAGAGAGAGAGAGAGAGAGAGAGAGAGAGAGAGAGAGAGAGAGAGAGAGAGAGAGATTTTTAGTTTATTTGTTTCTTATAATTGCGACTTTATATTTCACAATTGCAACTTTATCTCATAATTTTTACTATATTTCTCATAATTGTGACTGATTGTGAAGATCAAGTCTTCTTTACAATTCGGACTATATCTCACAATTATGACTCTATTTCTCACAGTTGCAAATTTATTTCTTATAATTACAACTTTATATCTCACAGTTGTACGTTTTTCTTGTAATTGCATCTCTTTCCTATTGCAACTTTTTCTTACAATTACAAGTGTTTTTTACAACTGAGACTTTATTTCACTATTGTCTTTATATCTGTCAATTGCAAGTATTTACCATTGTGACTTTATATTTCACAATTATATGACTATTTAAACAACTTTTAAACTGCTCACAATTAAACAAAAATTTTAATAGAAACAAGCGTCCATGGTGCCATAATATTACAGTGTGTCAAATATCTCCACCTAACTTCTTAAGACTCCTGGATGGCATAATACATTTAAATATATATATATAAAGGTTATCATGCTCTTGAATAAATTCTTTAGAATATTTACTTGCTTATAGGCTATCACGTGTACATTTTTTATTTAATAGGGTTATTAAATTACATATAACTCTTTGTATCATTTTAGGTACTTGTGGATCAAGCACAACAATCAAAATGATATAAAGGAAGGCCCCATCAGCAATTTCATGCCAAAAATTGATTGTCAGATTGACGCTGCTTATTGGGTCCCACAGCGGTCAACAGCATATCTGTTCAACGGTACACACATGGTTTTACGTTGTGCATCTTGTCTTCAAGATTTAAAACAACATTAATTCTCAGTGCTACTTCAACACAGGTACGATTTTCTGGACAGTGAAAGGATCCCAAGTAAAAGGCAGAGCGAAAAACATCAGTAGTCTGGGGTTCCCGTCATGGGTAGAGCAGATAGATGCTGCGGTCCACATTCACAAAACTGTACACACCCTATTCTTCACCCAACATCAGTACTGGAGGTGAACCATAGAGATACCACAGCAATGTATCACTAATATCAGCTTTAACGTGAATGACATTATAAATGTTTTTTCTCAGGTATAACGAACACAACAAGACAATGCATGACTCAAGCCCGCGGAACATTTCTCATGATTTCCCAGAAATAAATGGACCCGTAAGTGCAGCCATTTATAAAGATGGTGCGTATTAGATTGATTACACTTGGTCTATAATTTATCTGTATTTTCTGTCACATAACTTTTATCCATCACTGTACTTTTTTCAGGTTCTCTTCATTTCTTTGTTGGCTCCGATGTGTACAAATATGACGTCAAACATAAGGAAATTATTGGAGCAGATAAAACAACTTCCTGGCTTGGATGTTAATGGATATTTATTATAGACCTATTGTTCCTAAATCTACTTTTGCGATTCTGTGTTTAGTGCCGCTGAAGTGGTTTAGAAATGACACACTTCACCTGTAAAGACGAGATTAATAATGTTGTATTGAATTGTATAGCATTGAATTTCATGTGATAAATGCATCTACTGTTTGTCTTTGGATTATTTTTAATATGCAAATGTATCAAAAGAGTCCGAATGTGGTATAAATTAAAATGTATTTTTCATCTGACAAAATGATAATTAAAATATGTATGACTGTATCATTACTTCTTAAGAAAAACACTTGTTTGCATTCAGTTCTGCACTTGGATGCCTGAGGTAAACCAAAGTATTTAGCCTGAATATGCACTAATCGGCGTGTATTTATGATTGCAATAAAGAAAAGTACTTGTACTTGCTTTTCATGCTAAATTAACATTTAAGAATATCCAAAATGAACAGTATATAAAATAATTTACTACAAATCATGACACAATCATAGTCCTCTTCACTCCTCCATAAACCCCACTAAGACTTCTGATGAAAAGCTAGACGTGATCTTATTTTGTGGATGACAAAAGCCTGACAGTAAATTCTTGTTTGAGGGCCCGGGTCCCACGTGCAGGAGGGCCCGGGTCCCACGTGATCGCTTACTACCTTAAGGTATGCTTGAGTTGTATGACACAGACATAAAAGCGAGAGCATGAGTGTGCCGTGGTCAAGATGAGCTGGTTGTGGCCTTGGATCTTGCTGTGTTGGATGGTGAATACAGACATTGTAAGGACTTCTTGTGTGACTCATCATAGCCCCAGCCCACAGGACATCCAACATGCCGAGGTTTGTCTGGCATCATGTCATGGCATTAGACAGATTGCATTAGTGTTTGAGTCATATAACTAATGTTTCAAAGATACATTTGGTGTAGATGGTGCAACATCATGTAAAAAAATTCCTTTAGTCAATGTCAATGTCACTTTTATTTGTATAGCACTTTTAAAACAACACATGTTGACCAATGTGCTTTACATCATCTCAGTAAGTTTCTTAAGTTGTACTTTAAAGACAAGTACATGAATACTTCATAACAATATCAGTGATTATAATTATTTATCAATTAAAAATACATACTAATTATAACATGTTTTTATTCTAATTAATTGAACATATTCATGTAATAGCCTACTTATTATTAGTATTAGTATGTTATCAACTGGCCAGTAAAAGTAAAGTAAATAAAATAATTAATAAACAATTATTTTTAAGCCTAATTTAATATATTTATTAAAAGTTAATAATAATTATCTGTGTTTGTTTGAAATGCTAATTTTGAAAATCTAGGCTAAAGCTGATTTTCTGAATATCTGACTGTAATAATTCCCACAGGAACATCACCTGAAGATGCGCAGTCGCAGTAAAAGGCATGCAGAACTCAGAGTAATGCAGCATTTCTTTGACCTGGAGGAAAGTGCTCTTCTGGATCAGAAAACTGTGCATGTGATGAAAGAGGCCAGATGTGGAGTACCTGATGTGGAGAACTTCAGCGTTTATCATGGACGGTCCAAATGGAAGAGCAACACCATCACTTACAGGTCCGGCATAGTTACCTCTTACTTCCTTTAAGAGTGTTATCATCCAAATTGAGTATTCCTTCAAAGATTGTGTCTTGAAGAGTATCTTAGTATTTAATAGGTTCTAGTGTTATTGACTGAGAATAGTCAACTAGTGACTAGTAAAGCCTAAGGATTTTGTTTGTTTTTATTCCTCCCATGGAGTCTCTCAGGTTGAAGCATGTCTTTTGTAAAATGTGGCTCATATGAATCCCGCAGGATTGCGAGATATACCCCTGATCTCTGTCGAGAAGAGGTGGAGAACTCCTTGCGTTTGGCTCTAAATATGGAGTGATGCTGCATGCTCCTCTGAAGTTTGTCCAAGTAAACCATGGCAAGGCAGACATTACCTTCTCTTTTCTCTCCAAAGGTACATTTTAAACTAATCTAATGTATTTTCTTCACTTTTATACTTTGGAAACACATGTAAAAACCTAAAATTTTGTTCACCTATAGCACATGGAGACTTTTTCCCTTTCGATGGGCCTGGAGGGGTGCTAGCTCACGCTTTTGAGCCTGGAGAGGGCACTGGAGGAGATGTTCACTTTGACGAGGATGAAACATGGACAGCGGGACACAGCAGAGCAGGTACAGCACGGTAAACATTGAATCATTCACATAATGCAACTGTTGAATTAGCTAAAGGGGATTTGTAAAGAGTTGCGATAGCAATGCAGAACCATGGGTGGGTGAGCATGATTTAAGAATGATGGTCCAGATTTTTAAATAATAATAATTATTATTATTAATATTATTGTTGTTGTTGTTGTAAATTTGTATTATTGTTGATATAAATAAATAAAACTACACACTGATTTTTAATTACTTAAATAATAATAATGATAACAATAATAAAGTGTTATTATTAATGTGTTGTTATAAATTAATAAATGAATAAATACAGACTGATTTTTATTAAATAATAATAATAAGTATTCTTATTAAAGCACTGTTATAAATAAATAAATAAATAAATACAGACTGATTTTTATTTAAGTAAAACATAAAAAATTATATTATTATTATTATTGTTGTTGTTGTTATAAATAATTCAAACATACAGGCTGATTTTAATTTAATTTAATAATAATAATGTCAATAATAATAAATTATTATTATTGTGATAAATAAAAAATAGACTGAGTTTATTTAATTAAATAATAATAATACGTATTATTATTAATGTATTTTTATAAATAAATAAATAAATAAATAAAAACAGATTATTATTTAACTAATAATAACAATGATAATATTTTTATTATTGTATTGAACTAAAAAAAATCTATTTTTTTAAATATATATTTTTTATATAAATAAATGTATTTGTAATACATTTCTGTAAATAATATTTAATAATCATTAATTGTGTTGATGTGGATGGCACTCCAGGATACAGTCTGTTCACGGTGGCAGCACACGAGCTCGGTCACTCTTTGGGTCTGTCTCACTCGAGGGACCCCACTGCTCTTATGTATCCCAAGTACAAGTTCATCAACGCTGCAACACACAAACTGCCAAGAGACGGCACACTGAACGAAATGGTCATTTGTTTCCCTTTTTCTCTTTTTTTGAAAGGAAAGAAAACAAAACAACAGAAGACACCTGAGATCCCCTATAAGTGTGATCCCAACTTTTCTGTTGATGCAGTGACAATATTCGGAAAAGAAATTATTTTCTTTAAAAACAGGTGAAGCATTTAATCATCTCTACTGACAAATTAAAAATAAATGTTCAAGGTATAAAGTCTTGTACATGTCTCTAGTTATATGTGGATGAGAACAAACTGGAAGACATATGGAACAGACTAAGAGAAGGTCCTCAGAGTGTTTTTCTACCGAGCATCACCTCGCCTGTAGATGCAGCCTATGACATTCCTTCAAAACGACTGGTCTTCACAGGTAAAAATAAATAAATGCAAATAAATAATAGCATTCTGCCAAATCAACAAAGAATTTTCATAAATTGAAGACTTTGCTGAATTTGATAATTCTGATGTATTGAATATTTGAAACTTGATTCATTTAAACATTGTGTTATTATAATATAGTTGTGTTAATTGATCGATTCAGTCATTGTTCTTTTCCATGTACACTAACACTATACCGTTCAAAAGTTTAGGCTCAGTAAGATTTCTTTAAGGAATATTAAGTAGTTATTTTAAACTCTTTTTTTAACAAAAATATTAAGCTGCACAACTATTTTAATAATAAAAATAAGAAATATTGAGCACCAAATCAGCATATTAATGATTTCTGAAGGATCATGTGACACTGAAGACTGCGTGATGATTATGCAGCATTATGTCATCACAGGAATAAATTACATTTTAAAATATGTTAAAATAGAAAACATTTATTTAAAATTGTAATAATATTTCACAAAATTGCTGTTTTTACTGTATTTTTGTTTATCCAAATGCAGTGAGCAAGAGACTTCTTTCAAAATCATTAAAAAAAAATCTTACCAACTGTTTTTCCTTCATTCTTCTGTTTATTAGGTCCTAAATATTGTGTGGTTCACAAACTGGAGTCAAAGAGCTATTATGGCTCCATCTACGAGTTTGGATTTCCAGAAACAGTAAAACAAATAGACGCTGCTGTTCAGCATTTAGAAAACAGCTAAATTCAACATATTTTATTCAATATATATCTGAGATATCTCTCATTTTAGACAAAACCCACCTATATGTAAATAATAAATAAGGCCATTGAATTGTTAGGAAATAATGCACACCCGCTACGACGTAAATGTAGTATAATTGTGGAATAATTGACTCCTGTCTGTTGAATTATTAGGAAATAATGCAGGGTGTGCGTGTAATTTAACTAATCCCTATTATGATGAGAAAAGAAGTGTGATGGATCCTGGATTTCCAAGGAAAATTCATCCGGATTGGCCTAGCATTTTTGGGAAGGTGGATGCAGCTTTTGAACTCAGTGGTAATGGACAGTTTTACATAGTATCATTTCTCTGTAAAACATGTTCCCTTGGAATTATATGCATGTTTTTGTCAACAGGCCAATTTGTCAATTTATCTTCAGCCATCAGAAAAGACGTTTGCTGCGCATTATCAACACTAATGCTTGGCTTGGCTGCTAAGAATTGAAAAATGAGAAGAAAACAACTGATCACAAGTACAGGAAGGAAATGTTTGACTGACTATTGTGCCTCATATATCAAATGTTAAATAAGTTTAGTTGTACAGTATCAAGAGTTATTTCATGCCATGTGGTCAGAATTATCAGTGAATTAATACATTTTCTAGAATTATATATATTCAATATCTTTGAAAACATATCTGCATATCTCAGATTGACTATATTACTTAAAATTAAATGCACACATGCATAGTGCTTTTTAAATAACTTTGAACATAAAGCATCATCATTGCGGTAAACTCGTTTAGTTAACAACATCATGTGAGAAAATAAGCAAAACCATATTCATTTTCACTTGACTTTTAGTTCATGGGTGTGCCCATAGTATTATGTTGCTATTTCAATTTTGATTTTGGTTTATATTTCAATTTTACATTGGACACTTAAAAAAGAACAAGATGATGCAGTCCTGGCCTGGAAGTCATGAGAAAATAGGCAAAAAAGACTGACGTAACTGAACTAAAAGCACAGAGACATGGGGTCTCTGATTTAAACTGATATGGCTTGTTGACCTAAATAGTTTGGCTTAGTAATCAAAATAACATGGGCTCAGACCATATACGAGTATGGAGAATGTTAAAGAGCTGGGGAAATGATTTATTGTAGCCTGTAGCTCTAACAGGACCTTGCTTGCCCTGACTTTCTCAGTGACCACATTTTACATACAAGCCACAATACATATCACATTTAAATGCATTATGTTGGCTCACCAAAACATGTTGTGTAACATTTTAGATCATTTATGCTCACCAATGATGTATTCATGACCAAAAATACAGTAAAAACAGCAATACTGTTAGATATTACAATTTATAATAACCATTTTCTACTTGAATATATTTTAAAATGTAATTAATTCCTGTAATGGTAAAGCTGAATATTCAGCATCTTTACTTCAGCCTTCACATGATCCTTCAGAAATTATAATAGGCTGATTTGCTTTTTGCTAACATTTATTATTTATTATTAATGGTGTGTGTGTGTGTGTGTGTGTGTGTGTGTGTGTGTGTGTGTGTAAAAAAATTAGCATATTGTGATAAAGTTCATTATTTTCCATAATGTAATGATAAAAATTAAACTTTCATATATTTTAGATTCATTGCACACCAACTGAAATATTTCAGGTCTTTTATTGTTTTAATACTGATGATTTTGGCATACAGCTCATGAAAACCCCAAATTCCTATCTCAAAAAATTAGCATATCATGAAAAGGGCCTCTAAACGAGCTATTAACCATTTACCATTACTCAAAACCGCAATCATCATGGGTAAGACTGCCGACCTGACTGCTGTCCAGAAGGCCATCATTGACACCCTCAAGCAAGAGGGCAAGACACAGAAAGAAATTTCTGAACAAATAGGCTGTTCCCAGAGTGCTGTATCAAGGCACCTCGGTGGGAAGTCTGTGGGAAGGAAAAAGTGTGGCAAAAAATGCTGCACAACGAGAAGAGGACTGCTCCAACTAAACATGCTATAGTTGGACAGAGTAACACATACACTCACCGGCCACTTTATTAGGTACACCTGTCCAACTGCTCGTTAACACTTAATTTCTAAGCAGCCAATCACATGGCAGCAACTACGTGCATTTAGGCATGTAGACATGGTCAAGACAATCTCCTGCAGGTCAAACTGAGCATCAGTATGGGGAAGAAAGGTGATTTGAGTGACTTTGAACGTGGCATGATTGTTGGTGCCAGAAGGGCTGGTCTGAGTATTTCAGAAACTGCTAATCTACTGGGATTTTCACGCACAACCATCTCTAGGGTTTACAGAGAATGGTCCGAAAAAGAAAAAACATCCAGTGAGCAGCAGTTCTGTGGGCGGAAATGCCTTGTTGATGCCAGAGGTCAGAGGAGAATGGCCAGACTGGTTCGAGCTGATAGAAGGGCAACAGTGACTGAAATAACCACTCGTTACAACCGAGGTATGCAGCAAAGCATTTGTGAAGCCACAACACGCACAACCTTGAGGCGGATGGGCTACAACAGCAGAAGACTCCACCGGGTACCACTCATCTCCACTACAAATAGGAAAAAGAGGCTACAATTTGCAAGAGCTCACCAAAATTGAACAGTTGAAGACTGGAAAAATGTTGCCTGGTCTGATGAGTCTCGATTTCTGTTGAGACATTCAGATGTTAGAGTCAGAATTTGGCGTAAACAGAATGAGAACATGGAACCATCATGCCTTGTTACCACTGTGCAGGCTGGTGGTGGTGGTGTAATGGTGTGGGGGATGTTTTCCTGGCACACTTTAGGCCCCTTAGTGCCAATTGGGCATCGTTTAAATGCCACGGCCTACCTGAGCATTGTTTCTGACCATGTCCATCCCTTTATGGCCACCATGTACCCATCCTCTGATGGCTACTTCCACCATGTCACAAAGCTCTAATCATTTCAAATTGGTTTCTTGAACATGACAATGAGTTCACTGTACTAAAATGGCCTCCACAGTCACCAGATCTCAACCCAATAGAGCATCTTTGGGATGTGGTGGAACGGGAGATTCGCATTATGGATGTGCAGCCGACAAATCTGCGGCAACTGTGTGATGCCATCATGTCAATATGGACCAAACTCCCTGAGGAATGCTTCCAGCACCTTGTTGAATCTATGCCACGAAGAATTGAGGCAGTTCTGAAGGCAAAAGGGGGTCCAACCCGTTACTAGCATGGGGTACCTAATAAAGTGGCCGGTGAGTGTAGAAATCAATTATTAGACATGACATATTCAATAAAATAGTGATTTATTAAAATACATAAAATAATAAACCATCTAAAGGACAGAAAACAATAACATTTAACTTCCCTCTCGGTACTGTAAAGAAAGAATACCACCTAGAGGATGTACAGAGGAAATTATGTTCACAGAAATGTAGTCACATTGTGCAGCTGATGGAAAAGGTCCAGTTAAGTAAAACATAAAAAAGGCAATGAACTAAATGACAGCTGGTGCAGTGAAACAAATGAAATGACACTCTTTCACATACATAGTCAATAATTACAGTTTAGTCTTAAATTATTTCCTTTTTTGTTTTGAAGAGTGCCGAATTAGTCGGGGCCAGCATATAAACATCTTTAAAGTATGCAAATGATTACTAGGCTATCATGGTGTATATGTACAATATCTCACATTCTGGATGTAAAACAGAAAGCAGCTATTTAGATTCGGTAACTCTGCTGAATAGATCACTCTCAGTAGCACACATGGCTTGTTATGTCCCTGATATGCTGGCGAGCAGCATGGCTTGTCCTCAGCGTCGTTACTCATCATAATGCAGGGATGACAGGAATTTGTCCACATCTAAGTCATCGGGAAAGGAGTCCAGCAGCTTCTTCTGTTTCTGAAAAAGAAAAAGGAATTCGAATTCAGCCGGACAATTTCAACATAACAGACAATGCATGCTGAGGTACAGAATTAGACAGAAATGAGTCCGACTTCTCTGATTGGCTGGGCTACAGTAAGCTGACCTGACACACTGTCTACTACTGCCTATTATTGTCTACACAGAATGCATACTAACTCAATGCTATAGCAGGGTATATGCAGGAATCCTGAAGTTAATTTTAATACCTTTTCAAGACTTTTTCAAGACCTTCTCAATATTTTTTAATACCTCACCGCCACTTCAAGCTGTAACCATTTACATCAGTGATACTTTTAACTTAACAGTTTTAGTTTGTGATAAAGACTATAGACCACTCTGATAAAAAAAAATCAAATAGGCTGGGATAGTAAATCAAAGTAAAGTTTATTAAAAAACAAAACAAAACTTTGCTCCACCCTCAACAACAATCATGCTGACATGTGCCTCAGTTCTTCGTTTTTTTAATAAAAATGACTAAATTCACACACTTTTACGATGTTTTGGGGACTCAAACTGTTGGACAGCTAATTCAGAAAAAATACTTTCAAAATGTAATACTTTATAAAGCCGTGATAAGACTTAATAATACTTTTTAAGGGTCTTAATTTTCCCAAAATTGATTTATCACCTTTTAATACTTTTCAAGACCCTGCGGATACCCTGTATAGGTATACAAATGAAACAACTGGTCTGAGATGCTTTTTGAAATTTCATATATATATATACACACACACACATACATACATATATAATGCACCATTGTTTAAAAAAACTAAATTTAAGTTAGTAAAATTTTATTTAATTTGTAATATAACATAAGAAATGTTCCCTATCAATATTTTGTAAAATAAAAGTACTTATAATAAAATATCTAACAAACATTTATATAACAACAAATAACACATTTTGATCCAAGGCAGCGGACGTATCCACTAAGTTTCTCACATCATATTTTGAAATTGCCTTAAAATGTAGGATATGTGATGTTGCTTCAGATTTGGCATAAATAAGCTATTTCAAAAGCATAATTTTGCCACTATTGCTGCATGGCTATGATATTTTAAAAAAGCTATCTAGGCAGCTGGGTAGGTTGAGACGTGGTCAATCTTGATGGTTTTTCACAAACAGCCAATACAATATCAACTCACCTTAGATTTCTTTTTACTGCTTGAGGAGCTGGAAAGCTGTAGCTCTTTCTTTGCCAGAGGGCTTGTTTCAAGTTGCTTTCGTTTCTTTGCTTTAGGGATGGCGGATTTCCCAGCACTGGCCTCCTCTTGACGCAAGCTGTCTTTCAGAGGACCTCCTGTCCTGGCGGCGCGTGACAGGATCATGAGAGTGTGGGCGGCCATATTGATGCTGTTCTCACTCCCCGCCTCGCTGGCAGGACTGCAGGAGGGGATATCAGGTGTGGCGGGAGGGGGGAGATGCCTCGGCGTGCTTTCACCCTCCCTCCTAAGTCTTTGCCGTGACGGGGTTCTCAAACCATCCATCTGCTCCTCCTGTGCACGTCCTGGTCCAGGTGTTCTTGGGAGAGGGAGATCTGGACCTCTCGCTGCCGGCCTCTTCGGCGGAGTGTCCGCAGGAGCCTGGCCCTGTATGTCCTGCAGCATCTCAGCGGCTTGTTTAGTTAGGGGGCTCGTCTTGCATAAAGTTTTATTGGAAGTGCTCGATACGGGTGCCGGCGATTTTGCTGTAGAAGATATAAGATCCTCAGCGGGGCGTGCAGATGTCTGATGATGGCAGCTCTCGAGCTCATTTTCTTTATTTGCAGTGATGCCTGGAGAGTCCTGTAAGGAAGCTTTCTCTGAGAAACTCTCTGCTGGTTTTAAAAGCGTTCTTTCACGAGATTCTTCTTGTGTGCTGTCCTTTGTGTTGCCTACTGGTTTCTGCTTTGGCCCCGGAGCAGATGATTTTGAACTCTGTAAAACCACTCCGCCATCCTCCTGTGATCCTTGTGATTTTTTCGGTGATTCTGATCTAATGTGAGACTCTGGCTCAGTTGCAGCTTTGTTGGAAGACTTGGTATTTACAATGATTAGATTTAATCCCTTTTCTGTTACTTTACTTTTTGGGAGTTCTTTTTGTTGATGAAATATGGTGATTTTTTCAGAGTTCTTTATAACTGCATTGGGATGTACATCTGGCAATCTTATCGTTTCTATTCTTCTTTTACAATTGTCAGAAACTAAAGGCTGTTTCGGTTTAGTGGGTGTGATTTCTTTCTGAATCTGCTGAGTCGGGGAGGATGTAACAGCAGAGGACGCGGGTGTGTTTGTCTGTAAGGAATTTTGCCCGACTGCAGAGTTTTCAGGTGTAACGTCAAAGCAAAGTATTCGTCGATGGCTGGGACTTGTTCCACTCACACACTTTTGTTGCTCAGACGTCTGGGGAAGTACTTTTGAAACTTGGCCGGACCCAGATGTGACAGTTTTGCCTGAAAATCAGTAAATCAAATCATGTCACTGAATTACAGTGATGCATAAGCACAAAAATGCATTACAGAAACTGTAACCTTGAGATTAAAACAAAACAGTTATTAAAGAATGTAAGCTAATGTTAATTTCAAATAAAATAACAATTCTACTAAAATCTAGGAATCTAATAAAAAGAAATTACTAAATCTCAGTAAAAACATTCATTGACATACTTAATTGAATGTTACAGGATTACCTTTCTAAAAAAAAAGTTGTGCTGCATCATATTTTATGTAATAAAAATATTATTAATATAATTAAATAAAAATAAAATACATTTGTAAATGAAAGATGTCCTACCCATGTCAGTGTTTTCCTTGGGTGCCAATTTAGGTTGAGAAATAATTTTTGCAGGTTGCCTTACAGTGGGTGAACATGGCAAAGCCATCTGTATATAAAAAGGTAGTGGTTATTAATAGAACAAAACTATGATTGTGTTGGAAAACTGAGGCCATGTCCACACTAATACGTTTTCGTTTGAAAACGTATATTTTTCTCTCTGGTTTGGCCTTCCGTCCACACTGAGACGGCGTTTTAAGTCAATGAAAACGTAGCTTTTGGAATACGCTCTTTTTAAACGAAAACACCGTTTTCAAATGTATCCGGATTAATGTGGACGTAGCCTGACAATGCTTGTAAGCGTCAAAGTTACTAACCTGATTGGGAAGAACTGTGAGTTTTCCAGTATTCTGCCCCATTACAGACAATGGAAGCATTACATTTTGTAACATGGGCGGAACTGGTGAGGATATAATGATTGTGGAGCCTAAAAAATACAGTTGGAATTTTAAAGATGCAGCCTTAATCCTGAGGAAGACTAAAAGTCTGTAAATGAGTGCTTCAACGTAAACACGAAACATACAAACCAAATAAAGGTATAAAGTGTCTTATATAATCAAACTAACTCTTCACTCACCAGGCGAAAAGGTCTGAGAGACATTTGGTCCCATGGACACCACAGTCCTCTGGCGAGGTGGCGTAGTTACCACATGTTGCAATGAAGACATAGTCCCTTGAGGCACATTACTTGAAAGCAGCATGACATTTGCCCGCTGCTCGGCAGCAGCCGGATCTGTTACGACAAAATAGCTACCTGAAGACCCAAAGGCTGTGTTGGCTTGTAACAGCTGAATGAAACCGGTTTCCTGACCTGTGGGACGTGCCAGAGGAGCCTGTCCATTATTCTGCATGCTCCTCGTAGGTGTTCCAAATGATCCAACACCCTCCGCCCCCTGTAAGCAGCTCACAGCCTGAGCCGTTTCATCTTGTGTTATGACCGTAGAGGTTGCAGGCAAAGTCTTGGCAGGGGAGGACAGGAAGATGGTGGGAATGTGGTCACTGGTGATGCTGGAAACAGCCTGGTTCAGTGCTGCATCAGTAGTGAGCTCGTCCTGCTCATCACTGATGATGATTTTCAGAGACACGATCTTACTGGGGTCAGGCTCCTTGGCCTGGGCATCAGAAACGCACGTGGAGGTAATCGGCGTAGTGGCAGAAGATGAAGAAGCTGCTGTAGGGAGATTGTTCCTGATAGTGCTGGGCTGAGTTTGTGTGCAGGAAGGAGTTAAAGGCGTTTTATTTGAGGAGGACAGAGAAGCTGTTTTGGCGGATGTGTCCATGTCAGTTTGGGGTGGATTAAGTGAGGTCACAGCCTCACTTTGAATGGATAAAGAGGTTCCCATATCCACATTCTGTCCGATGGTCATTCCTGTTACTCTCCCAGACTCATTTACAGATGTATTATCTGAGATTTCAGTAGCGAGTGTGGTTTGTGGCGTCTTATTTGACACAAGAACGTGACTGCTTGCATTTTCATTGATTGTTTCAGTTGTGTGAGAGCTCTCCAGATGAACTAGCTGTTGATTCTGAACATTTACTCTCTCAGAGGTTTCACTTTCTGGTTCATCTATCTCCATGCCAACTCCTTCTTCAGCGAAGGAGGAACTTGATACGATTTGGTCAGGTGGACGTGAATCCGCTTTATCGTTCAACTTTGGAGAAGTTGAAGGCGCACCTCTGGATTGTTTATTGCCAGATAAAACTCTAGCCCTGACTACCCCTGTCTTAGAATTTGTGGATCCTTCTGCTGTTTGTTTGGTTATAATACGTGGCTGCGAAGCTGTAGAAGAAGACTTTGCCACATTACGAAGGCCGGAAGATTTCTTTTTGCTTTTTGACTCAGACATATTTTGGATGCTTAAGTTTTGTGCACTACTTTCTCCTCCTGTTGTGGAATCCTCCTGTCCAGTACCTTGTATTAAAAAATAACAATACATTTAACAGTTATTACACTACCGTTCAAAATCTTGGAGCCAGTAATTTATTTATTTTTTAAATATTAACTTTTATTCAGCAAGTATACATTAAATTGATCAACAGTGACAGTAAAGACATTTGTAATGTTACAAAATTTATTTCAAATAAATGCTGTTCTTTTAAACTTTCTAGTATTCAAATAATTTTTCAATTATGTATCATGGTTTCCACAAAAATATTAAGCAGCGCAACAATTTTCCTCATTTATAATATTTAGACATTTTTTGAGCACCAAATTAGCATATCAATGATTCAGAATGATTTCTGAAGGATCATGTGAGACTGAGGACTGATGCTGAAAATTCAGCTTTGCATCACAGGAATAAATTGCATTTCAAAATATATTAAAGGTGCTATATGTATTTTTTAGCGGCCTCCATCGGTGATGTTTCAGATTGCAACCAACTTTTACAAGAGCGCTCGTGCTCTTGCGCGTGCTCGAACACAAGAGCGAGCACTCATGGTACACGGCCACACTAAGACTTTCAACACACCGGAGAAAGCATCACACATGCTGGAAACTCATCTAAACTCCCACTGCAACGTTACAATAATAGGCTACTTTTATCAGCTTGACGTTGAACTAATGCTCCATGCTCGTACCATGATAACGTTACATTGACTGCCTTTAGCTGACATGTGGTGTTAGCATAAGGCATTTCCCTAACTATTCGTGTCTTTCACAATCAGGCAGCAATGTCAACATAGATGAATGTATAATATGATAACGAAAACGGTTAGTGACTAGACTGAACAATTTCAGTGTAACAGTAAGATCGTAGGAAGTAACATTACTGAACGTGTCTGGAAATGTGTATTATAAACAATATGATAGTAGTGGGATGAGTGACGTTAGACAGTAGATCTAGTACATAAAATAAAAGTTACATCCTAAAGCACCTACTTTTTGTTATCCTGGAACAATCTTTTGTATTAATTTCATATCTCATGTATGTTGTAGTTTACCTGGCTATTTCATTACAGTTTACCATTATTTATTTCAGCATATCTGAAAACTTAATAGCGGAGGTCTCTCCATAATTCAAACGCTCTGCCGATGTTGATCCGGGTTTTCGTCCTAAGTCGAGCCGATTCACGTTTGGCCTGACGAGCTTCAGCAGATACATTTTTGTTTTGTTTTTTATATTTATGTGGAGTTTGTGTTGGAGTGTGTGATGTGCTGGAGGCAGGTCGTTTTTGGGTGTTATCAGACTCCATGTCGTCAGCTGCAGTGCCGTCGCATAGACTGTATATAAAAAGGAGAGAGGCTCGGGAGCGCGCATGCATGTCACATCCGATGGATTTTGCAGAAAATCCGACCCGGAGACTTCACATAGAAATAGGAATACTGGCCTTCAGAGGTAATAGCAAAACCCGACAAGTGAATCATTGTAATGTGTGATTACAACCCCTTCACACACAGGCAATAAAAAAAAGGATTCATTTTGGAAGAAAAGTTACATATAGCACCTTTAAAATAGAAAACAGTTATTTTAAATTGTAATAATATTTCACAATATTACTGTATTTTTTAAATGGTCAATGCTGCTTTATGATGTAAAGCTGACCCATCTTACCCGTTTCAGAGGCGCTGTCTACAAGCCCAGTCTCATCACTCTCCGGTGCACTTGTACTGGTACTGAAACTCCCATCAGCCTGTTCACTGCCTTCAGCCATATTACTTTTCCCTATAAAAGAGATGAAAGGTTATCATTAGAAAGAAAAAATCAGTTCAGCTTGTATAACGATTAGTTGTTCTGCGTGATCAATTGCTCACCATAGTCAAAGAGATCAAAGAGCGCCTGAAATGCCGGGTCTGACTCCGTCTGTGCCAGTATGTCTTGGATGGCAACATCCGTCATATGAATTTCCCCCTAAAACAATTTTGCAGGTTAAGTCTTGATATGGCTGCCAATATTACATTCTCACAAACAACAAAGGAAGAGTAAAAGATGTGCATTCACACACCTGGAGGCCCAGGATTTCATCGATCGACTGCTCTTGTTCCATAGCACTGCAGGCAGTTTTTGATGTCTGAGGGCTATTATCACTGTAAAAGTGACATTACAACATGTAAGACCTCAAAGTTTTTCTTTATTATTTTAACTAGTTTTTTGCCCAGTTATTCAGAATTTACCTTGCCAAGATCTTGTTGATGTTTTCAGCAAGTTTTTCTTGTAAGGATCTATCATTGAGAATTTTATCTCTGGCATTTTCTATAACTATTTGCTGTTAAAAAAAAAAAATGTAATCTTCAGTTATGCAGGAGTGTATAGAAAATTATTGAAAGCATTTAAAACAAACAGAGGAATGAATCGGCCTAACTCACAGATAAGTTCTCCGTCACAGTCTCTTCACTCTGAGCTTCCATGATGAGAGTGCTGGACACTACTGTGGCCCTGCTGGGCCCGCTGGCACCCAACTGACCACCTCCTCGCCGCCTCGGAGAGTCACTGCAGCAGAAAGCAGAATTACACTTTAAAGTAAATTATTGTTGTTACAGACTGATCTGGAAAAGGTAGAAAGAGCTAAACTGTAACATGCTGCTGGTGTTGTCATCATTTTAACCTTACCATTTTCTGCGGGCCGGAGACAAAGGTCCAGGATTCAGTCTATTATCAGGGACCAGTATCTGCAACGGTGACTCCCCTATAAAACATGTAAGATAGCAAAATGGAAAGAGGGTACTTACAAATCTCAGTGTGATTTAAACATGTTTTTCAGGACTCACCTGGCTGACTAAGGCAGAGAGTAGAGGGTCTGGTATGCTGAGAAGTGTAAGACATTGGGGTAGAATGTCCCAGCAAGCCTTGAGGGGTGGACACAGAGCCGGGGACATATTGGCCGACTGGAGTCACTGGAGGGTGCCCAGAGATGGGAGACTGTGATACCAACACGGGTCTCTGTTGACGTCTCATGTTTTGAATGCTATTCCGAGTGCGCACTTAATGACAGAAAAAAAAATTACACAAGGGTTATTATTGTTAACTCAAACTAAAACCATATAAAAAAAAGTTTCTTATATTTCAAGTAATCATTAACCTAAATAACAAAATTACTAAAACCTTAACTATAATACTATATTATCAATGATACTAAAACAACACTGATGTCACTACCTTTAAATAAATGGGGTTTGTAAAAGAAACTAATACTTTTATTCAGCAAGGATACATTAAAATGATCAAGTGACAGTAATGACATTTATTTAAATAAATGCTTAAATTCTTTTGAACTTTAGACTAAAAAAAATTATCATTCAAAAACAATTCAGCTTTGCCATCACATTTTTTTAAACAAATCATATAGAAAAATTTTATACTAAATTGTATATTTCATTTAACTGTATATTTTAAGTTCATACTTTATCTTTGATCAAATAAATGCAGCCTTAGAGAACATGAGACTTTTTTTTTAAACATTTATATTTATAATTCTTTTTTAAAACAACTTCTTATATTTTGTGTTAATTCACTGGACATGATATATCATGCCATATCTATGCATTACACTTGTATTATATATGCATTGTATTTGGCTAATTTCAATAACTCCAAGTCATCACGAATACAATTACTCTTAAACAAAGAGCAAAACTCACATCGCTGATTCAGTTGCACGGCAGGAGAATTTTGCAGAGACCTGTGGACAACACAGAAAGATTTTAATAAAGACGCTTTATTCTGACCCGTGCTTAAATGAAAACACCCAATGTAACAGCGTAAACAAATATTCATTCACTTGATTTGGTTGAGTGTGAAGTCAAGCTTTTTCCATAATGATGTCATCAGTACAGGGATTTGATTTTCTAGAATTGATTCTACAGAAGAAATGACACAAGCATGTTATAATGGAAACAGATTCACTGTGTATCCCAAAACGTTTCATTTTCTTTGTGGGAACTCACCTTTTGCTTTGACAGCAACATATTCATTTAAAATCGTGATCAGGTTTTTTCCAAATAGAGACTGAAAAAGAGTAATAAACAAAAATATAATTCATTGTTATCTAATAAACATGTCTTCTTAACAGACTCTAATGCAGTGATTTTAGGACCCTGTTATTAATCATGAACTTGACACATACAAACACACAGGCAGGGATGATCCCATCCTCTGAGCTGTGCTCGGCATATTCCTTCAGGTTTGGACTCTCGTAGATGAAGGCTCGACTTGTGGCAGTGAGCCCTTCTTGCTGCAGGTAGCCTAAAGTTGAAAGAGAAATGATAACTTACATCATTTCGCAGATAAATAAATATCTTCATTTGCGAATGGTAGACTCTGAATTAGCCATTACGGTTAAGTTATCGGTCATCTCAGCAATTTGACACATCACAAAGAACGGCACAGTGTTGTGTCTCTATTTCATAATGGTCTGAATATTTACAACAACACCGCAGTATTGGAGACAAACCACATAATTATATACACTATAATTAGAAACAGGGTATTAGCTCGCTAGCTTCTCCTTGAGAGGGACACAACAAAACAGTGTGAACTTACCCAGCACAAGTCTGGCGACGTCAGACGGGAGCAACATTCTTCGATGTTACCTTATGTCAGCAAACAGTCTGCATTTGAAGTATGATTATTATTAAAGATTAAATTAGTCCATAATGTGATAATCTAGTTGAAATATTGGAGGTTGTTTTGCTCTCTCATCCATCTCCACTGCGAAAAGGCGCGGAAATTCGCCTCCGGTAACCCGGATATTGTTTGTGTAAAATTCGAAAGGAAATAAAGGGAAAAGTAGTTTTTCAGCTTTTTCACTTATTGAGCTGACATTTAGCAGAACTCTCTAATATTTTAAGTATATATAAGTAAATATATATTAAAAAATATTCTTTTTCTATTTTCTGCATTCTGCTGCTGTAACTGCTGCGTGTGAGTATAGTATTATATATATATATATATATATATATATATATATATATATATATATATATATATATATATATATATATATATATATGATTTGTATATTTATACTGTGTATGTATAATAGTGTATATATAATATAATGGTTTTTTATTTTAATATAATTTATTTCTGTGATGCAAAGCTGAATTTTCAGGATCATTACTCCAGTCTCGTCACATGATCCTTCAGAAATCATTCTAATTATGCTGATTTATTATCAATGTTGGAAACAGTTGTGCTGCTTAATTTATTTATTTTTTGGAACCTGTGATACTTTTTTCAGGATTCATTGATGAATTAAAAGTAAAAAAGAACAGCATTTATTCAAAATAGAAATCTTTTTTAACAATATAAATCTTTACTATCACTTTTTATCAATTTAACACATCCTTGCTGAATAAAAGTATTAATTTATTTTTTTTTAAAGAAGAAAGAAACAAATTACTGACCTCATACTTTTGAACGGTAGTGTATATTGTTTCATTAGTTTTCTATTTTAAATAAATGCTGTTCTTTTTTTACTTTTTATTCATCAAACAATCCTGAAAAAGTATCACAGATTATAAAAAAAATATTAATATTATATACATTATTCTATAGTATATGATAGATCTGGATTAATGAAGATAGTTAAGAGGGTGTATTATTGTCCCCCCTGTTTTTGAGCTGTTTTAATCGAAAGCAAATTCAGTGACATTGACATATCTTAAAATATGTCAGTGCCATTGTTTTGTCTCAAGATGCAAATAAATCGTTTTTTTTCTAAGGCACTTTTTATAAAAGCTAATTAAATGTCCTAATTAAAGGCCTAATCCTGGTTTAATCTATGCCCTGTCTGTGAAACCAGGCCTATATATTACTTGCTTTTACCAATGTTCATATCAGACCCAATCGACGATAATTTTGTTTGTTATGATTGCTCGTGCCCGCCGTGGCTTTTATTTTGACACGCAGCTCTTTTTCAAAGATTAGTAGTCGAGCCTCTTTACAAGAACAGAGATAAACAACAAGCAGCAGACGAGACGACGTCTGCCGTCCAATCAAGCTTTACAGTTACAGAACTCAAAACTCGGATTTGCAGTGATTTCATTTGAGAGATGGTGAACTCTGCGATGAAAAGGTAAGGCGTTTATCTCCCAACAGCCTTCATAGAAGGTATGGCGTGTGGATTTAATAAATAAGGGATAAAAGGGGAAATGGGTTCCTCCAGTCGATGGCTGTATGCATGGCCTCATGAGCGTGCAGTCGGTCATTGATATTTATTGGCACTGGTGTTAGTTCATGAAATAGATCTGTGTTATCATTTTCATATCTATCTTGATGTGAGCTTGTGAGTGTGTTTTGCGCTTGATTTGGTTTGAGTGTTTGTTTTGATCATATTTGTAAAGACAATAGGCTATCGATTTTATTGTATACAGATACCAAATATACCATTTATAATAATAAACTAGAGGCATTGAACTCTTAAAGTGATTTTTTTTTTGTACCAGCTGTGTTTTAGTAATGTCTTCAGACAATAAAAACAGGACCTTAGTGGTCTTTAGGACCACATGGTCAATAAAACTGCTTGAACTGGTGAAGGCAATGTTCTTGGGTTTTGTTTAAACAGTCTTAAGAATGATAAAGTCCTGTAACCTCTGTTCTAGGATACTATAATCTTGCACAATCCATCTCATCGTAAGCTGTTTGTTTATAATGGTTGATGTTTCATTAAGAAATCTGGTCAACACTTTAACATTCAGTGGGCTGAATGAGCTCTTTTAATGGCGTAAGGACACATAAATGGTGACTTAGGTAAATTGTGTCACTTATTGACATTAATATGACCGTCAAAGAGTGACCAAATTGCATTAATTTACTTTTTATAAGGTTAGTGAAATAATGCTTGGAAATCCATCAAAAATACATTAATCTCTCATCAGGTGGGCTTAAAATAGAAGATTTGTCTGTGCCAAAACATCAACTTCTGTTGTTCCTCTTTTATGCAAAAGACTGTAAGTTCCTTAGTAAAAGTATTTGACATTGTAGCTTAATATATTTGATTAAAACTAACATAACTAACTTTAATCTGTCATCAGCTGAGCATTATGCCTTCTCTAAACAATTTTAGAAACATTTTAGGTTAATAGGTGTTATGTACTTGCATCAAAAATACATTTATTGTTTTGCACAATGTACTTATTGTGTTCAGAAGTTAATTACAGATTAATTACAGACAGTAAGTACATTCAGGCATTGTATCAATATGTTAGTACATAGTAGTAAAAAGACACTTATGTAAAGTAGTAAAAAGACACTTAATGTAAAGTAAGTCATGAACCTACATAATATTTATAAAGGTATGATCAAAATGCTCTTTAAAAAGGAGTACTGCACATAACACCGCAAGACTTCCCAAATGTATTTCTGTCAACACCTACATATCTGAAGGAAATGATGCAAACACTTTCAGAATGAAGTAAATAGTCCCGAGTACATTTTGTTCTCTGTTGTCTTACTGCCTGTGTTCAACCTAACTCTTGGCATAGCTACCATAGTCTCCCCCTCCCATCACTGTTTAAACGAACTTAGCTGAACCTCTCGCTCAGTCAGTCCAGGGAACTGCAGTTGGAACGAGTCCAAAGAGTCTTATAGAAGCAATCTTATTAGAAAACAAACATCCCATGGCTCTTGTCTGACAAACTGACTTGAACCACAGGGTTGACAAGTGACAATAAAGAATATCTGCTGCAAATTTACTGCATATTATCCACTAAGAGTTTACAAAGAGAACACAGTGTTCCTGAAGCAACCTATACGAGAAAACAAACTCTCAAGAACGTTTCTCATATGGAAACATTGATATTGTTGCTTTGCAAGGATTTTTATTTTATTTTAAATAAACTTCCTATCATCATCAAAAAAAAATATATATATATATAGTATATATACATTTATACCACCCAGTATATATATATATATATATATATATATTATTTTATTTTATTTTTAAATCATGGTTTCCTCGAAAATATTAGGTTACACAACTGTTTTCAACATTGATAATCGTAAGAAATGTTTCTTGATGACCAAATCAGCATATTAGAATGATTTCTGAAGGATCATGTGACACTGAAGATTGTAGTAAATCACAGAAATAAATTACATTATAAATAGCCTAATATTTGAATAGAAAAGTTATTTTTAATTGTATTATTTCTATTTTACCATACGTTTTGATCAAATTAATGCACATAAGAAACTTTAATAACATTAAAAAGCCTTGCAGACCTCAAACTTTTGAACGTTAGTGTACAAAGATATGTTCATCTAGATTTCTGTTTACAATTAAGTAAATCTACTGCATTTCCACTAAAAGTTTACAAAGAAAACAGTGTTCCTCTCAAAATCTTTTCTCATATGGATGATGTGGGCACATTGGTATTGATGCTTTGCAAGGATCAGTAAGGTTGACCTGTAGTGTAGGTCAGTGTAGAAATAGTTATAGGGAATGTTTTGTAGTGTAAATGTCACAGGTCATACAGCTTCATATTCATACCCTGATGTACCACCAGATTCATATCAGTCAGTATAACATCTGATGTGAACATTCCTCCCCACTAAAGCCTGTCACTCATGCTGCCATTATCCTGTGAGGTTCAGAGGAGTTAATTTGAACAGGCTGGGATGGGTTACACTTCCAGTCCCCCCTACGCTGATATGGGGTGTTGATATTTTACCAGAATACATAACAACACTCGCTGTAAATCCCTAGCCATCCAAACAGCAGAAGGAATGGGCTTGAGTGTTGTGACGTGGCTGAAAGACACAGTGTTCCTGCATTTGTTTACTGGAGCTTTTGCACAAGACTGCGTGCACGGCTTTTAAAATCATTATCAAAGTTTGGGGGTCAGTTTTGAAAGAAATGAATGCTAATCCTTTTAGCAAGGATGCATTAAATTGATCAAAAGTATCAGTGAAGACATTTTTTTTTTTTTTTTACTTTTCATCAAACTATTCCTTAATTTTCTTTTTTTCTTTTTTTTACAGTTTCAACCTTGATGATAATAAGAATGGTCTCTTTAGCACCAAATCAGCATATTTCACAATATTACTGTTTTACTGGATTTTTGATCAACTAAATGTAGACTTGGTGAGCATAAAACAGTTGTTTAAAAAAGATTAGGCATCACATTCACAACAATAGCCTATAATGTACAATATGAAGTAGATATTCTATATGAGATTTTCTGAAGATTACATTTGTTTGCACTTAGCATTAGTCGACTTAAAACTGTCACTCTTTAGGCGTTCGTTGTTATGATTAGGTTTATCTCGGATGGATTTAAGGACTTTAAATATAATTCGCTCTCTAGATCTTATTACTCACAGATTGGATTTGCAATGTGCAGTACAACCAGTTTATCCTACTAATACATTCCCAGAATATGCAAAGCCCAAAGGGGTAATGCACCGTCCGTTTTATTTAGTTTAAACTGTCCCACAGAACAAATAATCTCCGATGTTGTCATGAATGTGATGGGTGAGCTCTTTCTGTGAGTTATTTTTAGAAGGGGTTGATGAAGGGGTTTGGAATGGTCATTCTTTACGAGTTTCTCCCACAGTGACCACTGGCTGAGAGCGGATTATTGTGGAGTCAGATGTGGTCGCCTGGGGCTTGAAATGTGATGCTGGGCCCTGCTTCAGCTTGTCTCGGATATTTAGCTTTTTGTTCTGACCTAAAGCATGTTGACTGAGTTCCATCTTGATACGATTTATGTTTTGGACAAGGATCATCATAGTAATCAGTTTTTTATTATCACACAAAGAACAAAAAGGTGTTTTATTATTTTATTTGACTTTTATTTGTTTTATGTTCCGAGAGAGGGAGTAAAATCTTTCCGTGGCAGGGACAGCTGCCACCGAGACCTGTCACTCCACCCGTCACCGCTATTGGCAGCTGTCTCTCGACCTGTCACCGCTATGTGCGCCTGCCACTCGACCTGTCACCGTTATGTGCGCCTGCCACTCGACCCGTCACCGCTATATGCGCCTGTCTCTCGACCTGTCACGGCTATATGCGCCTGTCCCGCATTCTGTCACGGCTATACGCGCCTATCCCGCGGGTCTCGTCACGGCAAAATGCGCCTGTCCCGCGATTTCTGTCACGGCAGTACCCGGCTGTCCCGCGACCTGTCACGGCTATACGCGCCTGTCCCGCGGTCTGTCACGGGTATACGCGCCTGTCCCTTTTTCCGTCACGGCTATACGCGCCTGTCCCACGACCCGTCACGGCTAAATGCGCCTGTCCCGCTTCCTATCACGGCTATAAGCGCCTGTCCCGTTTACTGTCACGGCTATACGCGCCTGTCCCGCGACCTGTCACGGCTATACGCGCCTGTCCCGCGATCCGTCACGGCTAAATGCACCTGTCCCCCGACCCGTCACCACTATACGCGCCTGTCCCGCGCGCCGTCACGGCTATGGGCCTGTCTCTCGACCTGTCACTGCCATACGCGCCTGTCCCGCGACCCGTCACGGATATATGCGCCTGTCCCGCTTGCCGTCACGGATATATGCGCCTGTCCCGCTACCTGTCACGGCTATACGCGCCTGTCACTCACGGTTAAATAAATCTATGCTATGGGCTAGTTATTGCTATAATTATTAATAATTATTTATATTATTACAATAATTATTATTATTATAGGCTATGTCAAGCCAACCTCACTGCATGCTATCTTAAGGTAAACTTGCACTAATGTTGCACTATGAAAGTGCGTATACCACGAATTTAATTTCTCGTGCCATTTATAAGCCAAAAATAGTTTTTGCGTAGGCCTATATGATACGCAGTATTTGCGTGTATATGATACGCAGTTTTCGCGTGCATATGATACGCACTTTTTGGCGTGTAATACGCACGCACTCCACACCCCAAATCCTACCCAAGAGATTTACAGTGCGTGCGCACTACCTTGGACCATTCAAACGTACAAAATCTGTTTCATGCCCTGTTTCCAAATTATGTTTTTGTAAAGAAGATCCATATTTATGTAAAGATTGTTATTGAAATATTAATTTAAATACATGTTTATATATATTTACAAATATATTTATAAAAATGTATGTAAATAAAATATTTCTTATACGCATGCATATTTCAATAGGGGACTTTTTTGAAGTTTTATTACAAGAAATTGTAAGTGAAAAACTAATAAACATTCTTTGTATTTATACATATATTGCATTTTTTGCAGCATTTTAGGTTACTGTTATAACTCGGTTGCAAAGCAACTACATCACTGTGTATTTTAGACAAATATGGCCTCTTTAACGCAATATAATAGCCTAACTGTTTATCATTAACATTGATGTTTAAAAAAAAATCTAGCCTAAACATTGTTAGATTTAATGACAAAAAGACACCATAGCCATAGCCGTGCCCGTGACGGGTCGCGGGACAGGCTCGTATAGACCTGACGGGTCGCGGGACAAGCGCATATAGACCTGACGAGTCGCGGGACAGGCTCGTATAGACCTGACGGGTTGAGGGACAGGCTCGTATAGCCGTGACGGGTGGAATGACAGGTGCATTTAGCCGTGACGGCTCGCAGGACAGGCGCGTATAGCCGTGACAGGGCGCGGGACAGGCTCATATAGACCTGACGGAAAGCGGGACATAGCCGTGACAGTGAGCGGGACAGGCGCAGATAGCGGTGACGGGTCGCAGTACAGGCGTGTATATCCATGACAGGGCGCGGGAAAGGCGCATGTAGCGGTGACGGAAGGCGGGACAGGCGCATATAGCGGTGACGGAAGGCGGGACAGGCGTGTATAGCCGTGACAGAACGCGGGACAGGCGCATATAACGGTGACGGACGCTGGGACGGGCGTGCATACCCGTGACTGGACGCGGGACAGGCGCATATAGCGGTGTCGGTGTGCAGGACAGGCGCATATAGCGGTGACGGGTGGAGTGACAGGCGCACATAGCGGTGACAGGTCGAGTGGCAGGCGCACATAGCGGTGACGGGTGGAGTGACAGCTGCCAATAGCGGTGACGGGTGGAGTGACAGGTCTCGGTGGCAGCTGTCCCTGCCACGGAAAGATTTTACCCTTACTGTGTTCCGATTATTGCTGGTTACAATAAAATCCTGTTTTATAGGTGAAATAAAGACGTATAGGTGTTTGTTAAAAGCTTGTTGAATGTGTGTAAATGCATAAAACCACATACTAGCATTGGCAGTTTTCCATTGCTTGTTCTGCTTTAGGACTGTACTCTATATTTGAATGTTTTATGTTTTGAAGTTTGAATAATATTTCTGTGAGATGATTTTATTAACACCTACTAAATCACCAAATCTGTTCTTCAGTACTCCTTTTTCATATACCGCGGCCAATCGCAGTGTTGATTAGGGCTGTTGGAACGAATTCCGAAATTCGAATATAATTCGAATATTAAAAAAATCAATACTATTCGAATGCTGAAGTTACTATTCGAATATTGTTTTTTTATGTATATTTTAATTTTTTTATATACATAAACAGGAAAGAGGCCGCACTATGCATAAATTGTTTTATTTGCACAAACGCGTTTCAAGAAGGCACGCGCCGAAACGCGTTTGTGCAAATAAAACAATTTATGCATAGTGCGGCCTCTTTCCTGTTTAACGTTATATATTCTAATCATCAGGCCAGCATTCTTAAAGTTTAAGTTTAATCATTGAGTGAAGCCTGCTCCTATTCCCATTCATTAAATTTTTTTTATGGAATCTTGCCTTTCTCGCCACCTTGACTTACACACATGTGAAAATGAAATGCTTTTGTTTCGTCTGATGAACAATAACGTTTTTGAATCGTAACACAATTGTGCACGTTATCCACGCTGTATCATCATAACAATACTGTCAAAAATGGTAAATGTTTAACAACGTAAAAAAGCGCCCGTGAAGCGCAAATATCTTGGTGAAAACTCAACGGATTCGGCGAGCACCAAACTCGTTGGAACCGTCTAGTCGAACTGAAAAGAACGATATAAGTTTCAGAATTTTTGGTGGTGTTTTCGCGGAGATATTAGCCGAAAACCATCGGTAGCGCTGCAACCATATTCAGCACGAATAAAATGTTTATTGTAATGTTAGATATCCCTCTAGTGGACAGAACGTGTAACAACAACCACATGCTATAGTGGCATTGGCGATCCATAAGCCTGAGTAATGTCGTAAATATTAATAATAGGATGAATTTGAGCATTTAATATTCGAATATTATTCGAATATTAAATAAAATAAGGAATGGAATTCGAATAGTATTATTGAGGAAGATTGACAGCCCTAGTGTTGATATGGTTATAGAGCTGCATGATTCTGGATAAATTGAGAATAAAGATTTTTTGTTGTTTAAAATAGACATTCAAAAGGTGATTTACTCTATTTTGATCGCTACTGTAGGCATCAGTGTTTATATCCAAACTATAAACTGTTATCCCAGTACTTCTGTGATAATTTAAAATATTGTAACAGAGATAATGATACTGTGTGTTTGAAAATATGGTTTGTGAAGCTGTTCCATACCTATACATGATAATTGCTCTCTTTAATAGATGTAGCCGAATTGCTGACATTTAGGAATAAATGTGGGTCTTTGAATTAAGATTACAATAATATATTTTATTATTTGGTTGGTTTTATGCCCCGTTGTTTTATTAAGTCATATGGTTACAAATAGTCGTTTTGATCCTGGATGGTGATGGATGATGGTTTATGTTTATCCTGACAAATAGGGATGCAAGATATATCGGCCACCATATCGGTATATGCCGATATATGTACATTTTTAATGTTATCGTTATCGGCCCGATTAGAAAATTTGCCCAATAGGCTATATTAAAAGCCGATAAATAATGGATTATTTCCTTCAGTTGAGACACTTCAGATGCTCACTGGTTGCAACTTGCCATGATGGTTTTAAATTGCTTGAAACATTATTTAAATCACTTAAAAAAGGAAAATACAGTTCAGTGCAACATGTGCACCGCAAGTGTCATATAGGCTACATAAAATGATGATAACATGGACATGGCTTTTAATGGTGAGACTTGTTTTTGTAAACAGGCTCTCAAAAATTAAAAAAAAAATTGGATTTAGATTTATTGGCCAATATATCTGTTATTGGCTTTCAAATATAAAGATTTATCGGTTATCGGTATCGACCAAAATGTTCATATCGGTGCATCCCTAGTTGCAAAGGGGCTGTACATTTCCGGAAACTTTTCAGAAACTTAAGCTTCAGGGAAGTTAAGCTAGGGAATTTTGGAAATAATTAAAAAAGTCAAATCCAAAAAAAAAAAAAAAAAAAAAAAACCTGCTTCCATAGGGACCAGGGACCTCATTTATAAAATGTTATCCATACATTTGATCTTACGATCATTTCTTCAATGTGCGTACATGTTATTCAGAGAACAAACTTACGCACACAAAAAATCGTCGCTCTTTCGTATGTAAAATGTAAATCGCAAATTATCTTGAAATTGTGCCCATCTGAATATATAACAGAGCACCAGTCAACATCTAAATCCTTTACTTGAGAATGGCGAGCAGTAAGAATTGCTTACATTTCTAAATACCTGCCGTACTCCGACTCTCTCTGTCATAAGGAAAAGTGCGTACGACTGTTTAGACCCTGACCCTGATGTGGTGCTAAGCACTTTTCCCACGTCAAAGCCTTTTTTTTTGCGGTGGATTTTAGCGTACACACTCTGTTCAAATCTATGTATAGGCACATTGTGTAAATGACGCCCCAGGATTTTAGAAATGGTCTGTGCATGTGATAGAGGAATGCACAGTGCATGCAGGGGGTGTGGCCGCATTAGCCCTGCAGTATGTTGTGTGCATGTGATTGAGAAATGGGGGGGGGGGGGGGTTCCAACTACATTTAAGTTCCAGGTTATTGGCTAACCTGCAATTTTGCAAAGTTCCAGTTTATTCCCGTTAATTCCCATATTCCTATGGAAAGTTTCCAACTTTGACAATTCCTGTAATTTTGCAACCCTAATCCTGCAACATGACTGAGTGAGTCCATACAGACTTATTCCTGTGTGTTGAAGTTTTTTAGTACTCTACACGTCTTTCGAGTATGATTTGGGAGAGGAATGTTTTTCTTTACCAAAGTGCACAGAGCCTGACTTGACTGACCACAGACTACGTGCCCCCCCATTATCAAAGTTTAGGGTCAGTTTTGAAAGAAATTAACTTAATTCAGCAAAGATGCATTAAATTAATATTCATTAAAGAATCCTGGGAAAAAAATGTAACTCGGTTTTACCTAAAAATAACATGAATTACAATAAAACAATAAATCAGTGCTGATAGTTTCAGATAGATGTGCTAACTATGTTCTGTATGTTCATAAAGTCTGTGCTGAGAGATTGGCAACTGTCATTTTGTAATGGCAGTTCAGTCCTGTTCAGAGCACAAAGGAGGTCACAGACTGAGGGGCTGGGAGGGGCTCTGTCAGATAGGAAGCCAGGGGGAGGGCTGTGGGACAGGCTTTAATGTCATAAACGACCTTCTGAACGAGTTCTTCTACTTACTTAAGGCATGTGGAGGAGGGGAACGGGAGTGAAAGGCACAGAGTGAGGGCTTCCCCCCCCCCCTTCATTTAAAAAAGTTTATCTGGGACTCTCTTTTGGCAAGACTAGGATATACGGAGCACCAGAACACACCAATTACAGCTGGGACATTTCTATTTTAGGAGGAACAGAGAGCAAAGATGTAAGATGGACGCAATGTTGTTGTTTTTTTCTGTTGGTGTCCTAATTTTAGATGGGAAAAAAACTCCGGGAAGAAAAACCTCCCACAAATTTAAAAAGCTTTATGCAAAGATATGTCATTGCAAAAACGTTATTTTCTAAATTTGGTTTCTTGACAAGGATTGGATATTCTGAATATGGACGTTAAATAAGTTTGTTTTTCCTTATTTAGGCCCAGTTTGGAGCAGCGGAAGGTGCGTTCTCGTGACGCGGCACGCTGTAGGAGGAGTCAGGAGACTGAGGTGTTTTACGAGCTGGCACACTCGCTACCCCTTCCACGACGTATCGCCTCCCACCTGGACAAAGCTGCCATCATGAGGGTGGCGCTCAGCTATCTGCGCATGAACCGCTTGATCCAAACCGGTGGGTTCTGCTGAAATCAAGCAGGAAATTGTGTAATGTAGCAGTGGTCCTCAATTGGTTGCTCAACCCAAAAATGGCTCTCGGTACTGTTTTAATAGTTTGACAGCAGGGGGAAAACAATGTTAAATGTCAGTAATAAGTGCATCTAAATATAATAATGCTGGGGGTTTTGATGGTAGAAAAACTTGCTCAAAAACTTCAGCCTAGATTAACTCATTCATTTTTGTTTAAAATTCAAGTAGAATAAATCTGTTTTGCGTTGAACACAGTCTGTTTGTCCAGGCAATTAATGGATGCCAGATGCATGAAAACATTGAACTCCTAAAGACATTTTGAAACCAACACTTGTTCAAATAATCAAAATATAGTTCAGTGTATAATAAATTTCAGTGTTTCATTGTATGGACCTTTTTGTTTTGCATTATAAATAATATTGGTACTGTGTTTGTGTGCACATTGTGTGTACAATATATATATATATATATTTATGTAGGAGCATGTTCAAATACTTTTCCTTTGGCAAATATATGCTAGTGCTAATATTTGGTTCTTGTCGCATCCAGCGGGGCCAACAGAAACGAAGACGGAGGAAATGGAGAATCCCACTGATGGCTTTTATCAGCAGGCACTGGCTGGCTTTATTCTGGTGATGACCGAGGAAGGGGACATGATCTTCCTCTCAGAGAGTGTCAGCAAATACATCGGCATAACACAGGTGAGTGTTGTCCCTAGATATTGAAGTACTGCATAAGAACCTCAGTGTGAATTTCACAATGTGGAACATTTCAAACTGGCCGTAGTAGAGTAACACATGGCTCAAGAATAGTGTCACTTTGGATTCCTCCCCTGTGGTACGAGGCATAATGTTCAGGTTACGTGTGTGACCAGACCCCTTAGAATAGATCCATTCCTGAGGGAACACATGCAGTGTGTTTTTGAGCTCTTGAGTTTTTGTTTTTATCTAGGTTAGTATTGAGTAATGCGGTGATAAGAGATTGATTTGTACTGAAATCCAACAGACATGACACTGAAGGAGTGTATAATGTAATGTTATATTATTATAAGATATAGTAATATTATAATCTCTTACCCCCCAAACCCTTCTTGTCAGTCATTGGCTGGAACAGTTTGTTATGTTTCGTGGTGCGGGTAAGCCCAGTTTGTTTTTGTTGCCGTTTGTGGAGCCTGGGGTGTCTGCAGAGACCGCGTTTTTTTACAGTGTGTTCATGGGGACAGGCAGCCAGCGGATAGTGAGGAGATGTTTGCTGTATGTGACAAAAAAAGTTTTGGCCTAAAAAACGCGTGACATCGCTTAGAGCACCTTTAATTGTATTTTTTGTTGTCTAAATAATTGTGTTATAGGAACGGCATTTAAAGAATGATAGTAGTGGGTGACTTGATGGAAATGACTTGAAATCTCATACAAATGACCTACATTCACTCTTTGAATTGCAATTACATAGCTGCCAACTCTCACGCATTGGCCGTGAGACACCCGCATTTGATTGGTTTCACACGCTCACACGCCACACTCCCGATTTCTCACGCTGAAGTGTCAACCCGGGCGGTCAAATGCCTGGAAGATGAGTTTATCTATATATCTACCTGTTGAGCCACTCGTGATCGACTAGTTATACCGCAAATTCGTTAAAAATCTCCCGTTATCTAGAGCGAGCGTGCATGCGAGACAGAGATTGTGCTCCAAACCGCGTAGAGCGAGCGAGAGACCTTGCGCGAGCGAGACCCCCCGTCAACAAATCTCACTCGTCTCTACCCCCCCCCCCCCCCCGTCAACAAATCTCACTCGTCTCTACCACCCCCCCCCCCGGCAACAAATCTCACGCCGAGCAAAACTCAAAAGTTGGCAGGTATGCAATTATAGAGTTCATTTACTGAAATTGAAACATGTTCAAGTGATTCATTTCTGGGAGTCAGTCAAATGCATATTCCAAACAGTCATTAAAGAAAATGGAAAAAAAAATTAAAGTGCAAAACAGTTGGTCACATGCATAGACTGTAAAAAAAGATGGACGACGCCCCTTCGCTCTCTTCCATTGGTCAGAAGTGAAGCCGCCAGTATCCCGATATGGCGCTGACATCTTGGAACTTGAGTCTGCGCAGAAGCGATTTCGGGACCAGACATGCGCAGTAGTGAGCAGGAAGTAAAGCCGTGAAATCAAGGCCCCGCCCTCACTCTCGCAGAATCAATCGCAAGAACACGCTCCTGCACTTTTTAAAAATTAATTATAGAAATTTAGATATTAAATTTAAAGCTCCAATCTCCTCAGTCCTCCGAAGATCCCGAAAAAAAGTCTGTTGGTGCTTCAGTGACTACTTCGCTCAGAGAACCTGTCAATCACAGCTGTCAATCATGACGTCACCCCCATCGCATCAAATAACTAACTAAAAACAAACTTATTTTACATCAGTGTGATAAAAACTACAGTAAATGACAGAAACCATATTTGGAAAAATTATATTTGAAGTGTAATTTAATTGTTTAGTTGGTCTCACGAGCCATTGATTAACATGGGGAGGCGGGGTTTATGACCTATACTAGGACCGGCCAGCGGGGGGCGATCGAGACGTTTTGGCTTCACTTTTCAGGGCTTATTAGGCACGCTTGGTCACATGTATGACATTATTTTGGATAAATTAATCTGCGAAATACATAAATGTAAATACTTTCTCTCTTTTTTTTATTTTTTTTATCATGTCTCTAGTGTCATGGTATTGTTTTGAAGGCATTTTAAATTCCTGATTATTTTGATGTGGTGTTGTACAGCTGGAGCTGCTTGGACAGAGTGTGTATGAGTTTGTTCATCCCTGTGACCAAGAAGAATTGCGAGACATCCTCACCACAAGACCAGGTAATAAAAGATTTCTTGCCCAAAGGATATTTTTGGCTGGATTTTAGCTGCTATGCAGCGACCTACTGTTTATTGAATTATTTTATGAAGTCTTATGTGTTACTGAACATTTTTGGGACTGACCAGGAGAATTTTTCATCCTCAGGTATTTCAAAGAAAAAGACAGAGAAGTCGGTTGAACGTAGTTTTTTCCTTCGGATGAAGAGCACACTCACCCACACAGGAAGAACAGTTAATATCAAGTCTGCAAACTGGAAGGTACACAAACTGTTTGTTTAAAATGTTTTTCAATGTGTTAAGACTGTTAAACTGTAGGAAGAAGGGGTCTGTAAATGACCCAAGCTTCATTCCAAACTCACAGAATAGCAAATGTACAGTGTATGTCCATGTGCACCAGTTTTGTTTTTATAAAAATTTTGATGGCGTGACATGGTTTAATCAATACTGGTGTTGGACTTCCTTTAGCTATTTTCATACGCAGCACCTGTTAGCTCATCTTTAGCGGGTATAGATTGCTCTGAGGGGTATGCAGGACTGTATCAGTAATCCTGCTTTACATCAGCTTGGCTCTTTGTTGAACTATGGGGTCAGGTCCCATGAGTGCATAAAACAGGACACAAATACACAGAAGGCAGAGGTCCAACTACATTCAGTGCCAAGATAGAATGCACTGCAACTTAAACGCTTGCTTCGCACGTCATGTTATACACAATATTGTGTTTTTCATATTTGTCATCTGTATTTTGTTGAGAAATGAACAAACAGTCTGTGTGAAACTTTGATTGGGTTGTAAACTTTCTGAACTCAGAATATATTCACTTTTGTCTAAAAGTTTGGATTCTGTAAGTTTAAATGTTTTTGAAAGCAATCCCTTATGGTCACCAAGGCTGCATTTATTTTAACAAAAATACAGGAATATTGTTAAATAAAATTACTATTTAAAACCACATTTTTTATATATACATTTCTATTTTTATTTATTCCTGTGATGGCAATTCCTCTGAACCTCACAGGATAATGGCAGCATGAAAGGCTTTAGTGGGGAGGAATGTTCATGTCCGATGTTATACTGATTGATATGGATTCTTTTTAACATTTGAAATGCCTTTACTGTCGCTTTTTTATCAATTTGATGCATCCTTGCTTTATTTATCCAAAGTGCAGATTGGACTAAGTTTATAATTTCAAATTCTTTTTTAAATATCATTTTTTTTCATGTCTTCTCCAGGTCCTTCATTGCACAGGACACATGCAGACGTTCAGCGGTGATGACGAGAACTCGCTCCCTGCTGGCAGCTTCCTGACACTGCTGTGCGAGCCCATTCCTCACCCTTCCAGCGTTGAATTCCCACTGGACAGCAGCACTTTCCTCACACGCCATAACATGGACCTGACTTTCACACAGTGTGACGGACGGTAAGATGTTTAGAAATGCAGAAATACACGCTCATGCATATTCTCTTAGATGTAAGCAGCATACACTCAAAGGTCGTAAAAGATCAAATATCTCATGACCAAGTGTCCGATGACTCCAGAGGGTCAGCAGAGTTTCTCTGTGTAGGAGTGTGCTCTGTTCACCTCTTTGAAGCAGCCTGTAAGGTGTCCAAATTCACCTTCCTACTCGCAGTGTAATCTACTCACACCCACAGTGAGCGAATCTAACATTACTCAATCAATCTGCAAACCTAATTAGCCTTTTATTCTCACTGGCTGTTTTTGAAGTGTGTACGTGTGACAGCTGAAGACAGATTTCATTCATGGTGTGAGAAAGCATGTGACTCGAGTTTCCTGTCTTTTTCTCTCAGCTTGCACTTGGAGCACGGTATATTTATAGTCTCACTGTTGGTTTTGGACACAACAACAGTGAATGTGAAATTGCAGTTTTAATTGAATATAATAAGATTAAAAAAAGACTCTAAAATACTGACAAGAATTGTCCTCACAAGCTTCACGCAAAAGCAAACATAAAGACACAAACGCATACGCAAGAACAATGTAGTTGGACTCACAAACAAATGATTTGAATGATTCATTAAAAGAACCAGCTCATAAAAGACTTAGAAACTTACAAGTTTCTTATTCAGAGTGACAAATCCTTACTGAATCAAATTCATTTACTTACAAATTCATTCATTAACTGCTTCCATGTCAAATGGTTCATGATGTTCAAATGTGTAATTACTGATTAGTTGTTCATATTAGATATGATCATTTAGTTTTTTTTCCCATAACCGACAACCAAAGCTCGGTTTAATTTTTCAATAAATGAGCCCCTATATTCTGGTTTTAAATTCAGTTTTCTTGGGAAGAGACTTTTCTGTGTATGTGCAAGACTTCATTAGCCGTAGCATGGCTGTGACACACTTAACAAAGTGCAGTAAACGGTAAAACAATTGCGCTACAAACTAGTGTGTTTATTACTACGTTAATAAATTAAAATAATTTGAAAACAAAAACAATTTTACAACATCCAGCAGCACAATGAACTCTTTTTGCCCATCTAAATAATAACTGGAGACTGCTGACACCGAAAGCCTCACACATTTAAGTTTAAAATGGCCGCATTCGCTCTAGCGTTAAAAATGGGTGTAACGATAATAAAAAATGAATAATTTCCGTCTAGTCTTTTCATCTGTTTGTTTGAAGTTTTAATCAGGTCTCCTCTGTTGGAGTAGAATTGGCTAGGTGGCGCTGTCACAAAAAACTATGGTCCTAAAACTGCAGCCTCTGGTATTGCAGGAATATAATATTGGCCAAACGTAATTTTCGTTTCAGTTTTCTGCTAAATTAAAACTTTAGTTTTGGTTTTATTAAAAAAAAAAAAAAAATCGTTTTGGTGTATCGCTATAATAAATTGTATTTTATAAGTTAGGAGACTTAAAATATTGATTGACTGCCCTCTGTTCACAGAGTCACTGAGCTTGTTGGATACCACCCTGAGGATCTGATTGGCCAGTCTGCCTATGAGTTTTTTCACGCCCTTGATTTTGACCATGTGACCAGGAGTTTAAACATCTGTAAGTTTTTCTTCATTCTTTTCTGTGAATCCATCTTTTTACAATGGATTTAGTCTCACCTCCACAACTTAATTTGTTGTAAATTCCATGACAATATCCACAATGACATTGTTTTGTTTTTAATGTTTTCTTTTATCGAAATGAAAAAATTACCGATACTAAACTAGGCTAAGCTAATTCCTTATCTTTTCCTCTGTACTTGCAGTGTTCTCCAAGGGCCAGGTGTGCACCAGCCATTACCGGTTTCTGGCTAAGAATGGAGGATTTGTCTGGACTGAGACTCAAGCCACTGTCCTCTACAACAGCAGGACGTCTCAACCCGAGGCTGTGGTCTGCCTCAACTTTATCCTCAGGTAGCTCAGTCTGACTCTGTGTAACATCTGTTTCTTGGGCCCTATTTTTTTTGCTAGATCACTGTCTATCATTGCTTGGCCAATGTAAATTGGTGTTATTTTAATATTATTAATATACTGTTATTTTTATTAATATTTTGAATTAGTTGTTGTTTTTATATTTTCTATTTTAATTCTATTTTTAGTTTGTATTAGTAATTTTGTCATTTTTATTAATCTTTTTTTTTTGTCTAAATAGTTTTTAATTTTTAATTTAAGTTTTAGTAATTTAACTTAAAATAAACAATAATTAGAAATGTTGTTGAACCTGTTAACGGTCACCCCACTTTGATTTTGATCTGAGCTTAAATGATTGTAATTCATGAATGCTTTAAAAAGAGACCAACCTTAGGAGAAAGCAGCTTAAAAAAAAGAAAGTGTAATAAAGTTAAAGTCTAAATTTACTGTAAAGCAAATGTATTGAACTAAACATTTATTTTATACAAAATATATGTTTTAAGATATCATTTTACACAACTAAAAATGGAAAATGGTTTTATGCATTTTGGCTGTTCATTTACACGTCAATGGTGTTTTAGGGGCCAAAAAAGGACGAATAATTTTCACAGGACGACTTTTGAGTGTTTATGCTTTTGAATAAAAATAAACACACAATAAAGTGACAATTAACAGGCTATGTTATATTAAGTTTAAGTTATTTTTATATTTCATTTTATGAAACAAAATATTTTAATGGTTTTAGTTTTAGTTAACGATAATAACCCTGATGTGAAAGCATGAGTAATTCTTGTTTCTTCTTTCTGGCAGTGGCGTGGAAGAGGCAGATGTTGTGTTCTCATTGGAACAGACCTGTGAGAAACCAAAGCCCAAAGTTGAGAGGCTGTGTGAGCTGGAGGAGGAGGAGGAGGATAAGGAGGAAGAGAAAGAGAAAGAGGAGGAGGACTCCGACATGGAGGAGAGCAGCACTGCAGAGCTCTTCCTCCAGATGAAGGAGAACCCAGAGGAGTTACTGCAGCTGGCACCTCACTCTGGAGATGCTATCATTTCCCTAACAGGTGCTCGCAATCATCCTACAGAAAAGAAACGTTTGTGATTGGTCCTCTAAAATCAATATGGTTGTGGATTCTTAGAAAAATCGAATGTGATCCTAATATTGCCTATTATTCACAGAGTGTGTGGAGTTGTCCTTCTGCCGTCCACCTAGTCCCAACAGTATCCCAGAATGCCCTCAGGACTTCTGTACGCCTGAACTCCGCCAGCTCCTTTCTCCGATATTCGACGTTCGGCCCTCCAACTCTCCACCTGCCGCAGTAAGCATGAGGTTGTATGTTTGTCTGGGTGTCTTTGTTGGTTTGAGTGGTTTATCTGACGTTTAAGGGTCTGTTTTAGAGCCCCGCTGAAGAGCTGCCCGTGGAGATGGAAGTGGTACAGAAGTTCTTCACCCTCAAACCTGAAGAGAGCGTAACTCTGAAAGGACAGTCAGAGGTAGTTCTCAAAATGATTTTCAGATACCTTCTGAGATGTTTTAGACGTGTTTGAGAGAGAAGTCGCGGGTGTTTAATGCTTTCGTTCTTTGACAGGCTATGGATGAGCTTGATTTGGACATGCTAGCTCCATATATCTCCATGGATGATGACTTCCAGTTGACCTTCCTGCCCCAGAGTGAAATGGCTGCATCTTCAGAAAAGATAACAAACACTTCAAGGAAACGGTAAGGATGATAATGGTTATCTGGTTATCACAAAAGTGAACCAAAGAACCAAAGACAAACACCTTTTTGAACATGGCAGCAATGGAATGGAATGGAATAAACTCCCAGTTGAGATTAAGTTAAGCCAGTCAGATCGCTGTTTTAATCGAGCATGTGGTGAATGGTTGCTAAATGCTAATTAGATTGAGTTTTTAGGAATGTTTATTATTTTAGTGTATGTATTTGTTTATTTTATTTTGTATTTGGATGTGGTTGAGTGTACAAGGTACTTTTTAGTCATCTGTAGCTTGCCTGGCCATCTTTATCAGACTACAACGAGGACCACAATGGAAATAAGTTTGTAACTTTATTGTGTTATCCTCGACAGTTCTGATAAATGTATAATGTCACTGTGATGGCATCTTGTTATGCTTTTTTTTTTTTTTACTGTCTAGATCAAATCAAAATAAAAGGGCTTTCAGATGGTTTGGTTGTTTCAATTATGATAACATGCTTGGGGTCTGATGATATTTTTAAAATGTTTAGAAATTTGTCTCTTATGCTCACAAAGGCTGTATTTATTTGCACAAAATACAGTAAAAACAGTATTATTGTAATCATATTTCACAATATTACTGTTATAATTCCTGTTTTCTATTTGAATATATTCCTTTGATGCAAAGCTGTATTTTCAGCATCATTACTCCAATCTTCAGTGTCACATGATCCTTCAGAAATCATTCTAATTGGCTGATTTGGTGCTTAAGAAACACTTTTTTTTTTTTTGGATTCTTTGATAAATAGAAAGTTCAAAAGAAAAGCATTTATTTTAAATACAAAGCTTTTGTGACATTATAAATTATTTACTGTCACTTTTGATCAATTTAATGCATATTTTCTGCATAAAATTTCTTAAACAAATCTTACTCACCCCAAACTTTTGAACAGTAGTGTATAAGACAGATATTTAATGTCCCATTCTATGTCTGTATCTACAATAGATGTTTAGAAGATGAGGAGGAAGATGACATTCCTGTTCTGGCTGCCAAATGGGAGAAGAAACAGTTGAGCAGCTCCATAGAGGAACAGTTTCTGCTCAGCCACACATTACTGGTAAAGACAAAGGATTGATCTGTTATTTTTGGGCCTTCACCTTTTAACAGGGTTCGTACAAGGTGCTTAAAGTGCTTGAAGTACTTGAATTTGACTTTTTGAAATTTAAGTCCTGGAAAACCCTTGAAAACAGCCATATTTTTGAAGAGGTACTTGATAAGTGCTTGAATTATTATAGGGATGCACCGATACCGAGCTCATGTACTCGTAAAAATGCTCTGATACCAATAACCGATAGGCCTACCAGGCAGCGTGTATGGCAAGCCGTTTTAACTTTTATTCATTTCCAGGATATGAATTGTTGATATCAAGAATTACATTTTTGATATCAACAATTAAATTTTTTGATATCAACAATTATATTTTTTATATCAACAATTGAATTCTTGATATCAACAATTGAATTATTGATATCAAAAATGTAATTCTTGATATCAACAATTGTATTTTCACTAGTGAAATGTCACCATAGGTTGCCATTCAAAATCAATTGTTGATATCAAGAATTGATTTCTTACTAGTAGAAATATAATTTTTGATATCAATAATTGCATTGTTACTAGTAAAAATGCGAATTCCTGATATCAATAATTAAATTGTCACTAGTCTAAATGTCTATTCTTGATATCAACAACTGAATTGCTACTAGTAAAAATTTTCATTTTTGATATCTGAAAATGTATTTCTGATATCAATATTATTTCAGATATCTAAAATGGCTTTCTTACTAGTAACAATCACATTCATGATATCAGAAATTAACATTGTCACTAGTGAAAATTGAATTATTGATATCAAAAATGAACATTGTTACTAGTAGCAATTCAATTGTTGATAATCAAGAATAGACATTTTAACTAGTGACAATTTAATTCTTGATATCAAAAATAAAGGTTTTTACTAGTAAGAATTGTATTTCTGATATGTGAAATTGGAATTTCAACTAGTAAGAAATCAATTCTTGATATCAAGAATTGGTTTTTTAATGGCAGCCTATGGTGACATTTCACTAGTGAAAATACAATTACAGATATCAAGAATTATAGTTTTAACTAGTTGAAATTCAATTGTTGATATCAAGAATGATCATTTTAACTAGTGAAAATGTAAATGTTGATATCAAGAATTAGCATTGTTACTAGTGAAAATGTAATTCCTGATATCCAAAATTGCCATTGTTACTAGTAGAAATATTATTCCTGATATCAATAATTATCATTTTAACTAGTGAAAATGTAATTGTTGATATCAAGGATTCATATCCTGGAAATGAATAAAAGTTAAAACGGCTTGCCATACAGCGTGTGTATAGTAACGCATAGCTGTGGTGCGCGAGCTGATCATCAGAGAAAACCGCGCAGTGGATTGAGCGCGCAGCAGCACAGACACGCGAGCTGGTCGAGCACATCTCTTTAAACCGACATCAGTGGAAGGTTTGTAGTTTAGTCGGATGTCAATGGCAAAGAAAATAAAACAAGGCATGTCCTAGCTTATTATTAACGTTAACTGACGAGAGAGAGCGCAGTTCTGTTGAATGCTCTTGATTGTTATTATATTTGGATGACAACTAAATCAAGTAAAGTAAAACATGACCTGTTACCTGATTTATGTATAACGAGCGATTCCTTACATTATTACTGGACGTTTGCAGTCAATAAGTTCCATGAACGCAAACATCCAAAGCGCGTGCCCCGGAAACCAGCGTCTCAGCGCGCGAATACTGAATTGAATTGTCTTTCACGTCTTGCGCTTGTGCTGAGGAATTCACACAAAATTATGTAAAAATGCCCATATTTGCGAGTATCCAAGTAAACAAAGTCAGGTATATCAAGTGACCGTAGCCATGGGGTCCTTGCGTTCGGTCTTAAAGGGGCAGCACTTCAATAAACCCACTGCTGTTTTAATGTTAATCAAACAATGAATGGACAAATAAATTACTCACTGCTCTTGACTAAATAGTCTACCCTTTTCAACTTTCAAAAGATCCATCTATATTTAATTTATCCAGTAATTTGTAGCCTTTCTTTGTTCTATTGTATTTATTTGTAAGTTGATTATTCGTTCTTATTTTGTTGCTGACTGCTTACCTTTTAATAATGTTTTAAATTCACATTAATTAGGCTGGCAGTTTTTGTTGTAGTATCAAAATTGGATTCAATTATTTATATTTCACTGGTGTCTAAACATTTGTACCACTGACCCAATTCTCAGCACTGACATTTCTGGAGCTGCTCTAGTCCAAATATGTGCTGTGCTATTCAATGAAATATAAAATATGATAGAGCAATAGAATGTACAGTAACAAAACCTCATACAATGCAATTTAGCAGGCTTAATTAAGCATGCAAATAATTGAAGGAAATATATAGTTGATGAACAAATTAAGCCAACTAATCTGATTATTACTAAGACATTTAAAAATTACAAATGCAGTGAAAATTCAGGGATCGGTTACAGTATCGGTATCTCGTTCTGCAAAAAAGTGGTATCGGTCCATCCCTAATTCAAAATATTGTGGATTTTTTTTTTTTTTTTTTTTTTTTTTTTTTGAAAAAATACAATTGTTTCATGCTAAATCAACGCTGTAGCCCGTCTGAGATATAGAGCTATTTCTCATGGCTATGAGCATGATATTAAGTATATGATAAGTATAAAATACAACTTTTATTCTTCAGGTCAATCATATATATATAAATGGGGGGAAAAATCAGTGTCAATTTCCTTTCAATGGTTAAGGCGATTTCCAATGCCTGCCAGTGCTGGTAAATGGATTCACCTCTCTGAATTGAAACATCAATAAGTAAAAATAATAATCAAGATATTGTTTGATAAGTGCCGATTGAAGTCCTTGAAATCCAAAAAAGTAGTGCTTGAAAAGTCCTTGAAAGTCCTGGAATTTCATTTGACAGAGTCTGTACGAACCCTGTTTTAAACTTTATTCACACAACACACTTGGTATAGAAAATGTTTCATTGTGAATTGTTTTTTTTTTTGAATGGCAGAATGGCTTGTCCGATGATGCTTCAGAAGAATTTGAACCGCCACCTCAAAAGCGAAGTCAGCTTTTGACCGACAGGGACCCGTTACTGGGCGGAGTGCAGGGGTTGTGTGATACAGCAGGTATGTGACGTTATTTTAAAAAGTCCTGTTGAAGATCAAGTTAATTTGTAAAAGCTATCTCATTAGCTATGTTTTCCCATACACAGCTCTCATGAGAGGCACCTTCCTGTCACGCCCACCTGACTTAATGCGACCTGTTGCTGAAACAATGGCGTCCCTTACTTGAAGAATGAACAGTGTGGACGAGTTCTCAGCTAATACAGTGACCGCTAACAGGGAAGGTTACAAATAACCCTCTTCTCGCTCAACATGTATCAACTTAACATGTATTTCAGAAAGTGATGTTTTACGCATTAAACACAGGAGGATAATTGGTCCAAACATTCTATTACATATGTCCATCTCTTTTTTTTAAATGTGTGTGTGTGTATATATATATATATATATATATATATATATATATACATATATATATATATATATATATATATATATACATAACAGTGGTCAACATTTGAAGTGGATCAAAAAGTTCATCAAAGAACGGGTATTGTTCAAAATTCATGTATAACTTTAATGAAAGGTTTTGATCCACTTCAAATGTTGACTACTGTGTGTATATATATATATATATATATATATATATATATATACACACACACATATATACATTTATACTTTTTTTTCCCAATACTATAATAAAGAGTAGTTACAATAGACTTTAGTTAATAGAATTAGTTTAATATAGTCATTGTTTAAGAATTTCCCGTTCTCAGCAGACCCTGATTTTAGTTTTGTCAGTAGATGGCGACATTTCTGAAAAATAATGGTTCTCGTCACCCCTCGTTCTCTGGCGTTCAGTCCAGTTTCTTCAAAAGCACAAATGTGGCCAAAAGGGGGCAGAAATCGAAGCTAAACTGGCCTGGATATGTTAGAAATAGTGTTAACATATTGTTCTACCACTTGTAGCCTTAATCTAAACTTCAAGCATAACCTCACTTGACTCTAAGTTTATCTGAAAGTTCACGAGGTGATTTCTTACAATGGTTCTTGTTTGGTGCTAGAATCATCGGTTAGGCTGATTTTGAGTGGATGAGATCATGCTTTTTTAGTTAATAGATTATTCACTGATGCCATAGCTGACAAACGCAACAAATACTCAATCAGTGATCATCTGATTTTTATAAAGCATTTTATATACTATTACAGTTACAACTTGTAAGTGAATCTATACTATGTGTCTTTGGTGTTGAACTACAAATATGACTGTTTTCTGTTCTTGTATCTTTTCCAGTATATCAAATGGTCTATAATGGTTTTCAAAGAGGCTATGGTGTTGACACTGCAGTCGTGTTTGACTGAAAGCCTTGTCTTATGTCTTTTTGAATCATAATATGAAATGCTAATGACAAATGTGCTAGTCAATAGTTTGAAATCATTCACAGCCAGCAATCATCTTCGGTCTAGTTATTTGCTGTTGTTTCTCGATCACCTTTAATGCAGCAGAGACATTTTTTAAATGATGGCATACAGGATTAGTTGTGCTTTTTTCAGTTGACTGTGATTGTTATATTTTCCCCTGATTTCTGTAGCTAGGACAGACACGACTCAGGGGGCCTTATTCAAATGGTGTCAGATAAGACGCATGCCATTCACAAATTCTTTCGATTACTTGGACTTTTTGTGTATGTTACTTTGCGTATTTTTGCATCATTTATTTCAAATGTATGTACAGTATACCTTGTATTGACTGATAAAGAAATAAAACATTTTAAATGCTTTTAAAACCTGTGTACTATTGCAAACGGACATCAAAATATTGTAAAGCACATATTCATCTTGATTATTTAAAAACTACTTGTTTGCCAAAAAAAAATAGTGTTTCACACAACTCAATATTAATTGCATAAAATGTATTTTCTAGATAGATGGACATGTTTTGTCACACATAATGCGTTCATGAGTTCAAAAATATAGGATGAAGCGGTGAGGAATGAAGGATTTAATTTGTTATTTTATCTTTCAGGATACGGTCACTACATGCAAAACCTTTGCGATCGTTTTTTTCTTCCCAATTCCCATATTGTCGTGACGGCTTCTCTACTGTCTCGAACAAGAATTTTTTTTTTTTTTAAGTACGAATATGCACACCTGTTGTTTACATTAAAATCTTTACAGAGGGAATTTTGGATCTATATCTTTTCGTCACTATTTAAATCTATAGAGTGAATCTAAAATACTTTCAATAGACAGAAACCAATACATTTTAACCACGTTTTTAGAAGGGAAAAAAAAACGTTATATAAAACCAGGTAAATGACAAGAAAAACCCTCTGTAAAAACCTTTAGAATATGTATAGGAATTAAACTGTATGTAACTGACCTTGGAGATTTCTGGCTTTTTCCTTTCATCTCACATTTTCCCCTTCACCATGGATGTCTCTTTTGGGGCTCCGTAGAATAAATCATGTGGCTAATGCATAACAGATTGTATTATTTTGCTTATTTAGCAAAGAGCAGACACTTCCAACCATCTCTAATGGAGATTAATATTACAAAAACAACTCTGGTGTTTAATATTAAACCCGGAGGCGGTTTAGCCCAAACTAAAATTTGGCATTTTTATATAAAGGAATTAATTAATTATAAAGCGATTTGAGGGAATAAAAAAAGAAATGGGCTTATTGTATTAGTGAATTGATTTAAACTATTTGCAAATAATATTTATTTTTTAAGTATGCATACATTCTCTCTACATGAATCAAGAAAATGATAGCATAGTTTTAATTCAAAAAGGCAAAAAAAGTTGAGTAGACCGCTAAACTTTTAACGTTAGTCATCCTAACAACAAACAGAGCGGTGCGTAATGGAGTGCATCAGGGCAGCATCAAGAATATCAAATACATTGCAGTGAATCTCTTATTTGCATCTTAAGTTTATTACCAATAATAATTACAGGTTTGCGAAAGTGTAGAACTCGGTTAACTCGCGCTAAACACATAGTATGGCTAAACACATCTTCACCACAGCGACTCATTTAAACGCCTCTGATTGGCCGATGCATTCAACAGACATGTCTGTGATTGGCTACAATGCTCAACGCTGCAAAATCATGTTGTAAGTAGGCTACCTTTAATGCAAAGGGAAAAATATAAATAAAACTGTAATATGCACTTTTCGTGATTACGTAATCGTGGCAGCTGCAATCTTATTCACATTTGTTTTTTCTGATTAATTGTTTTGTTCTATGAGAAAGACAAGGTAACAAAATATTCCTGGGCTTTACTAAAAACATTGGGGGCTTAAGCCCTCAGCCCAGCCCTAGCTAGCGCCGCCCAATACACCCGTGTTTATCACAGCAGCATTGTGTGAAGCAGTCTGCGCTTTACCTCAAGATGGGGACAGGGCCTACTGCCAAATATCTCTCTCGCTCTCTAATTTGCAACATGAACAGTTTTGCAAGCATATTCTGTAAACAATTGGGCAATTTAACCTCAGTTTGCTCCAGATTTAATAAATGAACCAAAAATGTTTTGTTGATTGTTTTACTATATTTAACTTTTGAATAGCTACTTGCCATCTTTGAGTGCAGAATCAGGAAACAGGTTTAGTCTTACACGATCTACTTATGAAACAAGGCCCAAAACAAGTTTATTCACAGAGGGTTTTTTGTAGGTCAAATGTAAGTGCGTAGGTGTCTTGCTCTCCTTTGCTGCTTCTATCAAACATATTCCTCATGATATCCTCTTATGGGTTTTGGCTTCTAATCCAACATTGATCTGTGTGCCCAAACTAGTTTGAAAACATCTTTTAACAAGCTTGACACTGTATTAGAGCTGTTAAACCCACTGTTGTTGACCACACCATTACACATAAATCACTGAAAATGTTGGTTTTAGGGAGGATCAACCTCTGATAACCTCAAAGTAAACATGTTAAACACCACTCAAAAACCCTGGAAAGATTTAAAATAATTTTTAATAGCAAACATTCCATTCATAAAATTTTAAAAATGTATAATTATTCATTTTACATACACTATTTGGTCAGAATTATATACAAGATGTAAATGTTACATATCGTAAAATAATTGGAAAATATAAACATTCAATGTCCTTTCAGCAAGCATACTTCAAGTCAGTTCCCCTGTTCTACATGTTTACGCAATATTTAACAACAGATAGATCTATTCAGGTGAAAGGAATCAAAATAATAATTATACATATATAATACAATCCATCAGTCAGCAGGCAAAATCTCAGTCTGGCTATGACATTCAAGAAATCCAAATGCTCTAAGAAACACTGAAATGAGGTGAAAGGTCAGGTATCAGTCAAAGGAATCATCACCGTTAACTACACAGCATCTCATCCTCACAGATATAGCTCCAATACCTACAATATTAAATAAAGTCATTCATCAATCATAAAAGTCCTCTTGAACACCTTGTTTCCCCTCATGGAGGGGAGATGATAGCCACGTCTTCAGCTTGCCAGTGAAAACATCGACAAATCTATATTGCAGCAGGTCACCTAGAAACACAAAATATATCTGACCAATAAGGTCGTTGAAAAACCAGTTTCTCACGGGTATTTTAAGCCACAAAAGGATGAATCCACAATCAAAGGTTGAAAGAAAAGTCACAAGGACTCCAGTGCAATGAAATGAACAATCAAAAAGCTAAAGGTGAGAATATTTATAGTCCAGTAATTAGTTGTTTTTATCATCAGAAAGTGCACTTTGCAAAGCCCGTTCGTCACTGTCGTTCCCAGTGTCTCTGGATCTTGATTGGACCTCTTCATAAGGTGGCGGCAGATTCTCTGTGCTCTGATTAACTGTGTCGGTGCAACGATTCGAATCGGACCGTATGAGCGAAGTCAGCGGACTGTGTTCTGATGCGTCCTGGGCCAATAGGAGCTGAGTGGGTCCACGGAACGACGGGAGTCGCTGGCCCCAACTGCCGTAGATTGCCTCCTCATATGTGGGAAGAGATACAGGTAAACCATCCACCACAAGGTCCAACTGGTCTGAGGAACGCCTGATGAGAAAGACCCAACAGTTAATGTGATGTTGAGATCCACCTTATTTTGCAACACGGAAGCAAGATATTTTCTTTGAATGTGCGAGACTTTGAATTCATGAACTGCTATAGGTAAATAACTAGAAGAAAAACAGTGCTGTAAACAGTAAAACTGTTGAACAAAGTTGAACTTCAGTGTCTTCAGAAATTATTCTAATATGCCAATTTTCTGCTCAAGAAACATTAGTATTATCAATGATGAAAACAGCTGTACTGCTTAACATTTTTGTGGAAACCGTGATAGATTTTTAAGAATTCTGTGATTATTAGAAAGGTCAAAACGAACAGCTTTAGTAAAGTCACTTTTTCTGTCACTTTTGATCAGTTTAAAACGTTTTTGCTTAATGAAAGTAAAAATTATTTCTAACCCCAAACTTTTTTTTTAACTGTTGTGTGCATTTCATTGCTTTTGGGACAAGTGAAATGACATACCGTTGCGTTCCGCAGGAGAGTAGACGGGATTTGATGACCAAACAGGCTGTTGTTGTGAAGAGGAAGATGGACACTCCAATAGCAGTTGTAGCCACACTTGGGATAGAGTCCATTTTTTCTTGTTGTCCGACAGGAATCTCTGTTTTTAAAACAACACACAAACTATTTAAAGATTTCCCGTCAAAGAGCTTGAAAAAGTACTGACATGCAAATTAAGCCCGGATGTGGAGCATGTTTTTTTGGAATAAGTGGTTGAGTGACAGCTTTACATCCTTTGATTCGGATTCTATGATGCAAACATTTTCCGAAGGCTTTACATGCATCACAGAAAAAGTCAAACTGGTTAGTTTGGTTACTTTGCTAACTTCCTGCTCAAGCAGTTGGTTTCCTCTCGTGATACGTTTCAACTCAGATAAGGAAGTGAACGCAGAGAATGAAGCATCATGGTTTCTCCCCCCTCCCTCCCCCTTTGGTTTAGGACTTTACTTCCCATCCGGGCGCCTGGGGTTTATCTAGGTCGTTTATTAATGGTTCTGCTTGTGTATTATGTCTTTCTCCAACACATTTCCTTCATCAAGAAAGCAGAACTTTCGAAAAACTGATGCAAGACGAAAGAGTTTGAGTTGTCAGCATACGCTGCTTCCAGTCTTTTGCATAAGTCTCTTACTTCCAAAAACAGTAAAAGGTTGGATTGCAATAGTTGGGCCAGGTATTCGGGCACAAGCAAATGCAACTTCATTTTTTTTTCTCTTACCTGATCGGGGTGTACAGGTGGGCACTTTCGGATGCCATTCCCCACGTTGACACTTTGACCAATGGTGGCGTTTGAGTAGAGTGTAGCCGGGCTCGCAGAAGAAGCGAATGATGCTCTTTTGAGGGAAACCACGACAGGGAGAGGGTTCACAGCGGAAACCTCCATGCTCGGGTATGATCGGGTGGGAGCAATTCCTGCCTGAAAATTAAAAAATAAAAATAAAAATTTGAAATGACACTGAAGGTACATTTCAGCCCTTTCATGTAGTCCCTGTATGCATGTTGGTTTTATGCATGTTATGGTTATGCAACTTTTATACCATTCAATTTGCTATTTTATGTTTTTGTTCTGCATGTTGGTTGCAAACATGACTTTTGGTGGAGAACATTGGTATAATATTGTATTTACAAAAAAAATATATTAATTATTATTACTTATTAGTATTTGAACAAACTAATCATTATATTCATAACTAATATATAATAATGAATAATTATCTTTTCAAGAATTTCAGTGAATCTTTTTACATGATCAGGACAGCTGTACAACCCTGACAATCTTTGGTTTTAATATACAATTTATTCCTGTTATGCATTACTCCAGTCTTCAGTGTCACATGATCCTTCAGAAATCATTCTAATATGTTGATTTGGTGCTCAAGAAACATTATCAATTTTGAAAACAGTTGTGCTGTTTAAAGGGATAGGTCACCTAAAAATTCACCCTTACCCTCACGTTGTTCCAAACCTGTATAAATGTCCTTGTTCTACTACTGAACACAAAGGAAGATATTTTGAAGAAAGCTTGTAACCAGGCCGCTTCGGGGCACTATTGACTTCCAAAGTAGGAAGAAAAAAAAATACTATGGAAGTCAATGGTGCCCTAGAACTGTTCAGTTTCCCACATTCTTCCAAATATCTTCCTTTGTGTTCAACAGAACGAAGAAATGTAAACAGGTTTGGAACAAGTAGAATTTAAGTCTATACTGTCAGTTTTGATCAACCGAATGCATCCTTGATGAATAAAAGCATTAATTTCTTTCAAATAAATATACTACTGACCCTCAAACTTTTGAACGATAGTGTATACAAAGTTTCATAAGTGATTATTGCTAAAAGGACAATTTGATTATCTTTACAAGCGGCTTTCAAAGGAAGTTAGTGGCTGGTTATCTGGAAGAGGAAGATGTGGTATGCTGAAAGGAAATCTTCATACCTGAGGTTAAGTCTGTCAGAGCAGCCAGCATGAGAACCCCGCAGCTCAGGACAGTACGCAGACATGGCAAGAGAGACAATCGCTGTGCAGACATCAAAACACCTGTCCCGATAACAATAAAACAAAAAGAATCAGTAACCTGCAGCCATTCACATATCAGCAGATCACATACTCTATTACTGAGTTTACTGCATTGACAGATTCATTTCTTAAGTGTATTACATGTGATTAAACCAAGGTAACCATTAACCATGTGTTGATGAGGTTGCACAGAAAGAGGAGGGATGTATCAACAGCTGGCCGTGCAACAGCTGGCACACTCCACACCCAGCCTGTCACCCTAGAATAACACAATCCAGAGTGCAAATTCCCATGCCAAAGGTGACTTTAAATGTCACAGCATCACTCGATAGTGGTCTAAAAATGACAGCCGGCTTTGCCGCAAACTGAGGGACGATGTGCGCAAACATGTCAAGAACCCCAAACACTAAATGCTTGCTTTGATGTCTGCAATGGTGTAGTCATCCGTGTAACATGAGGGATTGCCCCTTCCTGGCAGCGTGACATTTTCACTCCGAAGCAGGCCACAACGTGGGCGGCTTGCTGCCTCCTCCTTTACTAAATGCATTATTAAACTTAAATGTGAATGCATTTACCAGTGCATTTTGTAGGACTGCTGTATGTGAGCTGCATACAGCAATTCAAAGTTGTATTGTGTGTATATTGCACATTGTGTATATTTTTATACACTATGCATAGGAAAATATTGTGTAGGCCTATGTATATGTTCTACTGTCACTCCATGGCTGTAATTACACATTAGTAATAGACCATTAACATTATCATCAGTTGACCACTAATCTGATCCTTAGAATTGGGTCTACCAATAAATGGAATAAATGCAAAGCAACTAAATCAATGAAATCTAAAGAATTAAAATGAAACAATTTAGATTTGCAGAAAATTAATAGCATGAATGTTATTATAACTATTAAATCAGAAATAAAACAATAATGAAAAAAACTCTGTATATGACATTTTGGTTATTGAACATAATTATTACAAATAATTATTATAGTCGGGGAAAAATATCTCCACACATGATTTTCACTACACCATTACATTTGTGTATGATGTTGTGACAAAAAATGATTTTAGTCGTGACAGCAGTATATATCAAAGAACGGCGTTAAAGTGCTCAGCTATAGGTTATTAATATGCATTTTTCTGTTAACTGGCCATTAGAAAGCTATAACGTGTATGCTGGGAAACATCACTGACACGCAACAAAAGAGAACTGATCTTTGATTCTTCTTCTCTGCAAATCAAGCCATTAATCTACAATGCTAATTCTATCCGTCATTGCTGTGCACTACAACACTGCACAAAACCCGTGTGATTCAATAGCACCATTCACACGCATACTGTGGGTTTGTGAAAAGAAAGACAGGTGCACAAAAGCTCTATTGTAGCATCATATTGTTATAATATATGCGTGTGTTATAAGCCAATTCGGTTCATTCCAATAAACAAGTTGGTCGTTGGATTTAGAATGTTATAAAAATAACGGATGTTCACACTACCCCAACAACAGACGCCGGCAAACACTGATTGATCATGGTCAGTCAGGTGAAAGCAACCCCAACAAACGTGTTTGTTGGCGATTGTCTGTTAGTTGTGAATTGGCCTTTAGTCTGATTCAAAATGAAACTCACCTGGCAATGCAGCTTGCGGTGATGTGAGGTTATAAAATCGATTAAGTCCAGTCGGCTCTTTAGTGTATTTTTATTTACAAGGGGTTCGTCATAGATGTCATTTAACTTAACGCAAAACCTCTGCCCGCCGCCTGAATGGGACCTGATTCAACAAGTGCATGTATTCCCGAGCAGCTGTCAGATGACTCACCGCACAGCTGAGTTATCATGAGCAGCTCGAGCTCTGATTGGTCGCCGTCATGCGCGATCACGACAGCCCCGCCCATATTGACCATCATATTCTGGAAACCGAAAGCAATTCGTGGAAAACGGTATTGTGGTTGTAGCCTACTATTATTTATACAAATATTTTCACGACCACACCTAAAGCACCCGGTTCCCCATTTAGCTTAAAGTCAGAGGAAAACGCACAAAACAGAAGTGATAAAAAGGGTGGATAAATGAATCGCCTGAGAGCGAAAAAGCTGAAATATGCAGTGACAATGGCTGCATCTCAAAAGCTTATGAGCTGCCTACCTAGACTGCTTTTCTGGGCGCATTCAAATGTTTTTGATGTTGGATTCATATTAATTGTTTTTTCTTCATGTCACTGACATAATGGCATATACAATCTTAAAATACAAAAATGATCTAATTATTATATACAATTACAATATAACATAATTAACATTTTATAAAATGGCTATTACACAATGTTATAATTAAATGATGACATTCATTGTCAGTACTTCCCCAGTTAACACCATCTAGATAATTACCACGTTACCTAGAAACATCAACGAAACAAAATGATTACGATACATCCTGCAGAAAAAATAACGCAACAGTTCTCCGAAGACTCCAGCAAAATTATACTAACACATTTGACTTAAAGAGTGAAATGAAAGAGGCGGAAGGTGTCGTTTAAAAACTGTATTTGGTAAAACAAAAGAAAACAAAATCAGTTTAAAGTTCATTTTACCACCAGTAAAAATTCACGTTATAAAGGGAACTCTGACATTGGTTGACCACCAAAAATGACAATAAAGAGAAAACAACAGAACCAACATGAACAGTATGAACCATTTTACATGTCACAAAAATGCAGGGCTGTCAGTAGCAGTTCCAAAAGGATGGTGAAGATGATTTTAACACATTAGACAAAAGTAACTCCGTCAGATATGGGGCAACATCAAGATGATGTCAGAATGCCAGTGAGGACACAAAGTTCATGTTTCTATTCCACCTTCAAAACAATGTTTCTTAAAAACTATCTACATGATGAAAAAATTAAGATAAAAATCAAAAAAGCAGTGCAAGATTAATTAGAAACCTATTAGGCTTAAAATAAGTCGTCAGCAGAATATGGGCAATCCATTTGTTTTAATGCAGTGACAATCTGAGATAGAGACAAAGTGATAATACAATGATGTACCCTTTCCATAGAGCATTTGCAGTACTGTTTATGAGCACCAATTAAGGAACGAAATTGAAAACTGAATACAAAAAAGTAGATTACCTTACCACACAAGAGATCATACTCTGATTGGGCCTGGGAATGAGATTCAGAAAAAAAGAGAAGTAATTTCTGGAAGCCATTCAACACGCTCACTGGATCAGTCTTTTGAGACAATCATGCATTATGCCATTTTGCTCACAGTACAGCATGTTCCATTTACACAATCCAATAACATAAGGCTTGTGGTCAAAGGAGGTATCCTCTTTCAAAACAGTCAATAGTCATTAAACCTTGCAGGTTTATAATATATAAACAAAAGTGAATGCATGGCTGATCACAAAGCAATTGTGCCACTGCCCAAACAGAATGTGTTCATTTTCAGTTATGCATTAAAGATATTCATGCATTAAGGCATTGTTTTCTTTGTAGAAATGCTAAACTTATCTGTTGCTTCAGTGCACTGAGGATGTTAAACAACAATCTACAATCCCTACAATACTTCACAGATAGACATGAGCCTATAAAACGCTACTCTCTCAATTTCATCATTTATTCATCTCTGAATATACATTTAAATGCTAGTGTATATACTTTGCTTCAATGCCCGATTGTCATCATTTCACCTTCTGAAAAAGTAACGCAGCCCAGCATGTAAAGAAATACCATTCAAAACTTTTACTGGTGGAAAAAAAAAAATCCTAATAGTATTTTTATATTAATTATGTCTGTCATTAATTTTCTCAAACCTTCACATCTACAATTAGAGTTATGGTTGCTGTGTTACAGTTTAGGCCATCAGCAAAAGGATTTTTTAGAAAAACTCAAAATATATACATTAGCTACCGTTTCAGTCTAGGATTAATCTCTACAATTCATCTTAGAACAATTTGTAAATTACCGAATGTAACTGTGACCTTGATATTCACACAAATGTGCATTTACTCGATTCTTTTTAACAATTCAAACTTGTGCTCATGTGGAGTCGCTACAACAAATCGAAATATTTAAACACCTTTCAGGGTTTTTTTTGTCAGCGTTTTCAACCACTTTGGTCCTGGATCTTTGTGACTAAGCAAAAAAGATACACAGTCTTAAAAGGGATAGTTCACACCAAATTGAAAATTTTGTTATGTTCTTCCAAGCCTGTATGGCATACTCTCATCTGTGGAACATAAAAGAAGATATTTTCTACACAAATTTTCTTTTGTTGATGGGCTCCAAAACAACATTGCAGAAAAAAAAAAAAAAGGAGAATAAATGACAATTTTCTTTTTTGGGTGAACTATCCCTTTAACGCGATGTGATGTAGTGTGCTTGGAATATGTTTGGACTATAAACTTCCAGTATTTCAGACCATCTTTGGTTGTTCCATTACTCTTCTCTTAAATCCTTGAACATGTCATGGTGCTCTTATAATAAAGAGCAGTAGTGTAAATGACCAATTATATGAGCATTCCGGCCTATACTTTAGTGTGTGGGATCAAGCGCAATCTATAGGTTCCACTTCCTGTGAACAAGCTCTCATGAAATAGAGCATAGGTAACTCTCAACTATACATTGGTATAGTCCAGCATCTCTCCTTCAAAACGAATCTTTCAGAGAAAGGCCGCGAGTCTTCAAAGATGTAAGCTACTTAGCTGGAGGATTTAAGCACACATGAAAGGACATTCTCCTGCAGACTGCCCTACATGGAAAACAACTCGATCTCCTCTGTGGCGTGGCGCCGTGGTGAAAGTTTTGGAAGAGAAAAAACCCTACACCCAACCCTTCCCCCCCTTTATTATATTAAAAAAGTGGAACAATGAATCAAAGGAGGAAGCTTCATATTGGAGTGCAGCTCAATCTCAGAACAGTGTTTTAAACTATCACACTGTCACTCAAAACACACTATGAAAACAAAACCGATATAGCTCTCTACTTTCATTAAAACAAAATTAAAAAAGGTCTGAAACAAAACACCTCCAGTGTTTACCATTGCTTAGTGTTGTAACAGGAGCCTAGAGTTTCTTATAGTCTTTTTTTTTTTTTTTTTTTTTTATAAAGTAAAAGGTTTTCTTCAGTAGTTGTTTTCCTGTTCAAATGGATTAATGAGTAGTGTGGTCCTGGTGCAAAAGATGAAGTGCAGGAAAAAAAGCTTGAGGTTTGGAACAAATCCATCAAATTGTTGCTTTACATTGAGGGCAGATTAGAATCTGCAAGTGGTTCGTTTTCATAATGTCTAATCCTCCTTAACTCGGTTCACCCAAAAGCAGTCTTAGAGGTCAAGCATAAAACCACTGAGAACACATGTTCTGGTGTTTCTGAGTTAGCCAGAGAGGAAAACCTCTTCGAGCAGAACACTGTGAAGGATCTAATCATGTCTTTTTCATGTCACCAAACGGGGTGAACTCTATAGGTGTAAAAAAAAACAGTGGTAAAAATGTGTGTTTCAAAAAGGCCTCTCAACATTCGTAGCATCAATGGCCTTTTCTCCTAAAATTCTTGACCTGTACAATCATTTCAGATGTTTAAAGTGTGTAGAGTACAGATCTGGGTCTTTGTTTTGAGCTCAGTAGAGGGCCTGACAGATCCCGCCCTGATTTCTCTTCTCATCTCATGCGGTTTTGTCTCATGAGGGGAACAATGCAAGAGGGAGGGCCTGCTTTACTCAGGAAGGGATGCTTTAGCAGCTCTTGAGCTGTGGCCCTCTGGGCAGGATCTCGCACGAGCATCCTGTCCAAGAATCCCTTGAGAAGTGGCGAGACCTATGGATACAGAACAACATTGTAATCTGTAACATTAATGTGTTTTTTGCCTTCATGGTTAAGCAAGAGGTTGCAGGTCTACCTTGTGGAGGTTTTTGAGCTTGGGTGGCAAATTGTCTCGGATCATTTTCATAGCCTTGAGAGGAGGCTCATTGAAGTACGGCGGCTCTCCATCTACCATTTCAATCACCATAATGCCAAGTGACCAAATATCCACCTGTAGAAACAGTTTTGTTTGTATAAGCTGCAGTAATGTCAGCAGTAATGCAACATAATATGAAAACAGTAAAGGGGGATGGGACTTGCCTCTGGTCCATACGGGAGTCTTGAGATGAGCTCAGGGGCCATCCAATAGGGTGTTCCTACAAGAGACTTCCTGCGCTGTACCTCTTTAGAGACCTGGGCACAAAAGCCAAAGTCTGACAGCTTCACCTGCAAATGAGAATAGGGATAAAACCAAAAGAAAGAGAGGAAGTTATATTACCTGCCAAAATAAATGGAGACTTCTATTTAGGCTTGCTTCTTCATTTGCTGGGATTGAACTATTATTATTATGGATCTATAGTTAATTACTCCTCTTTTTAAGTGTCTGAGCAAAGCCTGTTTGTGTCATGACAACAGTAATCCACATGTCAGTCGTCCACAAAATAACATGACATTTTATGATTCACCATGTCTATTACACAATTTACCTACAGCGCTCTTCGCAGATCACGTGCACAAGTACATATTTATTTATATATATCAACAACATTTATAAATGTGTGAATTATGCACTGGTGGCTTAATTATTTTTAATTAAGATCATGGGCTCTAAAATATTCACTGTTACATGAAATTACACCGCATACGAGCATGTGAAAGTGAAAAAAGCCCTGTTTGCATCACAAATAATAGCTTAAGTATTTTCAAAAAAAGCTTTTCAAGTTTTCTGAGAAAGCTTCTGCAATGCTTGCTTGACTAACTACACAAAAACTGAGCCCTTTGGTATATTGCATGAGAAGCAGCGTCAGACATATGCAAGAGGAAATGAAACATGTAAGGTCAAACACATACACAGGCAATCAGCCACTGCCGAGAAACAGCTGAGGGTGGCTTAAAGAACTTCCGTCTATTTCAACCACAGACACAATGAAACATAGACCTTGTTTAACATTGCAGAGCCATCAAAAATAAATGGCCGGATATTGCAGAATTATATTTCTGTGAATGCATTGACAAGCATGCAGTTAAAAAAAAAGAAAAATGTGCATCACAAGCGATGGTCTTTTAAAACCAGGGTCTATTTGAGAACTCTTAAATACATAAATGATGGAAATGTTCTTGAGGTTTTGGTACTTTGTCAACAATTTAATTCTAATTTATCTCACTTGCTGACTTTTGGGTAGGGCTGGGAATTGACAAATTTCACAATTCGATTCGATTTCGATTCACAAGCTTGCAATTCGATTCGATTCAATATTGATTACTTTGGATATCAGGTACAATACATGGCAAATTTTCTCAAGGAAAACAAATCTCTTAACTAATGCTGTAAACTATGGGAGTCAGTTGTAGCCTACTAGGCTTCATTAGCCAACTATAATATTGAAGGTAAAAATGAACAGATTTGTATACAAACACTTAAATAACACTAATTTATTTTATAATAATAAAGTTATATGAAATATAAACATTTAAATGGTGGCTGTCAAAACTTGCCAAATTTATTCAAACATGCATTAAATATTGAAGAACATTAAAAATTATAATGAATATGTCATATATGGTGCATATATTTAGCAAAATGCTCCTCTCTAGAGTAAATTTTTCTAGCTGACTAACAAATTTATGGTCACTGGATTATGTTTTTTTTTAGGTAAATGTGACGTTACATTGTTTACCAGCTGTTTTACTGATGTCTTTCCACGGTTGAAACACTGATTGAGCGATTCCATGTGACATTATACGGATTTCGATAAGTTGTACTCTATCTTTTAACTCACATTCGGATGCTCATTCATGTTTATTTCGCGCTGTAACTATTATTAAGGCGGAAGAGAAGATCATGTGCACTTCTGCTTCTCTTGAGCTGAGCTGAGCCAGAGCGATTTCACACCACAGCGCCAAAACGGTATTTATGTTTTTGAATTTCGTAAGAAAATGGACGTAATTTGAAATCTCAGACTTTGTTTCACATCAATAGTAACATAGCAAAAAGATTATTGCAATTTATTGGATGGGATGCGCGCTACAATGTTCCATTCATCAACTGAAAACAGGATGACTAGCCTAATAGATTATTGGGATTTAAGAATCGATTTCGGTTCGTAAAAATGAGAATCGATTAAAATCGAGAAATCTATATTTTTTACCCAGCCCTACATTTAGGTCATCTGTTCATCACAAGAGAAGACATGCTGGTCTGAGAACACAAAAGAACAGGTCTGTCGAAAACCTGTTTAAAGATCAACAAAGGTTCTCAGAAAACAACACAACAATGACAGCGAGTAGGACAGTTTTCTGATCTCATAACAAGTCAAAACATGTCATGTAAGGCTTCAGCTCATCTACCCCAACTGAATACAATAGGGCCAAAGAACTGGTTATCATCTGACGTAATTGAATTTTCATTGAAGAGCTGTGAGGGACTTACTCTGCCATCATGGGTGAGAAGAATAGAATCACTCTTAATGTCTCTGTGAATGACTCCCTGGGAGTGAAGAACCGAGAGCGCTTTCAGAACAGACAGACACACAGTGGCGATCTGCTCCTCATTCATCCTGAAAACACAGTCAAACAACATAACTGAAATGTTAAACATTGAATGAAATCCTTAAAGCTGATAAAATGTGACCCTGGATGACAAAACCAGTCACATGGGTCAATTTTTTGATTTATACATCATCTGAAAGCTGAATAAATAAGCTTTCCATTGATGTATGGTTTGTTATGATAGGACAATATTTGGCCGAGATACAACTATTTGAAAATCTGGAATCTGAGGGTGCAATCGAATCATTGAGAAAATCGCCTTTAAAGTTGTCCATGTATGTTCGCGATTGTCCTGCATTCACTCAAAAAAATAAATGTTTTATATATTTACGGTAGGAAATCTCTTTACTTAATATCCTAATGATTGTTGGCATAAAAGAAAAATCGATAATTTTGACCCATACAATGCATTGTTGGCTATTGCCACAAATACTACTTATGACTGTATTGCTACTTATGACTGGTTTTGTGATCCAGGGTCACAAATGATCATAAAGGCTGAATGGCAACACTGGACTGCTGTGATACCCTGCCACCTAGTGGTACTGCATTATTACCCAGCAACAGGTGAACAGCTATAAATGTGCATATAATGTATTTCATATTTGTATATTTTATAATAATTGTATTAGAAAATGTATAATATATTTAAATATTTTTTTCTGTCACAAAGCCAATAGAATTATTTGTTTCCTAAATATTTGTGGTCTTTTTCATACTTTTGATCATATTTTCATCTTGGTGGCTTAATAGGCATGCTGCAATAAAATAAATGAATAAAATAGACCATTTAAAAAACAAAACAAAAATGTATAACAATTAATTTTAAACAGAATCTAAAAATACAGTAAAATAAAAAAATAGGACAAAAAAAACCCCCAAAGAATTTAAAACTAATAGAACCATGAATTATTTTAAACAGAATCTAAAAATACGTGCGATTAAGAGTATAACTGAAAACCAATTAGTGATTGGACTTCTGAGAAATACTTGCCTGGTATGTGTGACTATGTCAGTTAAAGCTCCACCCTCAAGGAACTCCATGACAACCCAGAGCTCATCGCCCACTAAGTAACTGTTGTACATCTCCACCACGTTCTCATGGTGATAGTCCCGCATGATCACCACCTTAGAAACAAGAAACATAGCAAGCAGATAGTTTATATTTAAAAATGTAATTAAGTGGCTAAGGAGGAAAATCAACCTGCAATAATAATTTTCACAATATCTTTATGTACAATCTACAAAAAGTGTTCACTGAAGAAGGATTTTCAGCTCCTATGTGCTGCATATCACACAAAAACACCTATGTGAACAACCAATTATAACACAGTAATCTCGTGTGGATTGGACCCACCTCGTTAAACAGCAATTCTCGTCGCTGCTGTTTTCGCAGATCCATCTTCTTCACAGCCACCAGCTTGCCAGTGGTCTTCACTGTAGCAATACAAACAATGCCAGTGGAACCTTCCCCAATCTTGATGTAGTGGTCCAGATAAGTGCGTGGGTCCCCAGGGTCAACCACCATCTGTAGAGCAGCACGGAACTGCTCGTGGGAGACCCGCTGTGGCTCCCTCTGAGGTGAGCGCGCCTGCTGGGGTGGTGCAGTCGGGGCGGATGGTTTTGGTGCCGGGGGAATCTGCTGGTTGTGAGGAGGCTCAGGGCCTAAGGCTGGATGGGAGGCGTGATGCTGGGGCTCTGCTCTGTGTTGCCCCTGAGAAGAAGTTTTACTGCCGCTGCTGCCTCCCCGGACTGCCCCAGTAGAGTGGTCGTTGTGTTGGGAAGGCTCATGAGATTTGGCTGGTTTTAAATCCTGCAAAACATGGATAAATGAGAATTTATATATTTATTATGTTGTGTAACAGTACATTGGATCTGTGCATAAGCTCATAAGCGACAGCAGCCTAATAAACCTAAAGGTGTCCAAGAACAAAAGACACAGAGAAAGTCACTGTTTGCTCTTGACTGAACAACTTTCTTAATTTTAATTTTAAGCAATGATCTGCATTTAATTTATACAATAAAGACTATCCAGTGTTATTTTATATTTGATTACCGTACTTTTTTCATTTCTGTATCATTTCTTATCCAAATACTACCGTTAGACCCACCTGGAAAACTTAAAAGGCATGTTTATTTTATTTGTGATATCATTAGCAATTTGCTTATTTGTTCTTATTTTATTACTGACTTTACTTGTCTTTTTTTGTAAATTCAATTTCAAATAAAGCCTCCTTGTGCTGTGTGAAAGCTATTGCAACAAAACTACCCAAAGTATCAAAAGAATGATAAGATAATAAAAATATCTATATGCCAGTATATATGGCAGTTTTTCCTGTGGTTTCGAAAATGGTATCGAATAGCGCTATTTTTCAAGGTATCGGATCGAACTTAGAAATTCCAGTATCATGACAACACTACTATATATTATATATATATATTTTATTAAATACAAGCAGCCCAGCCCTACAAAAAACATCTATAATTGTTCATATTCTAGAAACATAGTAGCATATTTAGTTTGATTTCTGTGTACCTGACCGCTGGGGCTTCTTCCAGAGTCACTTTCAGCACGTGGGTATGTGTTGAAAGGTCGGCCAGTCTGCTGTGCAGTCTTTATTACTCCCTCTGTAACAGGTAGGTTAGGGGTGCGGATATTTGGCCCAGACAGCGGTCTCTTCTCACGGGGTGTCTGTGGGCTACTGTCTCTTCCAGTGTAGCTGGATTTGGGCCTCCTATCATTGGCCCCCTCTCTCCTTACTACCTGATCATGATGATCACGTGGTTCCCTGTCTCGTTCTCTGTGCTGGGGCGGTGCAGCTGGCCCTCCTGACCAGTCAGGCTCTTTGTGTCTGTTGGGCTCCTGACCGCGAGGCTGCTGGTGAGGCCTGCTGTCCTCTCTGGATGAACGGGCTGGTCGCTGAGACTGTCTGGGATCAGCACTTGGGTGCTCCTGACGTGGTTTCTCCCTACATGGACAAAAAAAACAAAAAAAAACCTCACTGTCAATATTGCCATGATAGTCACTGGAAACCGAAATTTTATTTTGAAGTAAGAGATGTCAGTTGAGCACCTCTCTTTGCTGTCTCCATAGCGATCAGGATGTCTGTATTGGGGGTATTCTCCGTTCTCGTGGCCCCCTACTGATGATCCGGAGTCTCTGCGTGGTGGTGGTGGTGGTGGTGGGCTGCCTCTCCGCAGAGAGTTTGAGCGGATCACCGACATGGTCTCAAACTCATCCAGGAGCCACGTGAGAGAGCCATCGTCACCGATCTTACGACCCCGCACGATTGCCTGTGCAACACAAACAGGTTATGAGGCATTTATGGAGAATAGATAAGAGGGAAAAAGCAAAAGATGACATGAGTAGTGTTCCGCAGTATCGAAACACAGATACCGGCGGTGCTTTCTCATCTCTCTCTTCTGTTCGACAGCTAGTAAACACACGGCCGCTTCCCCTCACTCACTTGTCTCATTCGCTCCAGTTGAATAGTGTTGCTGTTACAGGTCGATTGTGCGCATGCATAAAATTTGACTTTTTCCTGCTAAGGATGTCATGCGAACCGAATACTTCGGTACCAAGCGTGTATCAACATTTGAAAATCTTGATGGTTCTTGTTTTTCTACAAGACCGTAAGTACAGATGGTACCGAAAATAAAATATGATATATGAAGCAATAGAATGAACATTGAAAGTAACAAAAGCTCCAACAATACATTTTAACAGGCATAATTAGGCATGAAAATAACTGAAGAAAATATCTATTTTCTAAAAGAATTTAAGCCAACTAATTTGATTTATATTCTTTTGGTTTCTCTACCCAATATTTTTTTTTTAATTACAAATGCAATGAATATACAGGTATAGGTACTGTGTATAGACAAGTACCAAAAATGAAAGTATCGGTCTCGGATCCCTAGTAATTTGTTTGTTTACTTTTTTCAAGGTCACACCAATTCTTTTGTAGATAAAAAGTTCCAATATTTTTTTTTAATGAAATCAGTTTCCCAGATTCCCAACCCTACTTGTAAACATCGCCAAGAATCACTATTAATAATTTATCTTTAGTAAATCCAAAACGTAGTACTTTACCTCATCGATTGTAACATACAAAAACTAAAAAGCTTAAATCAAAACCTAAACCAAACACACAAGCTGACTCCTTCCCTCTGACCTTGCGTGGCTCTACAGTAGTGATGACTGTGGCGTCGATGAAAGGTTTGGGCCTCTTGGCCGTGTCCTCAATAAGGCTCTGCCATTGGCGCGGAAGCCCCACGAACTTCTGCTCATGCTCATCAAAATCAGTGTGGACACGATGCTCAAAGTTGGAGGGTGCCGAGATCTGGACACGTTGCTTTTTCTTCTTGCTGAACATGGCTGCAGTAGATCATCAGACCTAGAACCAGAGAAAGACAAAAATAATTATCTGCTAAATCATTCAGCGAAACCTCTCTGAGTCGTACACTACCGTTCAAAAGTTTTGGGTCAATAAAATAATTTGACAAATGAATACTTTTATTCAGTATAGATGAAACTTTGTGACAGTAAAGGCATTACATTGATACAAAATCGATTTTAAAAAAGCTGTTAATTTTTTATTCATAAAATAATCTTGGGGGGTTGGGGAATCACAGTCTCTGCAAAAATATTAAACAGCACAACTGTTTTCAAAATTGAGAATAAGAAGAAATGTTTCTTAAACACCTAATCAGCATATTAGAATGATTTCTGAGGATCATGTGACACTGAAGACTTCAGCTTTGTCATCTCAGAAATAAATGACATTTTAAAATATATTCAGAATTTCAAATAGAAAAGTTATTTTAAATTGTAAAAATATTTAACAATACTCCTGTTTATATTTACTGTAATTTCGATCAAATAAAATGCAGCATTGGTGAGCATAAGAGACTTCCTTTAAAAAACAATCCAAACTTTTCAGCAGTAGTGTACTGTACATCGTAAGAAATAACTTGATAGCAATTAACACTAGCCTGTTCATTCACGAAACATTGGGAGAGACACACAGTCAGCCGTTCATTTTAAAATGTCAGCTCTCTCACTTCACCTTTCTGAGCATTTCAACAACAGTCTCTTTATGCAGTACAAAACAAAGCAGTCCAGCTCTCCATGCTTTCCCTTTTCTCGCTTTTGCCCAGCCCATTCTCTCCATGGGAATCAGAGACACTCCCAGAATCCAAATACTGGGCCCTGATATGATTGGGCCGAAACCCCCTCCCACACCTGACAGGCTGAGCCTGGGAAAACTCAGCTGCTTCCTGGGACGATGCAGCAGCAAGAGGCATTTTTCAAAAGAGTGAAGCATTTGAAGTGTAACCTGATCTTTTGGGACGATGTCAGCTGGGGCATGAGGTCACAGCTTCAGGAGTCTTAGAATCCATGTGAATGTTTTATGAAGTGCTGGTTTCCAACATTGAGGGTAATGAAAACATTCAGAGCGAGTGAAGACCTCAAAAGTTGCAGAACTGGAAAGTATTCAAAATAGTTTCCGGAAGCAGATATATATTCACTAGAGGAAGAAAGCGTGCACAAGCACTGCAGAGGAAACATTAGTTTACAACATGGTGATGAGCAGTCATAACTCATTTGACATTTTGATGAGCAACTGTGTCACTCATGCTAGCAACTTATTACTTATCACTCATACTTATAGCAACTTAAATGTACCTTGGAGCAAGTTGGCGTTTACACATTAGTTCCACCCAACACCGGAGAAACCAGCATATCTTCTGCTTTTTCTTAAAAGATGAATAATTCCAAATGAACGCTGTTATTTTGACAGAAAAATACAACAAAGTATATCGTTGTAGTGATATTAGCGAACATGTAGCGTGTCGATTCTGCGTGGCATGTAAGACTCGTCTCTCACTCTCTCTTTGTGTGCGAGAAACAGTACTGTCACAGCAAAGTGACGGCGAATCGGGCACCTTCACACTAGAGTTTACGGTACGTCAAATACAGGTACACTGCGCATCCATTGAGCTGAATTGAAATAGTACAGATCGCTTAGTTGACAGAGAGCGAAACTCAAGCGCTCAGTCAGTGTTCAGCCAGCAAGTGAAAATATATCTATGCTAAACGTTTACTTAGCCTCTAACACACACTGGCGAGTACAATCTAAGAATTTATTAGCCAATGGCTAATGATAGACATTATTTAGTCGCCCAGAGTGAAGATTTACTCGCATTGTAGAGGGTTGCGTTTAGTCAACTAGGTGACAGCTCATTGAATATGCATAACCGGAAACAAAAGAGTTGTACTATTTCAAAATGGAAGTGCGTCATGAAGCTCAGTGCAAGTAGTCCATTGACAGACAAATATGTTAACTACAGATAATAACAGAGTATACGAAACATGAAGCAAATGCGTTAACAGTAATGTTACATAAGTAAATGAGTGAGTCAAGAAAGAAAAAAACATTTGCATTAGGCTGAGCTGGCAAAACAAATGTACAGCACTCATTATAGTTGTGTCAATACTAAGGAAAAAGGAAGCAATTTCAAACCCAGCTGGGCTTACGATTACATGCTACACAGAAAAACTGAGGCTGTTAACTTGCACCTGTGAGATTGTTTCTTTGGAACAGGTGAGGATCAGACATGAGTGACAGGAGCAGGTTCTCTAGCAGAGATCTACAGCTGCTTCACACACGACACAGAAATACAAATGCACTAACACAATAAGTGTAAATTAATCATTTTTTCATAAACACTTCCTGTTCTATGACCATCAGTGGCATTAGCCCACAAAAGGTTTGAAATGTTTACAAAAGAGCACTAATCAATCAGGCTTTGTGTCTGACATTAAAAAGTGTAAAGCAGTCAAACTTGAACAGTCAAACACTTCCTGGTTGAGTCTGGCATTCCAGACACATACCATTATGCACTGGTGAACAGTGAGAAAGACGTCTCTGTGGTCAACGTTCTCGAGACGAGCCCTGGCCAGGAAGACTGTCTCTGCGGATTGGCTTTTAATAAGGAGAGATACTGACTCCTCAAAACGGCCCAAAGAGTTGGGGAAACAATTCAAGTAGACTGATATCTTTGTAAAAGTTTGTACTTGTAGTATACAGCTAGCTTAGCAGGAACAGGCCTGCGGTGTTTGTTTTTACAAGCCCAGTACAGAGCACTGCAAAAACAGCTTGACCTTGGAACTAAACTCTGTCATTAGGTCTTCTTATCAGACCAACCCAGTGTTTACAGAACCTGATGCTTCTGTCCACTAAAATGCTGGGATTAAAACAAGAAGAGCAATGCAATGCAATGTTGCTTGTTTTAAACAAAGTTTTCCCACCAACTCTCCACAATTTGCAGGCAAAAACTTAATTTTACACGCATATCTAGGGATCTCAGTTCTCACTTTGAATGACATGGATCTTTTTATGTTTCAGGCCATTCATCAGAAACAAAACACTGAGTCTCCTTTTGAATATTCCAGGTAATGTATAATGCAACAAAAACAACAGCGCTTTTCTTGTTGGCCAACAACAACCGTTATTTGTTATTCAGTCATTGTGCAGCACTAAAAGCAGTAGCCTAAACTCCAATGTGATAATGTCCCACAATGCTTTGCATGTGCTACATACACAAAGTCTTTATGTGAACTTGACTGCAGGTCAGAGCTTGATAGAGGGCTTTCTGATGGAACGGATTACACATCATCTCACCAAAGACAACAGTACAGTGTTCAGGTCAGGGACTCACAAAACAAAACAAAACAAGTTGGAAAGTGGCATCAGTTTGCAGCTGATGGGTAATTAGGTAATGCAGTGCACTACTGAACAACTTATGTGCAACAATAGATTCAACTCAGTTAAAGTTTCTTTGATCATTTAACCCATGAAATACAAACCAAAAGAACTAATAAATAAACATGCTGAAAACGCTCATTTTAAAACATTAGAAAATATAGTTGCTTTCCTACAGTGTAAAACTGAATTCTCTTCTTGTCACAATAACACATTGTCCAATGAAACAACAGCTAAGCATTCTACATACACCCAAAAAGTTCAAACAGAGTGAGATGAGCCTTACTGATGCAGCTTTATTGGCTGCCACTTGATACTTTATTAAAAAGCTTTTGCTTTATGGCTTATATACATTATTCAAAGGTTTGGGGTCAATCAGATTATTATTTATATATGTTTTATTTATAATTTTATTCACCAAGTATGAATTAAATTGAAAAAGGGACAGCAAAATACTTTTATAATCTTATAAAAGATTATATTTCAAATAAATGCTATCTCCACAAAAGAAAATTAAGCAGCACAACTCACAAGCACAATTATGTTTCTTGGGCACCAAACCAGCATATTAAAATTATTTCAAAGGATCATTTGACACTGAAGACTAGAGTAATGGACAATGAAATAGACATGGATAAATGATTATTTTTTAATAAATACATGGAATATAATAATTTTTATGAATCATGAGGCAAGATTCACAGCATACCCATATTAAAAAATAAAAAAGTTGTTTTAATTTGTAATAATTTCTCACACAATTACTGTTTTTGCTCCTGTATCTTTGATCAAATAACTGCAGCCTTCTTTCAAAACTCTTACCGACAGCAATCTATTGAACAGTAATGTATATTTGTTTTCCCCAGATAATTCAATCAAATACCAAAAACATTCTTTGAAAAATTACTTTTGTAATACCCTGTCAAAACAGAAGAAATAGAACAATAATTAAAAATCATGTCCACATATTGGCTATTGAAAAAAAATCAGTAATGGTTGCACAATCGATTGTGACAAGGTAATGTTGTCCAGACAGCAATTTCCATGATGGGGCAGACGACCTGAAATTCATATCAGAGCTCTAGACAAAGAAACACAGGAAACTGAAACATTGCCTCGTCTCAAGCCATAAGAAGGGAAAGTCTCGTTCAACCCCTTTTCATTAAAAACTATCAGATTCATTTGAAATTCGAGTCAATGTCATTGAGAAGCAATACAATCGGAAAACTGAAGGTTTAAACCTATACCGAGTAAGCACAATACAACATTTAACACCACACTTTCAAAAGCAGTGTTTAGGGTTTCCGTTTTATTCTTTCATTTAGAACTTAATGAGCAAAAGTCAAACGCTGGGCTAAAGTAAGCGGTAGCATGGGAGATTGCACATTATGAGTGACCCTGTCCGGCACTGAAGTATTTAAGGAATGTTTGTAGTGCCCGGTACAGACTGCACCCCTGACTGAATCTCCCATCACACCTCCTCGAAGCAGACATATCCCGGCAAACTCACGGCTGCTGGAAACAAGTACAGGAGCAAAGAAAGTGAAACTACAACCAACGAGGAACATAGGAAGGTTAGAAAAAGGTACAAGAGATTCTGAACGACAACCCCATTACCTATTAAGTAACTTGTGAGAGTGTGTTATCACTCTTTATAGTAGTTCACCATCACAAAGACAAAGGCAGCATTCCAATTATATTTCATGTTGCACACATAATTATAAAAGCACAGATAGACTAAAACTATCAATTTCTAAGGCCTATCAACATGATCAAAACGTTGCAGAAAAACCTGTCATACACAATCTACTACATGCCTTCTGCCCTGTGATTGATAGTAAATACTTTTTAGTTAGTCAAAGTCCTTTTAGTATAATGGTAAATATGTCTACCTTCAGTTCGTGGAACACGTGTCTTTTTATTGTGCAATCTTTAATGATTTTTTTTTAAAGTAAACGTAAAAAATATTGTTAGATATAGGTCAAGAGAGAAATGCTTTATATCATATACCGCCCACACTAAAAACTACAGAGCTTTGATAATAAAACTAAGCATTTAAAATATCATTAATCTTTAATCTCATTATTATTGGGAGATAACAAGTGACTGATAATTAATTTAATGCAAGTAGTCTGCTGTACTGTTATAAAGATTTAATTGACTTATGTCAAGGCAAGCTATCAGAATTTCATCTCTTTTAGACAACTTTTTTCTCAGTTTGGGCCTCTAAATAAAACAGGTGTTTTTTTCTGAAGGTGCGAGAGCTCCATATTATCACTATATCATACTATAAGGGCCATTAAAGCCTGATATGATACAAATCAACACATATGCAGGTTTTGTCTAAAGTTTCAATAAACTGTTCAATTAAAAAAATTAAGGTCAAACAAGCTGACATACTGAATATGTTGATTGATTAAACAATTGCTTTACACCCCTTAGAAAAGGAAGGTCCATTTAAATTATGTAAACAATGACTCTCATGATGCGATTCATACACTAAATCAACCAGTCACCAATGGTCTCTAGTATCAACTTAGCTCAACACGATGCTTTTGAGAAACGCAGCCCAGAATCGATACTACAGCTGAAACCATATACTGCCCACTCAAAACCATCGATACCAAACATTGCACGACTAAAAATGTACAACTTGCTATAATTTACAGTCGGAAGAATCGTTAGAAGGTACTGTAAACTTTGACATTAATTACATTATATTTTATGTAAAATAAACTAAAATAGCTTAGTTACTGTATGACCCGTGTCAGCATCGTGGCTTCTTAAAAGATACGTAAAAAAATCGCTCCCACATTATAGGGATTAAGAAGCTCTAACAGAACAGCAAGTCTAATTCATTTGTGTTATTTATTTACTGTATTTATGTCACTAGCTGCACCACCAGTAACTCGAAAACACTTTAGTCAAACTTTCAAGTAGTTTCAGGCATCTCCTGACAGTAATATAACGAATAATTTATTCGTATCCAGATAGCAATTCAGGAGCAGCTCACAAATCTATCTCTTGATCCGAATCTTGAGTGAAAAGTGGGTCTGGAATGATGGCATTATTTGCAGACTACTGTGTAACTCATTCACAATCTATAACTGAAAACATAGATACAAACTTCAGTGGTATTAGAAACGGAGTAACTTTCTAGTTAGTATCTTTGATCACTTTAAGTAATGTTTTGACACTCGGTAGACCAAGCTACTTAGCTAGCTGTGAGGAATTAGCTAAATTAGCACGACGAACAAACTCACCGAAACTACAGGCTGACACACAAAACAAACTGCGATGGCACACAAACGACTCTCGTTTGTAATACAAATCGTGTTTTAAAAGTCCTACCTGTGGTGAGAAGAGTGTTCGCTGAAAAATAAACTTCATATGGTCGGTTAAGTTTCTTGAGAGTAAAGTTAGCTTCAGCGGGCTAAGTGCGCGTATCAGTCTCACTGAAGCCCTCACGAGCGCGCTGCTCGTGCTCTCTGCGCCATATTCACGCTGAACCTTCATCCGGGGAACTGACCACTGAGCGCTGGCCCCAGCATGCCGTACTCACAGCCACAGTACTATACGTTGTAATCATCATGTCACATTAAACATTTCAGTAGAACATTTGTATGCATGTTCCTTACATTTTTATTTTATTAAAACGTCTGCTATAATTGTAAGTGTAGCCTACTAATAAGAAATCAACATATTTACGTTAAAAATGAGTACATTAAGAGTGATACAATAATTCAATATGATAAATTAAGATTATCATCTTATTTTCCTAGCAATATTAGTACTCAAGTGTATTAAAACCACATAGAAACATGATTTGTGACACTTCAGTAGATGTAGGCTAAATCCTTATAGTGTGGTCTATACAGCTTTTCTGAAGATATCCATTATCTGTCCTTTTCTAATGTTGCAACGCATCACCATTCTTTGAAACTGAAGAACAAATTATCTGCTTTGAAAATTTGCTTAATGTGCAGTACAGACACACACTGGTTTCAAATTTACACGTTTTAAGGGGACTTTCCATAGACAATGATTTTTAATAATGTACAAACTGTATATTCTATCCCAAAACCTTAACCCAACCCCTAAACAAAAACAAAGTATGATTTATAAGTATTAGTATGATTTATATGTATGTTTTTCTCAGGGGATCCAAAATTCCCCACAATGTAAAAAAAAATATTTATTTATATATATAAATAACTTTACTTGGGTATGGAATATTTAAGTAAAGAAAAAGTAATATATTTTATTGTATCATAAAATTTCCTACTGACACAAATGCTTGTCACACATTATTTAGTACATGATAATACAAGTGCTGCAGCTGGTCTTCAGCTGTTTCTAAGAATAACTGTACCAGAAATGTTTTATTCCTTCCAGGGGGAAGACAAAACAAAGTAGAGTCTTTGTTACTGAAGATTAGCTATAGGTAAGAAAGTCAAATAAAATGATAGATGGACAAACTGTAATCAATATAGTCATGGAGGAAAGGGTTGCCAAAGCACTTTCATGGGAGCTGCAACCAGCTGAGGTCATCAGATCTGTGAAAGCAGAGAAAATCCTGCATTATATCCCCTAAACGGGTTTCACTTGTATGCATGCAAAAACATTCAATAACCGCTTTTCAATTCATAGCTCTGGCATATGGATGCAATGAGTTGAGGGTTTCTGACTTATTGATACTTACTGTGCCTGAGTCTTAGTGATCCTCTTCCCCATCAATAACATTTCCGCCAACCTCGCGACCGCAGGGTCAAAGTTCAAGCTGGCAGCTGCAACAACTTCTTCATCTCTGGATTATGAAATAAACAGTGATGAACGAAGAGAAATCCTAATTTCAAGACATAAAGATTTGAAAAACTTTTAAGGCTTCTTCATTCGCTATCAGCTTACTTGATATAAAATGCCAAGAATTTTCTTTCCTTAGTACTTCCTTTAAAAACAATGTCAGTGTATCCTTCTCCATAGCCTGGTGGAATTAAAATAGATTAAATTCAAATTAATTTATTCATGTGTTGAAATATATTTCCTCAGAGAAGGGAGAATTATCTTGGAATGGTCACCTGTATATCGGATGCTTTTGCCTAACAGCATGGTCCAGAAATATGGCACAGTATTAATCGCAACCTGTTGATTCAGCATGCTCAAGCCAGCAATTCTTCCTGTGGAAGACCACGGCCACATATTTTACACATTACCACAAACACTACCCTTCAATTTTTATTTTATTTTTGAAAGAAGTCTCTCGCCAAAGTTGCATTAGTTGATCAAAAATACAGTAAAAATAGTAATATTGTGAAATATTATTATGATTTCCAATAGCTGTTTTCTATTTTAATATATTTTAACATGTAATTTATTCCTGTGAAAGTAAAGCTGAATTTTCAGCGTCATTCATTACTCCAGTCTTTAGTGCCACATGATCCTTCAGAAATCACTCTAATATGCTGATTTGCTGCTCAAGAAACATTTCTTCTTATTCTTGATGTTGTAAACAGTTGTACTGCTTAATATTTTTGTTGAAACCATGATAATGGTTTCAGTATTCTTTGATGAATAGAAAGTTAAAAAGAACAGCATTTATTTTAAATAGAAATGTTTGGTAACAATGTTTTGTTTTATGTGTCTTCCTAAAAGAAATGTGTCCTTGCTGTATTATTTCTTTTAAAAAAATCTTACTGACACCAGACTTTTGAATGGTAGTGTATTTCAAACTCTTATTGTTATATCAGGTGGTACCGTGAGCTTGCGCCAATTGCCAATGTCCAATATTGACTCTCTTATGTCCGACCAAAGGAAGTGGAAAAGATACCACATCTCCAGCAGCAAAGACATCAGGAATGTTGGTTTTCATGAACTGAAAAACACAGATGTCATAAAAACTACTCTATTTGTTAAGTAAAGTGTTTGTTCTAAGTGATATGAAGGCGGTTACCTTGTCAACAACAACAGCATTGCGTGAATCAATTTCCACTGATGTTCTCTTTAGGAAATCAGAGTTGGGAATGACACCTTTGAAAGGATATAAATGTAACTGTTAGCAATAAACAGCTTTTCAGTGACAACAACAAAACTGCTATGACAAAATTGTTTTGGTACATACCAATGCCCACAATTACAATGTCCACTGGAAGGACTTCACCATTTTTCAGAACAACTTCCCTGACCTAAAGAAATAAGTGTTTTTTTACAATGCACAATAATTTCTATGATTGTTTAGTAATGCGCTTACTCTAACAGTACCTTTCCATTTTCACCCCGAATTTCAGCCACACCATTACTTGTGCAGAACTTCACGTTTTTCTCCTCCAGCATCTTTAACAGATGATGTATTACTTGCGATAGATGGCGTATAGCAGTAAACCAAAAATGAAAGAAAATACCACAATGTTCACTGACCTGCATTGTCATTTTTCCGATATCTGGACCCAGTGAAGACTGGAAAGGAAACTTACTGCTCCCAATAACAGTGACGCTGGCTGCCTTGTCAGACAGATAAGCTGCTACCTCCATTCCTGATTGACAATTGAAAGTCATAATTTGCAATATTGCCATTAGGCTGCATCCAAAAGCTGAAAAATGCAGCCTTATTCGGAGTTAGGAGAGCAACAAGACACGTTGAATCCAATGTTTGTGTCACATCCTGACTAGTAAGATACCTTCCTATGCCCGATTTTTGAAGGCAGGATAGATGTATCCTTCACTGCCTTTAATATCCCACCATCATGTGTGTTCCATTTTGTGACAGTTGAGCCAAAATATAAAAATGGCATCTGAAATATGTGGTTGGTGGTCAGTTTGTAAATGTAAATTTTTGACCAACGTTTTCCACTTTTGATATCATTTCAAGAGGGAAATTAGTATTGTAGTAATTAAATATTCGATTTGTTTTTACCAAAGCTCTCTCTATTTTGTCGTTATCATTAAACTGTTTTGTCCGAAATCAGTTCTGCAAAGTAGTCCACAAACACTGCCTGCAAAGTCATTGCCTGATAGGGCAATGAGGCAACAAATCAACTGTCTAAGCTTTTGGACACAGCCCTAGTGTTTGTGAAAGAATGCTACTTTTCAATTGATTTCTTTATACCTATGAATGAAGTTCCAACGATGACGGCCTTGTTGCCTGCACTCATGTGATGGATTTCTGTGGCATCCTTATAGCTCTGCAGCAATTTCACGTTTTTTAGTTCAGCACCAGGACACTGCAGAGGTTTGGCTCTAAAACAAAAGTACATAATTCACCATCATACATTGCATTCAGATAAAAGGTCCAAATGACATGTATCTAATCTTAAGCACTTTTAAAAAGAAGTTATGATCTAACCTGCCCCCTGTAGAAATCAAGAGCTGGTCATAGTGTTGGACAGTGCCATCCTTGAAAGTCAATGTTTTAGCCTCTGTGTCAACAGACTTTACCTTTGAGGGACAATTATTGTTAATATCCACAAATAAATACAATACATGTGATCCCTGGATAATGAATGGAAGATGAAAAGAAGCCCACCTCTTTTTTAGTCCACACTTCAATTCCATGGTGTTGAAGGAAATCACTCTGTCGTAGCAACACCTTTTCAATTTCAATATTCATTGCCTACAAGAGTCCATGAACACACAACATCTTCCTTCATAAACAAGGAACTACACAGGTTAATTAATTTAATAAGGTAATGGGGAGCCAATCAAATAATCTGGTTTTGTTTAATCTATGATCCATGGATTTCAACCTTGCTAAGCTTGGTCTTATCCAGAGGCAGCTGCTCATCTTTAGTAACCATTATAATTCTCCCTTCATAATCGTTCTGACGAAGGGTTTCCGCACATTGCAATGAAGCTGGGCCTGTGGAAACACAAACACATTTAAATGTTGCATTTCCCAATATGACACTAGAGAAGAGGCATACAAACTTTTTCAGGCCATGGTGGATTGCCTTTAATTTTATTTATTTATATTTATTTGTTGGAGGGACAAGGAAACATTTAGTTGAACTTCATCTGCTCAATTTTAGCTTTGTTTAAGTTAACTTAATAATGTATATTTTTAGACATATTTTCATTATTTGGCTGACCCCCTGCAGTATGATGCAAAACCCTCTAGGGGGTGATGAACACCTCAGGATGAGGTGAAAGATATACTTGCATGAATAAGCATTAAACGTATATAAAGGTTTGTCTAGATCCAGGGTCTCCAACCCTGTTCCTAGAGAGCTACAGTCCTGCAGATTTCAGCTCCAACCGCAATCAAACACACCTGGCCCAGCTAATCAAGCTGTTCAGGGTTGCTTGATAATTACAGGCAGGTGTGGAACAGGGTTGGACCTGAAGTCTGCAGGACAGTAGCTCTCTAGGAGCAGGGTTGGAGACCCCTGGTCTAGATGATGTATCTATTACTCACCTCCTCCAATCAGAACAACCGTGTGGCTGACTCCAGGCACTCTACTGCACATTTTCTTAACTCGCTTCTTCAGTTTCTGAGAATTACAAAATACAGAACATTTCATGAAATGCTCCTCAAAAGCAACTAATCTTGTGCTGGACCTAAAATTGCAAGTGTACATGACTAACCTTTTCATCAGCAGTTACATAAACTTTACCACCCTCTACCTTGACCTTAACAGGACAGGAGAAGTACAAAAATAAGTAATGGATTAATTCATAAAACTGTATGGGAAATTGCATGTGACATAAAATATGAATTTGTAACGGGCACATGACACAACAAAAATGCTTGATTCCTTAAGTGCCATCCTGCAGTGTATATTCATACTTTGTATGTAGGCAGAGAGTCCAGTCCAGGAAATTCTTCAATATCTCCAGTTTTAGTATTGAAACATGCTCCATGAAATGGGCACCGAACTCGATCTCCAAGCAATGCACCTACAAGCATAAAACCGCTTTTATGATGTGTTGGAAACACAATGTCACGGTAGACTTGAAAAAAATAAAGGCAATGTAACTGGATACAGCTCAGAATAAGAATGACAGGTAAAGGGCACGGAATGATGAATGAAAAAAAAACCTGTTTTCATTTTACTTACAGTTCTAAGTAAACACAGGACAGGGTTATTTATTGCTCAGTTTGTGTCAGCCTATGTGATTATCAGAGACCATACCCTACCTTTGATAAGTGGAGCACCATAATGAGTGCACAGACCACCCACAGCAGCAAATTCTCCCTTATTGCGTACCAACAGGATTTTATGCTGGTCCACCTCAACCTCCTTCATTCTGTAGGATGAATATGGGTAACATGGTGCCAGAATGAATAAATAAATAAATAAATAATTAAATACAATTATTTACACTGGCAGTCAAAAGTTTGGAATAATAATAATAATAATAATAATAATTTTTCATTATTGAAAAATTGGAATGAAAAATGTCATTTTTTTATCATGAAATAAAAATATTATTAACTAATATTATAACTGTTTTCTATTTTAATCAATTTTAAAATGTGATTTATTCCTGTGATGGCAAAGCTGAATTTTCAGCAGCCATTACTCCAGTCTTCAGTGCAATATGCTAATTTAGAGCTGAATATATAAATATATTATTATGACTAAAGGTTATCATTAATGTTGAAAACACGTTTTGGTGCGTAATATTTTTGTGGAAATTGTAATACATTTTTTTTCAGGACTCTCTGATGAATAGAAAGTTTAAAACAATAACATTTATTTGAAACATAAATATTTTGTAACATTATAAATACCTTTACCATCAATGTAATGCGTGTTAAATAAAAGTATTAATTTCTATCTTACATTCACAACTGCTTTCAATATTTATAATGATAAGAAATTTTCTTGAGCAGCAAATCAGCATAATGAAAATAGAAAACAGTCATTTTAAATTGTAATAATATTTCACAATTTTACTGATTGACTGTATTTTTTCATTAAAATAAATGCACCCTTGCTGAGCATAAAATACTTCTTTCAACAACAAAAATGTAATCGTAATTATTCCAAACTTGTATTTATAATAATCATTAGCCTATAGTAAATACTATAAAGTAAGTAATAACTCAATTAAATAAACACTTCCATTAGCCTATTTATTTTCTACAAATGATATGCTGCTGTAACATGTTTGGATCACATCGCTTCTTACTGTCCATCCAGCAGATCCGACTCTAAACACACCATCTCCGTGATCTCTTCACACTGTTTTGTCTCCATTGTTGGTTTATCAGCTGAAGAAATAACAACTTATTAGTAATGTAACAAAACTTGCCACTTTAAACACCACTGTAGGCTAGCCTACTGCTACCTTTATACAACAACGCTCGTCTGGTCAATCAGCTTCCACTGCTGTTTACCTTAAAGCTGGGAGAGGAAGAGACTTGAACTTCAGAAGTGCACAGTATTCACCACTTATCTGTAACACAAGATACACCATAGGGATAAGTAGTGATGGTAACTAGATTATACAAGAGCATTTAATAGAGCAGAAGCAATAAAGTTATTAATTTTTTTATAAGGAACGCACGTTGCCAGCTGTCACTGGTTTCGCGGAATAGCCTACTGAAACACACCCTCCCTGAGCTGAGATGAGATGTCTTGTAACGCAGGACAACACGATACATATATTTTTACAAATGTTGCTCGTCTATCTGTCGTCCTTGCGTAGGCAACTTTACCATTTTTCTAATTTCTTACCTGTCTGGACGAAATTCTCCGGTTGTCAAGTCAAACGGTTTGCAGTCCATTCAGAATAAACTCGTTAAATCGTTGACACCTCATCATGACGCAGCATCAGCGACAGAGAGGCTCGAGCTTTCGGCCTCGGCCAATCAGCGCACGTGGCGATAACATCAAAATGTGCGTGCGAAACTAACGAGCCAACTCTGTCTATAGCTTCTTTTTTCTGTTTTCAGGTGTGAATTTTGGACATTATTATGTGTTGTTATAAAAAGCAAATTCAACTTCCATAATATTTAAGGAGGAGAGTCATTGCCTATATTAAACATTGTTTTGTGAATACAGTATTTACCAAGCATATACTCCATCATCTTGCTTCTGTAAGAGCATAAAACATCTTACTGAGACAACTTATAATTAACATTCCTTGGCTCAAATAAAAAGGAGCTATAGCAGACCAACATTTTGAAGATTCGCAGTTATATAACACAGATGAGCCAAGTCTTCTTCATGTAGGCCTAGGCTAGCCTACAGCTACAGTATTTATAAGCTATCATTTCAACACTTTGACTGTATCTAAAATTTTTTATGGTTTCAGCCACATGTAGTAATAGCCAATGTCATTGAAGTATTGTGAAACAGCTACAACATATATTACATAAAAAGAACCACAAGATGTCGCCCGACACCACCAATTTAGACAACGAAAACAACTGCTGCTCTTCTAGCCATGTGGACTTTCGGAAATTAAACTCCAATAAAGCACACTTTTCAGACTCAACAATATGCTATTTCCTTTCATTTGTTTAGTGTGTCCAACAGTGGACATACTACATGCTGCATTAGCTACAGATGAATTATGAAACTCCATGCCCACTATATCTCAAATCACATTCTGGTGGAAATTACATTTTGAATAATGACCGACTCACGTTGAAACGGACCAATCAGCTACGAGCTCAATGCCTTTAGAAAGGATTGATTATGAAGAACTAGGCTGCCTATAGTCTACAACTTTTCAACGGAAATCCATATAGCTATAAAAAGTGTTTTTTTTTTCTTCTCCTTATTATTAGGCTAGCCTACTATTAAAACTGCGTATATAGTGGTTTTAATGTAGCGTGGTTTTAATGTAGCGCCGCGGTCAAACGTTTTTTAAATGAAGCTTTATGTAACAAAGTTTGGGAGGAGCACGTTCAGGTAATCAACCAATCAGCTCAAGAGGAAGCCGGTATAAATAAAGCTTTTCCTCACCTCCTGTCTCACGACAAGTGTCTCAGCATCCCTCCACCACCCCATCACCTCACACTCGGCTGAGTTTACCCTGAGTTCGGGCAAAATTCCGAGCTCGGCGCCCTCCCCGGACAGCAAGCCAAATACGCATAAATACAACTTTAGATTTCATGTAGCCTACGTGTGAACTCGTGAAACAGGCTATAGGCTATAACAGTCATAGAAAAATATTTGTTGAATAAAATCATTTTATATCAGATATGGGATAATGAAGAGGCTGGAGAAGCTCTATGGCGCATCAAAGATACAATCTGGGCGTCCGTCAGCGGAAAACTTCGACAGCTTTCTTTTCTACTTTCGCAAGTTACGAAATCCACGCATATAAAAGCCTACTACATCTCCCATAATTCCACTCTGACACGAAGGGGCGGGACTAGACGTAAGGGAATCGCACGCCCGAGACGCTCATTTGCTCAAACGCGCCTTACGATGATTGGGCGGGGATTCTCTTGTTTGGTTATTGTAAAAGCGAAAAAGTTACACAAGCGTTTAGCGTCAGGATTTTGTAACACATGCATTAGATACTATTTCATTGTTGCCGATCGTAACTGAGCAATCAGTGTCTTAGCTTAAACGTTACATCGGACCGAACAAACTGAGCACTGAAACAAAAAGCTTTTTTTTTTTATTAACAAAGATAGTATCGATAAATTTGAATTATACAAGGGCTCTGCCTACAGACAGAGACGGCATAGTCGCTTATGTTTGGACTACTGAAGGTGAAAATGAAATAGAGACAAACAATTCGGGATGTATATTTGACGAAATAACGCAAAAAGCGGGGTTATCACCGAAAAGTCCAGACGCGCGCGAGAATCTCGGGTAGTGACAAGAAAACAAGCGCGCGCTTAAAATATGGAGTTGAATTCTGTGATTTTGACCGCTGGATCCTCGGTGGGCTTTTTCAAATTGGTAAACTATGGAATCGGCAAACTTCCCATCCCCGAGACAGCTCAGAGGAACGCTTGGAAATGGAAAAACATCTCCACGTCTTTCGTGCACAGCGTCATAACAGGAGTGTGGTCCGTGCTATGGTGAGTGCCAGAATTCCCCCACATGTGCATGAGGAGTACAATACACACCCATATACTCCCGTATGCACCGTCTGTTTGATGCCTTTATCAGATGTTTGAGAATTTTATCCAAGAGTAACATCTTTTCGGCTGCCACCCACTATGTTTAATAGCCTAGATGCAGTTAAACAGACACTTGGCCATTTGATAGGCTGCACATAGACTACACATGTGGTTCATATCACTTGATATATGAACGTTGTTCATTACTACCCTATATATTTCACAAATGTGATGCACTTTTATTTAAACGCCATGCCCTAATCATAATTCGTCTGTCTTTGTAGTTTTTGCATGCACCCCCAGATGGCTGAGGATTTGATAGCAACGTACTCCGTTTTCTCTCACGCCCTAGTGTCTGTATCAATCGGTAAGTATAAAGAATTTTGTTTTCTTATTTAAAAAATTGAACATGAACGCCCTCTCACGTCAAAATTTTAATGTGATGAGCTCGTAATCACGACTTCAGTAGTAGGAAGTAGGAAATTTCCGATAGCACGTGAAGGCAGCATTATGCCCATGTTTTACAAACACACTCTTCTGTCATGTCCAGTGTAATTGAAGGAAACTGGGTTAGACTTCATAGGTGACCTTACTGCTACATGGGTAAATCACTCCAAAGTAAAGACTATTTTAGGACTTTTTTGTTATTTATTTATTTTTTGACACAATTAAGCATATCTCCCCAAAGTCTGATTGCTCCTGATTAATCCATGTTTTTCTTTTCTTTCTTTTTTTCAAAATCCCATTATTACCAATAGTGATTCTAATACAGATACAGTGATTTTTTTTATCTGCATAAATTAAAGGTACAACAAATAATAACATGATTCATAAATTCTTTATTATTTAAATCATGTATAATTTCTTTGCATTACAGTGAAGACAGGTTTTTTTTTGCATTGCAATAATGAGAATGTGACATGAAACTTTTTGGAAAACATCCAGCATAATTTTCTGTTCCCTTTTGATTATTAGCTATAATTTGTGTAGTGTGTTATTTTGCACCACTCTAAAACGTAGCACAGTTGACTGGAATGTTTTTTTCAACTAAAAAGTAGATAACTCCCATTTAAAATTCCAAATACCAGAAATATTTTGAATACTTTGAGGAATCCCACATACAGTTGGCAGAGATGTTAGCTTTAGCTATTGAATCAATGGCTGGCTTTATGATCCGTCCCAGCAAGGCACCAGTGCTACCCCCATAGGTCACATGACTGTTTATGAATGGGCCTTTGCTTTTAAGTTTATTATATTCTCTCAATTTAAAAATTCATGGTCTTGCTCAAAAGTCTGAGGAACGCATGTTTCTAATATGCTTCAATATAGACATATAGACAATATCTATTCATCCTTTCACCTGAGATGGTAAGGCTTGTTTTAGAAAATGAACTAGTGTAATATGAACTAAAACAGGAAACAGGCATGTATTTTGAAAATGCTTATCATTTCTATTAATGAAGTCTCATATTTGGCTTCATTTGTTGTTGATCTGCTCTAAAATGCAGTCTCCATGGAGACCCTCTTATTGGGAAATGGATGGATATAAATAGCCCTCTGGAAATGACATCTTGGTAACCAACACAATTGTTGTCATCATGGGATCTGTTGGTTGAAAAACCTGTTGGATGATCTTTGCACTGTTTGAGAAATACAGTGTTAATATGCATTTATGTGTTTCAGGGTACTTCATATATGACTTCTTTGATATGGTTATTAATCAGAAGATCAGCCATTCATGGGAGCTACTTTTCCACCATGTAGTGGTGAGTAGACATAAAACATGGTACAAAGAAATTATGTATTTTTGGAGAAAGCCAATTACTTAACTGCTAAATGGGGAAAGCCTATGTTTAAGACCATTAAGATTTCTCAGATTTTCTGTTTTGACAGTTAAACATTTTCCTCCAAGTTGTCATTTGTAATGCTTCCAGACATTTGTCGTCTTTATCATTAATACCAAAAGTGATTCTCATTACATTCTGATTATTTTAATAAATTGATGGAGATTTTTAAAAATATAATCATCTTAAATTAAAGGTCAACATGTACCACCTTAATTTCTTAGTACTTAATAATTTAAATAAAATGTAATTATTTTTTGAATTACAGTAATGAGAATTTGGATGGTAAATGTGCTTAATTTTCATGAATATAATGGTAAAAATAATAGAAAAAAATGAATGAGAATTAAAAGAAAGCCACTGACTTGGTGTGAAGGAGATTTTGGTGGTAAACCTTAACATCATTCCAAAAGCAGTTTCTGTATTACTCACTGATCTAATTAAAGCTACACACACCTGATTCCAGTGTATTCACATAGTGCAACCTGTCTGACCACCTTTCTTTGCTTTGTGTCTTTGTGTGTGTTTAGACATACTGAGGTGAGAAGGTCAGCAGAGGTAACCGAGGGTAAAATGCTGAAATAGCTAAGATATGTAAAATAAACAAATCAATAGCGAGGCCGTTTGAACAAATCGGTTGCATTAGCTCAGTACATATACAGATTATCACAGCCAGTGTATCCTGCTCTGTTGCAATGGGCAGAGGAAGGATGCTGTCCAAATGGGTTTTCTGAGCTTTGGTTTGTTTGGTGTTCTATGGCGTCAACACTTGGCAAAGTAGCCAAGTTGTTGTTGTTCCCTCTTTTCTTGGGATTTCATTCAGTGAAGTGACTGGAGGGAACATGCTGCCAGATTCCTAATGGCAGTGTGAGAAACTGTCAGACCCTCTCATCTCCACCCCGTCCTGTTCTTCCCCACTGTTTACATCATGAGCCAAACTGTAATAATAAGAGAAGCTTTGTTTTAGATGTGCCTAGTTTGAATGGAATGAACTTGTATTAATTTCTTTTTTTTTAAATCGTACCTATTCAAAACTTAAATGGTAGCGTGTACATAAGAATGAGCCTGATTTGAGGTGAAGAAGAAGAAGTGGAAACACTGATTGCTTAAGGAGTCATACATTTGCAGTGGAAAAGCACGGGTTGTGAGGCCCACTATCTACCCAAGTAGTGTTGTCATATGCCAGTATAGTAAACGGAAAAAGAGAACTGTTACTTAAATTAAAAATGGTTTGCTTGGTTTGTGAAATTTAAAAATGGTTTTGTGGGTATTACTGCTTGCCTGGCTGTCACTTTTGCAAATGCTCAAGTTTCCAGAGGTGGTTTTGTGAAAAGCATCACGCTAACCCAATAACATTTTTGGCATTTGGATCACCACAAACCTCCTTTAAATCAGTTTCTCAGAAATGGTGCTTTGTTTAGCAAATGTGTCTCATCCCCCATTCATTTAGCACAACTGAGTTTGCTAATTAAAGCCTGCATGCCTCAGAGGAGGCTCAGATGATCAGTTTGTATTAGTGCTCATTCATTTCTAGAATCGGTGGAAAAATACAAAACACAGCGGAGGGAGTGCGATGGTTTGGCAGAGTCAAGGGTGATTTGTTAGTTCACCTAAACACAGAAGCCTGAGGTGATTGTATTTGCTCAATGACAGATTTTACTCAATAGCTAATGTGATGTAGTCGAGTGGTGCCCCCTGCAGCCCCCTGCATTTTCTGTAGTACCTGATAATCCAGCTCTGCTGTGTTAAACCTGCAGCCTTTCCTGACTGGTTCAAGCTGACTCTGGATAAAGCTGTCAGTTGCATGCATGAGTGGTAAACAAGTCATCTGTAGTAAGAAAAAGGCCTGCACATTCCTGACATTACAACTGCATTATGTTTTTTTTTTTACAGTGAAAACAAATTTAAATGAAACTGCATAGTTGGGATTGTTCAACCAACTAGTCGGTTTGGTTAAGTATGCTAAAGTTTCTGCTTCTTTTTTTGTTTTTAGCAGCTAATTACCACCACTACAGTAATGAACATTCAGACAGATGTCTTTGAAGTCTGAAATGTTAAGACTTTAGCTATTTTTTAGATGTCTTGGCCTTGGGTAAACATCTCCTAAGTATGAACCTGAAACTTACCTGGCTTTACAGGGCTTTATTCATTAAGACTAATTTAAAGGGATAGTTCGGCCAAAAATGATATTTAAACCATGCATTACTCACCCTCAAGCCGTTCGAGATGCATATGTCAATCTTGTTTCAGACGAACACATTTTCAGTTATTTTAGAAAATGTCTTAGACCCTTCAGTGGATATAATGTGAAGCAATGGGGTCCACCTCCTTCAAGTCCCAAAATGTGCATATATCCTTCACAGAAGTAATCCATCCGGCTCCAGGGGGATAAACGAAGGCCTTATGAGGGTAATCCGTGCGGTTTTGTCGTAAAAATATACATATTTAAAACTTTATAAATGAAAATATCTGACTTCCGGCAACGATCGACGCGCGTCCACGGGTGATGGAAGTCGGCGTACGAGGTAGGGCGTAGCTTCGTGACGTAGAACGAACGCGCCCGCGCAGCCAGAGAGCAGAGCAAAACATCACCCGTGAACGTGTGTCGATCGTTGCCGGAAGTCAGATATTTTCATTTATAAAGTTTTAAATATGTATATTTTTACGACAAAACCGCACGGATTACCCTCATAAGGCCTTCGTTTATCCCCCTGGAGCCGGATGGATTACTTCTGTGAAGGATATATGCACATTTTGGGACTTGAAGGAGGTGGACCCCATTGCTTCACATTATATCCACTGAAGGGTCTAAGACATTTTCTAAAATAACTGAAAATGTGTTCGTCTGAAACAAGATTGACATATGCATCTCGAACGGCTTGAGGGTGAGTAATGCATGGTTTAAATATCATTTTTGGCCGAACTATCCCTTTAAAACTATTGATTAATTTTACTTTGCATTTTTATTTATTTAATTTCTTTTAATTTATTCTTATTATTTTTTTCTCTCATCTTTACCTGGCAGTTGTTTTGCGGTAGTGTTGGCATGGCAGGTTAATCTGATTATAGTTACAGATTACTTTATTCAACTAACAAGTTTAAAAAAAATATATATATATATCTGATTTACTTTTTTAAACAAGTAATGCAACTATCTATCGTATCTAAAATGTACAAGAAAATTACAAAGAAAACACACACCACTCGTCCTGTGAAATCCGTGCTTGCAAAGTCTGTGCTTGAAATCCGCACGGTATGATCCTTTACTTTAACATTCTTAAAGGCACAATATGTAAGATTTATTCGCCACAAGAGGGCGCAGTTTCCAACAATAACAAAGGCATAGGTTTATGACGCAGTGATGAGCTGAATGATGGGACTTGCTGTCAAGCTGATGGATCTAATAATGTTTATGGAAGAGTGCAAACATTCATGTTTTTTAACATTACAGTGGTATGAAGCAGGTCGCGATTGCTAAAGAGACAGATATCACACGCGAGTCCTGCGGATATAAAGGAATAAGGACATTTAATTCTACCGAACTACCCGCAAGTGCTGGATTACTCACACAGGTCAGTTTATTAGACGAATCAAACTTGTGAGGTAACGCAGCGCTGCTTCACTTGGTCTAACGTTACACTATCACACTAAACGGCATTTAAATGTGTGTTGAAAGTTATAATGTTATGCTACGTGTTAGTTCGTTTGCTATACAAAACTAGCAGTAAGCTAGATCAACATTAGAATAACATACTGACCATATTCTAACATTTCATCATGTTGAGCTAACGTTATATAACATTGATTTGTTTTATGTACATTTGCTCACCTGTCTAATCAAGTCGTGACTCGTGAAGCTCTGTCAAGTCCAAGTTAGTCGCGGACGTGGAGCTCTCGGCATCTCAAAAACGCCCACGCTGATATTGATCCTCATTTTAGTTCTCCTTGTTTGTCCCAAAGTCTGCTTGCCATGGTCTATGTTGGAAAGAAACAAGAACCGCGTGCCGCTAAACGTTACACACTACCCAGTTGTCCACGTCTGTCGCCATGGTTACGTCATGGCTATGGCAGTATGAACGGAAACCGAGGATAGTGCGGATATTGCGTCATTGACAGGCGACATTTTTTTCCGGGACGGCCACTTATTTAAAATTGGAATTTCTCTGAAATAAAAAATCTTTGGAGAATTTTGGGATATTGCAAGTACACAACTGCAGGAAATATATCACACTGTGCAAGTGATTTTTGGATATGTTTTTCCAAATTCTTACATATTGTACCTTTAAGTCTGAAACAGGCTTGAATTGGTTTGAAATTGATCCTTAATATTTACACCTGAGCAGATGAAACTCAAGGTTATGGTAAGGGGCTTGACATTTCTCAAACACGCGGAGCCAATCACAACACACTGGGCCAGCTAACCAATCACAGGACATTTGGTATTTCGGAAGGAGGGGGTTCATCGAAATGGCAACTAATGACTCGTTCGAGCCAGATAGGGGAGAGGGGTGTTGTACTAATCTTTAGAAGTGCTGTAAAAGTGTTTTTTTAAACAATCATGAAAGCATATTCTAGGACACCCCAAAAACAAAATCAAGACTTCGTAAAAGGGCATAATAGAAATAGAACCCCTTTAAACATCACATTTGTGTATCTTTTTTTATTGCTGAAATAAGAGTGTTAAACTTTCTTCTCCTCCAACATTTCACTTTTGGTGTGAAAGAGCCTTGACATTTGCCAAAAATAGAACTTTTTTTTTGTTTTGTTATTAAAAACAAAACAACCAAGTCCAGCCCAGGTGAGAAAAAGTAATGCAAAAGTAACATAATTAGTTACTTTCTTTAAAAAGTAACTAACACAATAAGTTACTTTTTTAGGGAGTAATGGAATATTTTAAATCATTTCTTTTAAAAGGAACTTTC